ATATATTGTCGATATAGTTTGTGAAAATATTTAGTAAAATTATTAGTTTTCTTACGTGGCAAGCCTTCATAGTTTTTCGTTGTTGTCTTGTTAAAGAAAAGTCATGCAAAAAATGCGTGCACACTTGATTTACGACTTAATGTTGAAAAACAAACTAAATATCTTAGCAAAGAGAGTGGCACAAACAACGATGAAGGCTGACACGTTAAACGGTCGTTGGATTTCAATCAGAAGTGCAGTTTGGTGAAATCACTCATTAAGTGCCTCCGAAGCCTATGTGTTTAAAAATGCAGATATTTGTTATGACTTGAGTGGGATATTATTATAAGGTGTGTGCAAATATATACAGTCAGACCTCGCTTAGCACTCAAGTTGCGTTCCTTGGAGAAGTGAATAGCGCTAATCGAATCGGCGCCTACAAGGGGTCGTCATACCATTGCCCACATGGGGATACGTTCCCGACAGCAGCGTTATATCTTTCGTATGAGCAACAAATGAGGGCTTCATTGGGGTATCGCTTATGGCGCTACTAATACATGGAATGGGGTAAACATTATTTTACGAATTAAAGCTTTCGTGACTGCAGGAATTCATATTCTTTGGGTCTTTTGGTATAGTAACGTAGATAGTTCTAGATTTGAAGCTCTCGTGACTGCAAGGATTCATATTCTTAGGTTTTTTTCGGTAAAGTCACGTAGATAAAAAAATAAAATTAATAAAAATAAAATAAAATTAAAATCGTCGTGATTTTTATTTTATTTTTATTTTACTTTTATTAATTTAAATGTTTTACCTACGTGACTTTACCGAAAAAACCTAAGAATATAACGTAGATAGGTTCAAAAAAAATAACAAAAAAAACTACGACGTTTCGATCGCAACACAAGCGTTCGTCATCAGGAAGACAAAATGACTCATTTTTTCTTCCTTGTGTTGCGTTCTACAGGGTCTCACGCTAAGCGAAGTCTGCCTGTATACCGCGTATGTACCTATAAAAGCCTTCTCAAGTCTCAAGACTGTTTTTTTTCCCCATGACCATCCAGAATTTGGATGACTGCCCGATGATACCATGAGTAAGGAGTGTGTTCTGGCGTACGAGAGGAAACCAGAGGGCACACGGGCCACGCACGCATACAAGGTCGACAGTCAACACTGCCATCCTCTGACCATCTCACGATCACACGTCCTCCCGACAGTGGTGTGGTGGTCATCCGAACCAACGGTAGTGAGAAATGCCCGACCTTGCTCAGCTACAATATTCCGAGTTAGCTCGAGCCAGGCAGAATGAGAGGGCGAGAAGGGCGATTTCGTCGAGGCGTTTTGTTCTCTGGTGAGAGATGGAGCGGTGAAATCAGCTCGCGTGCACATGTCTTCGCTGGGTTTATCTTCTTGGTTCTTTCGGTAAAGTCACGTAGAAGGGAAATAATAAAATAATAAAATTAAAACATAATAAAATCATTCTCACGACGTTTCGGCCACAACGCAAGCAGCAGTCCTCGGTGAAGAACAGGTCTGTCGGAAAGACAGCGTCTGAATGTAGAAGATGAATCTCTGCATTCACGAAAGCTTCAAATCGAAATTTACGCTGGGTTTGTTGGCATTACAGGACCCTGGGAGAGAAAGCGGCGGTTTTGGGTGCCTTCATTTAGCGGCCGATTAATCGTGACCGGCGATGATAAGGCAACAGGTTCGCACACCTCTTCTTAATCTAAAACGAACTTAAACGAAGCAAATGCATGGGGAAGCCCGGTGGTTGTACTCAGTGACGGATCATGCGAGTGCGGGGCCTGTAGCATATGATGTTATAAAGGGGCACTAAATAAAAAAAAACACGTAAATATTAAAACACACATTTTTTTACTTGCACAGTAAAGTAATTGTATTTTTTTCATTTTCTATACAGCCAGATAATACGACAAATCGCTAACCTTAAACACCCAGTAGTTCGTAAAAGTTGAAGGCAGTATAGTACTATAGCAATAGAGCAAGTGCAGAATCACTGAACCGGAATTGATAGCTTGAAAGCATTTAGCGCGGGGCCTTTGAAATCGCGGGGCCCGTAGCTACTACACGTGTATCTACTACACATGCAGCTACTACTACACGTGTAGCTACTACTACACGTGTCGCATGTAGCTACTCCACGTGCAGCTACTACACGTGTAGCGACTACTACACGTGTTGTAGCTACTACACGTGTAGCAGCTACTACACGTGCAGCTACTACATATGTGTAGCTACTGTGTAGCTACTAGACATGTAGTAGCTACTACACGTGTAGTAGCTACGACACGTGTAGCAGCTACTACACGTGTAGCAGCTACTACACGTGCAGCTACTACACGTGCAGCTACTTGTGCTACGAGGATAATCCGGCACTGGTACTTGTACTGACTGCACGTGAAGCTCCACGTCCCGTTGTGTTCGGAGCAGTCGCTTTCCACTCAGCGGCACGTATTGCAGTGTCGCCCCCGTGTGGCCACCTACACCGAAGTGATTTTGCCGTCAAAACTCCACGCCAGTGAGACGAATGAATGAGATCGATGACGCATCAAACTGAAAACACGTTTGTCAATAATGAAACCAACAAATTGCGACGTTTCGGGCAATGGCTCTTCGTCTAATCACACACGCATCTAATCTCGTGTCAGAATCTATTCGTATGTGCGGATGAAGAATAGTTTTTACCCTTTTTGTCAATGAAACAGTTGTGTTAAGATGTGCAAACACCAAACAGAAACGGCGGTGAAAAAAAAATAATAAAAATAATAATATATCTTCTTGGTTCTTTCGGTAAAGTCACGTAGAATGGAAATAATAAAATAATAAAAATGAAACATAATAAAAGAAAAAAATATTGTTATTTTATTTGTATTATTTTATTATTTCCATTCTATGTGACTTTACCGAAAGAACCAAGAAGATGAATCCCTGCAGTCACAAAAGCTTTAAATCGAAATAATAATACAATTTCAATGTTATTTTTATTATTATTTTCACCTACGTGACTTTACCGAAAGAACCAAAGAGTATGGATTCTTGCAGTCATGAAAACTTCAAATCTAGAACCAAACAGAAACCTTTTGCCAGGAACCATGCCTGCATTGACGACACGTACTTGTGGTGAACACGCAAATAAAACACTGGTGGTTAGGGTCATCAGACGGGGCAGTAGTAGTGACTGGTTGTCTAGGTAGTTAGGGTCATCAGACGGGCTTGTAGTTGTTTCACTAGTTGTCCGGGGTTATGCTCATCAGATGCGCTCTAACTAGTGACTGGTTTACTATATGGTTAGGGTTTACAACATTTGTATTTTAAAAGCAGTAAAACTTTTAGTTTGCATAGAGAGGGTTTCGTGCTGAGTATACTGCAACTGCATTTTCATGAAAATGCCAAAAAAAAAACATGTGGATGATTAATTTTAATCAAGAAATAGAACACAAATCTCGCGTGAAATTACGGACAACACAACTGCACACATTCCCACAAATGACGAGGAGCATCGGACATCGTGTGTACATTCAAAGACAAAAAAGCACGTGTTGACGCTTCCTTGATGGTCACATTGTTTATTAGTCTTGGTGGTCCTCCGATGTGTGGCAGGAGCTCCTTCAGGGAATGGAATGGAGGCAGCGACAAGTTCACCCTTGATCTACCACAGCTGCTGCCGCTGTTTGAAGCAGTCCCAAGCCTCTGGAGGCCCAAAGCTACGAGTTAGGGCCCCCCCCCTTCACAACCGCCACGAGATATGTTTTCAACAACAGTGTCAAAGAACAACAACACTTATTTTGCCAAGGCGGTGCACCCCGTACAGCGTTAAATGTTCAAGACCGTGAGCGTCAAGACGGCAAGAGGGGGCCGTGATCTGATAAAAGCCTCTGGCTGCGACCGTGCGAGACAAATCAAATATTGGGGTCCCACCTGACCGATTTCTGCACCCCCTGAGCTGACAATGTAGTCACTACACAACTGGTAATGTAGTCACTATACCACTGATAATGTAGTAACTACACCACTGATAATGTAGTCACTACGCCACTGATAATGTAGTTACTACACCACTGATAATGTAGTAACTACACCACTGATAATGTCGTTACTACGCCACTGATAATGTAGTCACTACGCCACTGATAATGTAGTTACTCTACACCACTGATAATGTAGTTTACTACACCACTGATAATGTAGTTCCTACGCCACTGATAATGTAGTTACTACACCACTGATAATGTAGTCACTACACCACTGATAATGTAGTTACTACACCACTGATAATGTAGTAACTACACCACTGATAATGTAGTCACTACACCACTGATAATGTAGTTACTACACCACTGATAATGTAGTCACTACACCACTGATAATGTAGTTACTACACCACTGATAATGTAGTAACTACACCACTGATAATGTAGTTACTACACCACTGATAATGTAGTCACTACACCACTGATAATGTAGTAACTACACCACTGATAATGTAGTCACTACACCACTGATAATGTAGTTACTACACCACTGAGTCCAGACGATGTTGATTTATCAGCTCCATTTTTTGTGCAATATCCATCGTGAACAACTTCAATCCGACAGAAGTGAACTCAGCAACCCACGCGTCGATTGTAATCATCCTTAGTAACGTGCTCAAGATTCTCTAAGCGTGAACCAACGTGCTGCATTTGAATGTCATAAGCAAACGTGGGCACACACCAAACACTGGTGAGGGTTATAACTGAATGAGTGGTGTACATTGCTAGTCATCTTAATATCAAATTTCGATTTAAAGCTTTCGTGACTGCAGGGATTAATATTCTTGGATCTTTCAGTAATGTCACGTAGAAGGGAAATAATAAAATAACAATAAATAAAACATAATAAAATAATTCTCACGACGGCTGCTTGTGTTGTGGCCGAAACGTCGTGAGAATTTGTTATTATGTTTCATTTTTCTAATTTTATTATTTCCCTTCTACGTGACTTTACCGAAAGATCAAAGAATATCTTAAGATCAATGTGCTGCTTTGAAGCACAATCCAGGCAGGGTGATGGGTTTGCATCTTGTCCCGTGGTGCAGTCGATTTCCTAAGCGAAGAAGACAAAACACATTGTTGAGCATCAACTTTCGCATGAGATGCAATGCCACTTGTATTGTTCTGTAAATAAATAAATCACCGTGTTGTATCGTTGGTTCACATTAACGTTCATATACGGGGCGTTCGACCGTGACCCAATCGTTCGGGATGCGCTTAATCTTGTCAGACCTCAGAAGCTAAACAGGATTGAGTCTAATTCTAGATTTGAAGTTTTTGTGACTGCAAGGATCCATACTCTTTGTTTCTTTCGGTAAAGTCACGTAGGTGAAAATAATAATAAAAATAACATTGAAATTGTATTATTATTTCGATTTAAAGCTTTCGTGACCGCAGGGATTCATCTTCTTGGTTCTTTCGGTGAAGTCACATAGAAGGGAAATAATAAAATAATACAAATAAAAAAATGTAAAAAAAATATTTTATTATGTTTTTTCGGTAAAGTCACGTAGGTAAAAAATATAAAATAAATTTAAATGAAAATACAAAATAGAAAATAAATAGTAAAAAAAATGTTGGTTTACTTTTAATTAATTATATATTTTTTACCTACGTGACTTTACCGAAAAAAAAACAAAGAGTAAGGATTGAGTCTATGTAGTGTGGGTGGATGGGTGACCACCGTCCATTAAACAGCTGCTTCAGGGTTGTGTCGTGTTGTGGGCAGCAGAGGGCAGTCCAACAGAAGGTCAAGGCACAGCCTTGCAATGACCTGCTCATGCCACCCTAGTAGAAGGCATGGTGGCATTCTCTTCCTAGCTGGCATCGGGAAGATCAGAGCACGTGATAACATCGTGTGACATTCAAGGATGAAAGCTACTTGGATCTATCAACTCCAGTTTGTATCCGAAACAGTGGACAAGGGGCGTTGTGGCCATTTCTCGGCGTGTTTTGTACCTCAGAGGCGTCAGCCTTAGCACGGATGACGAGGGTAGGTGATTAATCGATTGGAGTACGTAATAAAGGCAGGGGGAAGAAAGGTTTTGCGTGGATTTATTGGCTGAAAATCCTCAAGCGGAGCCCGATGGCACACCACTGTGTTGTGCCATCATGCTCGGCTAAGGAACACATTCCTGCGGAGGGAGCTGGTAGGAACCTTGGGTTGCTCGGTCAATGGCCAGGGTCAACGGCGGCGTGGTGTATTCCGCAAATATGCCCGACTGTGAGGGCGGGCACAAGCCGGCGTGAGTAGGTTAAACGTTGAGTTTTATAAGGGCACCACGGGGTGACCCGCCCCTCCCCACCCTCCTCACCCTCCCCTACCCACCCAGCCCCACCCTCCCCACCCTCCCCACCTTCCCCTCCCCACCCAGCCCCTCCCTCCCCACCCAGCCCCTCCCTGCACGACGGACACAATAATCCCCTGTGGGCTGCTGTAGCCAGAAGGTTCCTACCAGTATGAATCTATCATCGGTAGCAGAGATAAAGACAACAGTTTAACACGTAGGTTTTCGCGACTAAAATCATCCATAATACAGGTTTTATTTTTGGGTGAGATCGCGTCAATATGAATGTGTCGTTAAACCCGCCACCACCCAATACAGCATGGCACGTTCTGTTTACGTGACGAACTTTACCAATCGGCTGTGTCGGGTGGTGACGGGTTTAACGACACATTTATATTTACGCGATCTAACTCAAACAAACTAAACCTGTATTATGAACAACAACAACAAAATTCCGCCAAACGATTTATTTTTTAATCAGAGGATTTGTCTGTCTAAGTGAAGGGCCCCTCAAGTGCTGCGTACAGAAAGAGGGCTTCTCCAGGCGTGGAGTGTGCAGCCCCAGCGCGTACCTAGTTCTCACAGTCCACGTCGCTCGCGTTTTCTCCGGAGCCGTTCTCATCCCCGCTGCCCCCATCACAGTGGGGCTTTGTAGGCTTGGGACGAACTCCCTTGCAGCCTGCAGGAAGTTCCAGGTCAAAAAGGGTGCAACAGCAGGAGCCCAAGCAGCAACTGGCATCATCATCATCATGGCTTAATATTCACACCGCACATCCCACGCGATGCATCTCGAGGCGTCCAGCAGCAGGGGACCCCCCGGTGGCAGCTGTCCCAGTGCGGCGCAAGGTCAGCACAGCAGCGGCCACAGCGAGTGAGCGTTAGTCTGCCAGCATGGGGCGATGCTGCTTCGTGGTTTACCCAATTCAGTAACTTGTGCGTGTATTTATAAAATTTGGCAAATTTGGACCATGATGCCGGGACACATAGGCCACTATTTTTTAATGTTATGGGGATATTTAATGTCCCACTGTTAACCAAGAGGAGGTGCATTTCATGGTTAATGCATCCGCGGTATTAACCAGGGTGGCCCACACTGGGCTCGAACTGCAAGTCTCTGCAACAAGCATCAAACGCGCTACCCCTCAGCCGTGTCAAAGCCCGCAAAGATGCAAAATTGCTTCACGAATTTTTGCGGCGTGGCCATACCAAACAATCTACCTCGCATCGTTACAAGTTTAGTTTGTGCTGCCGTAAGCACAGCCCAGTTACGAGTAGCCGTGGACACAAAGCGCATTATCCCGCGGCTAACGTGAGCCTGGCAGGGGAGGCTCACAATGCTGTTGGTGCACGGGTCAGGGTGTCTCACCGTCATCCACGCCCCTGGGACAAGCGGGCAGAGCAGGGCATTGCCGCTTCTCCTCCGCGTCGTTGCGGGGAGGGCACTCCTCAGCCGGAGTTCCCCAGAACGTGATGGGGATGTTCTCATTGGCGCCAACCGGCTTGACGGTTCTTGAGGAACAGGCACCGTGGACATCGTAGGTGGGTGGCATGCGGGTGGCTGTGCAAAGCTGGAGCCACAGAACTTGCTGTGCAAAATATTTATAGGTCCAAAGATTTACATGTCATCGGCCATGATCTATTTGCTGCTGGATTAAGGCCTCCCCACGCTGAGCAGTCCGGGTTGCTGATGTGGGGCCACGTGTATGTGGGAGCGAATAAATAAAGTCCAACAACGCATTTCGCTGCAATGCTGTCTGCTGTCCATCGGCACAAGGCCGAGAATTAAAAAAAACTTCAACTCAGGTTAGATTTTGGGCTCAGGAATTGGGCTGGTTCTAAGTTGGGTTGGCATGATATGGCAATAATAAATGTATATTGTAGGGTATATACACTCCACATTATATCAGCGGTTTTGCTAAATATATCGGAATTACCATTGCCAATTGTTTTAGAAATAATTTCTTACATTTAACAAAACACAGACATTGTGATTTTATGAACAGCAGGAAGACCAGACGGCCGTAACGCCTTGCGTGTATATCATGTGACAACCACACTGCATGTACAATGCTGTCAGCGTTGTCTAAACCACCAGCTCCACAAAGGTCAACGTGTGACCATCTCTCTGTCTCACTTCTGCCAACAGGAAACCGTATACTGGTTTCATCATTATTAGGACTCATCAGTCCAATGTAGTACAATATATCATATTCACTCTTGCCCGATCCCTCTAAAAGCGCATATATTGAGAGGGCTTGCACCTTTACCCTATTAGGAACCCCATTAGCACTTGGCTAAAGACAACAATTATTTAAATCCAACACTTTCTGTACATGATGAGAAAACCCATCACAACAGGAAAACGACACGCAGGCTGGAAACAAACAGATGTAACAAAGGTGAGCCGGCTTGGAAGAGGTCAAAATATCTAACACTGGTCAACAACAACAAAAATTCTGGCCTGGACATTTGCGGCTATTATAGACTAATTTCAGGGTGCTGATTCCAAATCTGATCTCAGATTTGCTCTATCACATCTCATTTTATGCTATCGGCATACCCCATTTTCATTGATTTTACCCGAAATTAACTCTGTCACTTATGATTGCAAGTTGTTGCGAGTCAGTGACTGCTTTAGTGTTAAAATATGGTGCTGTATTTTTAGGATAGTGTGTTTATAATATCATTTAATGTAGATATCCACATTTATTTAATATTTTTCTTCTGCAGTTTTTATTGAAAATGCAATATTTGATATCTCAAAAACCTGATGTGATAGACAAAAACTGATGCCAGATTTGGAATCAGCACCCCAAAATTACCTTAAACCCGTTGGAATACCTTATGCCAAAAAAAGTGTGTTGACCAGTGTATAATAGATGGACTCTCTAGAGCTCCCTTCTTCCAGGCCCTTCCGCTAGCAGTTGTGAGCAATGAAATTTCCAAGCTGCACATTTAACCTTGACCCTATCGTATCGCGAACAAAAAGTAACACCTTGGCAAAGTCTGGCTGTGAACAACGGAATATGTCCGACGTGGTCACGGGACTGGTCGTGGGGGACAAGTCTCACTTCCAGGGAGGCAGCGGCGTCTTGCAGACGCGTTGGCGCACACTGGTGGAGCACTGGCCGCACGGGGGTTGGCAAAGGCTCCACTCGCCCCACTCGCCCCACTCGGGATTTTTCACCTTCAGCTCTGAAAAAGAAGACACAACGTGAGGAGCCACCCCCCTCCGCTTCAGCAACGGGACGCAGACAGCGGTGCGAGTCTCGAGGTAAGGGCTCAACGCGTTTCAGTGAAGACTCCTACTGCACATGGTTTCTGCTGTGCATGTACACAGACAGCCCTCTTGTCGTCCCACTGTCGTATAAGGACCTACCGCCTCTTCCTCCAAGAGGAAGCCAAAATACCTATCGAGAGGGCATCTTTGGAGCAAGTGCAGGGTTGCACCTGTACCACATTTTGCAGTGCTGTTGGGGGGGGGAAGTGGCGGTGCAGTGATTAGCGCACTCCCCTACGAACCCAACATCATGAGTTCGATTCCCGGCCACGGCTAAACATCGATCGCCGGACCAGTGCTCAGCCTCGCCACCGTTCAGCCGGCGTGGTGAAGTGCGGCCAAGATCAGTGGATTGAGATGCTCCGTGTGTTTCCACGTGGACGCGTGCGAGGCGCCCGTTACCGCGGATGGTGCAGTTTTCCAGGTTGTAGCAGGCGCGGATGACGAATCCCTCGCCGTTGCACGCCGTGCCCTCCTCGTCTTGCCCCACGCAGAAGCGCTGCATCGTCTGCTTGCCCACGCGGTGCCGGCAGCGGTTTTCGTACGGCGTATTGGACTTGCACGTCGACCAGGACGACCACTCCGTCCACTTGCCGTCGGCTGCGGGCGACAGGGCACCACGCGGCAAGTAACCCGAGCTGGACATGGTAAAAACTGTGATAATTTGTTTTTTTACCCTTTTATCTGGCAACAAAACTGACACCTTTATTACGAGGAGTCATGTTTGCATAGAACACAATACCTGCAGTCATAATGCAAACAAAAAACATAACTCTGATAATGTATGCACTGTCCTTGATTTTTTTACTGGCAAATGAGGTAGCAATGATGGTAAAAACTGTCAACTTTTATTTTTCAACACTCTGCCGAATTTTCTGATAAACCAAATCAATTGGCATATTTGCCCACGTGATGTCTTGATTTGATTGGCTCTGTCGGGTGGTGGAGGGTTATCTAATCTAATTGATATTCATGAAGCGTCTTCACTCAAGGCGCCTGACAGAGCTTACAAAACGATGACAGAATGGAATGATGTAGTCGACAGGGGGTGTCGGAGGGGAGTGAGGGGCAGAGGCCGGGATACTTGCATACTTGTCAACCCCTTATCAGTGCCCTACCTTGTTACAGACCAATTCAGACCTTATTGGTCACCCCGTGGTGCCCTTATACATCTCAACGTTCATCCTACAAAGTTCCATCGCAAGGGAGAAACACAAACAAATAGACAAAAACTGAAAAACTTAATTTCCTTTGACAAAAATACGACGAAAACCGCATGGGTTGACAGGTATGGAATTAACTCTAGATTTGAAGCTTTCGTGACTGCAAGGATTCATACTCTTAGGTTTTTCCGGTAAATTCGCGTAGGTAAAAATAAATAATAAATAATACAAATAATAACAGAAATAAAATAATAAATCACGACGTTTCGGAGGCAACACAGGTGGGACCGTCACAGCTAAATTTAATGATGTAATGATACGCGTGACACCACAGACATGCGAGAAGGCACAACCAGCACTAATAAAAGCCTAGGCTCTGTGGTCCTGAATTAATTGGGTAGTTTGACCAAATCCATTCATGAGGGTGTCTACATGTGGCAGGAAACCAGAGTACTTCGAGAAAAGCCACGCGTGCCAGGAGGGGAGTAACACTCAATTCCCATACAGACTGAAATTAACCCACTTGCTTTACTGCCATAGCACCCTGGCCACGAGCCACAGGCAACGGCTACCTCCACGCCCAGGGGTTAGGGATGGAGCTTCGCGATCATGGTGCGATCCACCGTGTTCTTTGCGCGCCATCTCACTGGCCCGTACCGGGGCACATGTGACGGGAGTCGCACAGCTCGGTTTGGCTTTGCCGTCCGTCCTCGCTGCCGGGGCAGAGCCGGCCCCCGTAGCGCGGTGCCGGGCTGTCGCAAAGACGGGTGTGCACCCTCGTGCCCAGCCCGCACGTCACGCTGCACCCCGACCATCCGCTCCACGCGCTCCACGCGCCGTCCACTGCGCACATACCGCGCACGGGAACACCCCACGGAAACCATGAACACCATGAACACCACGCACACACACACACACACCACGCACAACAAAAGACAAATATCCCCCGTGTAGTCTTAACAGACTGTATGAGCAAGTGCTGTTAGCGAGCACCTATGAAGGCCGGAACGATACACGAGGGGGTGGGTGGCCAGCACCACGCCCGACCGCCTTTGTCTCCCTAGCGGCGATTTTTACACACCGCACCAGGTACTCATTTGAGGCTGAGTCGACCTAGGGGAGGCCCAGGACCGGTTCAGATAATCGACACTGATGTTTGCCGTGAGCGGGAATCGAACCCAGGTCGCCAGGTTTTTAGTGCAGCGCGCTAACCACTACAACTACCGCTCCCCACACCATGCACAACGAGCACGGGCACACACCCCACGCGCACTTTACGCACAGGCACGCGCACCACACACGGGCACCCAATACTGCTGCCGTGCTGTGGCGAAGAGGCTGTGGTTCCGTGTAAGACCCCGGTAATCAGAGGCGGATCTGTGGTCCTCCCCACGGAGATGGGTGAACGGTCCCGAATTGTTAGGATTTTGAATAAAGCCCCGCATGAATAATTTGCCTGATGAATTAAATCGTTTAGTTTTTAGTTTAACCACCAGACTCAGCACCGCTGCTCAGCTTCCAGGTTCTGAAGACACCTGCTTGGAGATGGATGATTGAGAGAGAGAACACATTTTTTGCATCCCACTGGCATTTTTGCACACAGCGTTGGTGTACGGTGTTTTTTCTGCAATATTTTTGCTGTCTTTTCTTGGATTTTCTGTTTGCACTTAGTCACATATTCACTTTAAGATGTTTTTTTTGTTCATGTTTTTGTTTTTTGTTTGTTGCGGTTGCACCCGATTCAAGAGCTGAATGGCTCACAGGGCTATACCTAATAAATGAACTTGAACTTGAACATTTTGATTTAAAGCTTTCGTGACTGCAGGGATTCATATTCTTGGTTCTTTCAGTAAAGTCACGTTTTATATATTTATTATTTTATTATTTCCCTTCTACGCGACTTTACCGAAAGAACCAACAATATAGAGAAAACATTATTTACTATTTTTATTTTACCAGGCAAGGCCGACTGAGCTACATGGTTCTTTTTCAGAAGCGATCTGGCCACAAATGATAGTTCAACGAAGTGGCTTATCATGCGGAAGTTTACAGCAGCCAAATACTCTAAACGCGTGTTTCTAAATCTGGAGGGGAAAAACCAGAAGCAGCGGAAAAAAATCCACCCAACCGCGGGGATAGAGACACGCAAACTCCAAATATACAGGCGTCAGCGTCGGGATCGAACCCACGCCCTTCCGTACACCAGGCGAGGCAGTTAACATCTCGCCACCAAGATGTGACACACTTTAAAGTCACTTTCCGTCGCCTTCTCCCATGTCCCCCTCTGTGGCACTGCCAACCGTACCAGGGCAGGGGTCCAGATCCAGGCAGGGCCCCGTATCCTGGGAGGCGCCAGGGCACTGCGAGCCAAGCGGCGCCACGGAGGGCGCGGGGTTGTCGCACGCACGGCTCCTCCTCCGCACGGCGCCGTCGTCCCGGCACGTCTTGGAGCACTCGCCCCACGACAACCATGAGCCCCATGCTCCGTGAGCTGCCAGGGGGGCGTCGGGCACGGGGGGGGGGGGGGTGGCAGAGGTTGCAAACGGGTTTTGATTCCTTACCCGTACCCGGCCGCACCAGGGTCACAAATGGGTACCCGTACCCGGCTGGGTACGGGTAGCCGTTCCCTACCCGTACCCTACCCGAAATGAGTGACAAACGGCTACTCACCAGTGACTCACACCCTACCCGTACCCGGCCGCACCAGGGTCGCAAACAGCTACCCGTACCCGTACCCGGCCGGGTTCGGGTAGCCGGGTATCGGGTAGGATACGGATATCGGGCACCCGGTTGCGACCTCTGGGTGATGGGCAGGGAGGGGGGGGGGTGCAACGGCCGATGATAGGTCATTTGCAAGGCCACAAATGAGACTCCGGTGGCCCACACAATTTATGAATTTGAGGCTAAATTAAAGACTTTATTTTCGAACTTGACATACTAAAGGCTTTCTTGGCCAATGTTACAACTTTCTTTTTGATGTTTGGGCACCCTAACGCGAAAATCTATTAAGGCGCATTATTTTTAGAAGGTGTACGGATTACTCAGATAGTGTACGGATGACTTGAATGAAGTCGGCCTAAAGGAGTCATCTCAAGCAGTTTAGTTTCACAATTTGGTTTCTTCTCGTTTTTTGTGCATATCTTGTCGACTGTGTTGTATTTCAACATTTGTCATTTGTTTGCAATCACTTCTTTACTGAGCATTTATCTCAAACACCCATTTGTTCCCCCACCTGCAAACATACTGCATGGGTCGTGCGGCATAAAACACGTTCCTTCGGAGTGGGCAGGTAGGAACTTGGTTGGACAGCGCATTCGTGCACGACAGACAAATATGCACGACAGACAGACAAATAATCCCTGGTGGGCAGTGTCGAACCTGTTGTTCCTACCTGTAAAATAAATTATGATGATGACGTATCAGTGTTGGCAGTGGGCCCTCGTGCAAGTAATGAAATGAGAACCTCCCTCTATAATGTCCCTCCTCTCTTCATAGCTCTCAGTGACTGGGCGTCTCCAGCCCATGGGGCCCTTCAGTGCAATTGCATTGCTGGCACAATCAATAGCCACACCACTGCAACGAACTGAGAAATACTGAGGATATACTCGTATCAGTTTAGGGTAGGCCAAATATCCTCTTGAGGTCTCTCTCTAGAGGTCCCTCTAGTGGAGGGGCAGCAGCAGCACGAGCGGTGAATTGCAGGGCTGACTCGAAAAGAAAAACCACGGTAGATCACAAACGAGAATTGGAGTTTGGAAAATCCTGACTCGCGCCCTCTCCATCCACGGTCAGCAAAGTACTCACTCGGGCAGATCTGTCCGGTCTCACAGGCCACGCTCTCGCTGGCTGGGCCGTCGCAGCGGACGCCGCACGCATGGGCACCCTCGCACGTTCTGGCGCGACGTTTCTGTCCCGCGCTGCACGTGACGGAGCAGGCAGACCACTGGCCCCAGCTGCCCCAAGCACCTCGCACTGCGTTGCGCGCGGATGTGCAGACAAGCGGCGACACACGCACGCCAAGTGAAGGGCCCGTCGCAAACTCTTTCACGCATTCACACATTGGCCCATGGGCTCAATCGCTGAATCAAGGTGGTGCTCACAAACGCAAATGGAATCAATCTAAATTTTGGAGCTTTCGTGACTGCGGGAATTATTCTTTGGTTCTTTCGGTAAAGTCACGTATAAAGATAAAATTATAAATTAAATAATAGCATACGACGTTTCGATTGCAACACAAGCAATCATCATCAGGTATAAATGAAATAGCAACAAAAAATCTAACCAGAAAACTATAGACAGACATATACGTGACTTTACTGAAAGAACCAAAGAATAATCAAATGGAATCATCAATTATCAACACTTTGTTGTTTATTGTTGGTTTGCTTCCAGATTTTATGCCAGTGGTGCGCGAGGTGTCATCTCACGAGACAAAGTACCCATTCGGATCTCTTCCGGAGTCAAAATTATATTTAATTTAAATTAAGCGCAGAGCCAAATTCTATCTCATGGTCTTTTCATGCAGTCATTGGCGACCACAATGAGGCCATCGCCTCAGCATTGCACTTATAAACTGGAGACGTTGAATCACTGGAGGCTGCTTGGATTCAGCGGTGCCAGCTCAGCGTTCTGACCTCTGACCCACTGTGGCCACCTCATTTGTTTTCAACACTGAAGACTCCTCTCATATGGATCTCGCGTGGCCAAACGAGTGGCTTTAGCTTGGGCCATCGAATTTCCTTGAATCCGGTAACCAATCCTGGCCAAAAGTGTAGCCTACATCTGGGCCAGAGATTCCCACAATAATTTAGACAGAATTTATTTTATTTTAGTTTTAGTCTAACTGTAGTAGACGGCAAGCTGGACATTTTCTCAAGTCTGAGTCGGTGGATTGTTTAGAGTCATCTTCTTATTCTCATCGGCTACAGCAGTCAAAAACTAAATCGGTCTACTCTTCATTATCAGATGTTTGGTGTGAGGATCGCACACATGTTTTACACTCTAAACATCAGGTAACTTATTTCTAATGTACAGTGCCCTGCAGTCTCATATAAAAAGTTATCATAGTTTTCGTTTTCAAACTGGTTCATTTCATATTGTTATAGTCGGTTATGCTTTACAATATGGTGGTTAGTCACAACCGTAATGCTGAAAATGTTCATCTCGCTCGGTTATCGTTAACCAAAATTAAATCAAAACATTTAGCTGGTGTTCACTGTCATCAACAAGATGAACACTGACACCGATGGACCTTCACCAAGGAAACCAATTGGCCAGCCTGTACTGGACCACGGACGCACCATTCAACTTTCTCACAGAGTGATCTTCCTTCTTCTTGGTTCTTTCGGTAAAGTCACGTAGAAGGGAAATAATAAAATAATAAAAAATAAAACATAATAAAATAATTCTCACGACGTTTCGGCCACAAAGCAAGCAGCCGTCCTCAGGTGAAGAACAGGTCTGTCGAGAAGACAGAGTCTGAATGAAACACTCCAGACTTGGAGCGTCTATTTAAGCTGGGTTGGAGGGGGGGAGAGCGCCTTGACAAAATAATTTGCATATCAAGAGGAATTTAGCATATTTATGGGAAATTCAGAATGATCTTTGCCTGGGCCACAAATAAGCCACTGGAACGGGCTCGCAGAGTGTCCACGAACCAAGCCACGCCAGCTCTGCCCAGTTCCCTCACCTGGGCAACAGACGCCCGCGTTGCAGATGCGGACCTGGAAGCGTTGATCCAAGGGGAGTAATTTGTTGCAGGCGCCCGTTCCGATGCAGACCTTGGACCGAGAGCTGACGCCACTGCCACACGAGACGCTGCAGGGCGACCAGTCAGACCACTCCGACTGGAACGCCTTCCTGTTCGGCGCATAGCGACATTGGGGTTAAGGCGCCGTTGCAGCGAGGCGCCCTCGCAAGTTCACGCGTTGCGTTCCAACGTCTCCGATCGCTTCCAGGAGCTCCTACACTTGTTGTTGTCGTTGCCGTATTGCAGTTTCATTCATGGGGGAAAGTAAGCGAACGCGGCAGCTCGTTCCGCTGCGTGAAGGGCGCGAGGCATCTTTGGTCACGAGCAGTGCCGGATGAAGCTCGTGCGGGGCCTGTAGCATTACCTACTATAATGAGCGAAAAATGTCTGTGTGTCCCGCACGTGACGTCACTCCACGTCGACCAGCCCCCCTCATTAATAATCATGAATAGGTTACGTCCTCCACATGGAGCCCCCTCCCGCCATTAATAATCATGAACAGGTGACGTCACTCCACATCGAACAGCCCCCCTCATTAATAATCATGAACAGGTGACGTCCTCCAAATGGGGGGCCGAGGTGCCTCCTCCCCCCTTCTCGGCGTCAACTCACAACCCTCACTACAAAGGCAGAACCCTCACGTCACGTGATCTCCCTAACGCTGTTGAGACATCAAAGTAAAAAGGACGTCACGATGAACAAGGGATTATAACCTTAAAATGAAATAGGTCTGTGTCACCGCGCCCTTACAAATTGCACACGAATTGATGCAATGATTATATCACGTCGCGGGCTGCTTTGCGCTTGCAAGTTTCATATTTACTGCAATACACCCATCCTTGGACAGGCAAAAGGCTAGTATGTTATAAAGGGGCCCTAAATAAATAAATAAAGCACGTAAAAATGAAAGCACAAATGTTTTACTTGCACAGTAAAGTAATTGCCAACAGCATTAAAGTAATGATCAGCCACGGCAAAAGTGTTTGCCCAACCATGTTTCATTACTTTCATGCGGTTGGATCCCACGAAATTGATTTCTCTAAGGCGATGGTACTTTGCAAGCCCACTGGCTATCAACAAAGATTCGTTCATGAAGCCATCCATATATACAGACACAGACACAATTTCAACCGAGATGATGCGTACAAACTCAGCAATCATTGGAAGTACGTCATCAACCACTTTAAGTCATAACTGGTTGTGATGTTTTCTCCTTGTCGGCTGTCGTCCCTTACCTGTCACCTTCTGTGCTTCACCTTGGTGGTTTCTGACCCCAAGGCACATATGCCCCGCCCACTTCGTTCTGTTACCAGGATGCTTGTGCCACGCCTCTTTTTAAACCTTTAAAAGCAGCTTGCATTCGGTGGCATTCCCCCCACCCCCCACTTTATCCACCTGATTTCGATCGCTTGTGTTGTGATCGAAACGTCGTAGTTTTTTTTATTTTATTTACTTACATTTTTTCTATCGACGTGACTTTACTGAAATAACCAAGAATATGAATTCCTGCAGTCACGAAAGTTTTAAGTCAAAATATATAAAAAGGTTGATGAGCACAGGCCCAAATGATCAAAATGCCAAGTGACCAGCAACAAGAAACACAATCAAAGTTGTAATAGATGACGTAGCGATGTTTGATCGATACTCTTTGGTTCTTTCGGTAAAGTCACGTAGGTGAAAATAATAATAAAATAAAATAGAAAAGTGAAAACAACTAAATTAAAATCACGACGTTTCGGGCGCAACACAAGCGTCCGTCATCAGGTGGAAACAACCACAGCAAAAACAGTTGCTGAAGTATGCCAAAGAGATGGCTTTGACAAGGGTTATTATAAATGTTTGATCGAGCAAGGCTATTCAAACTTGAAGGAGGATGGTGGGGGGGGAAGAGATGGTGGAAATGAATTCCAAAGCCGAGCAGTCCAAGGAAAGAAGCAGAAAGACGGAAAGTTTTTGGAGCTGCAGTGTTGGTGGTTCAACAAAGTACGAGTGGAACGAAACGGTCAGTCTGGTAGACCGACTCCTCGCCATGGGTGGAGGAATGGCCGAGCGAAGTTCACGGCGCAGTCTGCATGCATGTTGAACTTATTTCGCAACGTACGTAGCCAACCGTGCTCATCGGGAGCATCGCTACGACCAGTAAACCCTGGCAGTAGCGATAGAAGAGCGAAACGGAGACCACCGACCGCCGGGAGTGAATCGGTCATCAGTCGTCCCGACTTGCTTCAACGTCGCTTCGTGCGGCCGCTCACCGGCACGCAACGCATGCCCTCCCTTGTTGGGCAAACCCAAAGGTTGGGTTCCGGCAGCAGGCTTCCTGGGTCGTCTTCTGACCGAGCAGCAGCTCCTTGCTGCACACACCGGTCCTGGGGTCCACCTCTGTGTAGCACGCTCCCGAGGCTGCGGGGCAGGGGATTGCAAGTCAGTGCGATTTTTAAATCCTTTATATTAAGTTCACTTGCTTGCTTGCTTTGCGCCCTTACGACCGTGCAAATCTTTCGGTCGTTTTTTTAACCCACTTCCCGTGATCCAATCGAGCTGACATTTTGCACACAGACTCGTTGTGCGTGACAATTTATTTTCGTGAAAACATTTTTCCAAAATTTTCCACTTTTTAGGGAATTTTTTTTTCATATTTAATTAAAAATTCCAATGTGATAAAAATGAAACTCTTACTCAAGAAAAACAGAAATGAATAATAAAATAAAACCGATGCCACGCATATAAAGGATTTATAGTGAAAAACTTTGTTTTTACGGGTTACATTTTTTACAGATTTAGGATCGCGGTTACTGGCCCGGTGGCTCAGCGGTTAGAGGCAGTGGCTCGTGAATGGGAAGGTGGCGAGTTTTTCGAATCCGCGCGGCTGTTGACTCAACCCAACGTTTTTATGGGGTCGATAAAACGGTGACCACTTTTGTGGAGAAGTCAATAATTTGTCGTCCCACGTGAAAGGGAGGTCCCCACGAGCCGTCTCGGGGGGACAGGCGCTTCATTCTTGTCGCACCCCCAACCAAGACACACACTCGCAGGATGCTTCGCCGACAGAAGACCACCATGCCCCCCCCCCTTCACACTCTCCCTCCCTTCCCCCTCGAACCTTCCAGAAGATTCCCTGTCCCTCCTCCTCTGCCTCGCATTCTACATTAATCGATTTCTCCCTTCCTTACCTGTCCCTAAAACCCACTTTCCCCGAAATTGAACCTCTCAGCCAATCCCACGTCCAGCTTCCCAGCAACTGCGCCCCACCCAGCCAACCGTAGTTAATGAATGTATTACCCTACGATGTCCTTACATAACAATTACATATAGACGCACTCGCTCCTGCCATGGGAATGAGGAATTGCCACCTCTGGCTCATTGCTCATTTGAGCAGGAAATCACTCGGACGTTTGACTATAACACGAGGCCAACTTTAATAACAATAAAACACGCAATTTATAGCACGCACATATTGCACGGACCGTGAAATTGCGGCAATTGTCATGGGCAGTGCAATTGGTACGAGTGACCACATAGCTCCATGGTTAAACAAATCAAGGCGAGAACTTCAACAAGACACCAGAGATATTCGAAGTTTCAAGCGACCTGGGTCACAAAAAATTACAAGAGTAATAACTTCAAATATCGCACGGCAATTAAGTCAATATAAATCAGAGGAAGAACATACACTTTACAGGATAAATCTAAAATACTGTACAAACATAAGTACGGGTACATACATACTGTCTAGTTAATTAAAAAGTCACCCCTGCAGCCAAGCGAACAGAAATGTAAGCGAATTTTAAGTGCACTCTCATGTTGACTGGAAACAAATACTGACCCAATTACATTTAGGAAAATTTGGTCACAATGGACAAATGCAACTATTGATATATATTAAACGGTTGATGGGCATAGTCCCAAATGATCAAAATGCCAAGTGACCAGCAACAAGCAGAATATTTGTAATCGATGACAAAACTATGTTTGATCGAGCAAGGTTATTCAAACTTGGAAGAGGAGGATGGGGGGGGGAGGAAGAGCCAATTCTTGGACTCACTCACGATCCCAAATCTTAAGGAACTCGCCCATTGTTTCAACCGCCATACCTACAGAGTCAAGGGTAATGCATTTGTGAATATCCCCAATAACAAATGAGCCTCCGAAATGTTGCTGATATTCCAGCGACATCACCACGGTCAGATTCCGCAGCTCCAGAGGGTCGGTGGATTTTTCTCCGGGTCCTCCGGTTTTTCGGGGTTTCCCTCCACGTTTAAAATCAACGTGCGTTTAGAGTATTTGGCTGCTATACATTTCCACGCGATAGGCCTCTTCGTTGAGCTCTCATTTGTGGTCAGGTCGTTTCTGAAAAAGAGCTCGATAGCTCAGTGGGGCTTTACCAGGTAAAATAAAACACATTCCTGTTGAGGGAGCTGGTAGGAACGTTGGGTTGCTCGGTCAATGGCCAGGGTCAACGGCGGCGTGGTGTATTCCGCAAATATGACCGACTGTGAGGGCGGGCACAAGCCGGCGTGAGTAGGTTAAACGTTGAGTTTTATAAGGGCACCACGAGGTGACCAGCCCCTCCCCACCCAGTCCCACCCCTCCCACCCCCCACCCAGCCCCATCCTCCCCACCCTCCCCACCCAACCCCTCCCCACCCTCCCCACCCAGCCCCTCCCCACCCTCCCCTCCCCACCTAGCCCAACCTTCCCCACCCAGCCCCTCCCCACCCTCCCCTCCCCACCCAGCCCCTCCCTCCCCACCCAGCCCCTCCCCACCCTCCCCTCTCCACCCAGCCCCACCCCTCCCATTTTTGGATGCACGACGGACGGAAGGACGGACGGACACAATAATCCCCTGTGGGCTGGTGTAACCAGGAGGTTCCTACCAGTAAAAAAAGTTTAGTTTATTCGTGTTCAGTTCTTACCGGGCTGTGCTGCTCCTGTGCTCACCAGGGCAGCTATCACGGGCAGCCACAGCCACGCAGCCTCCACGGTCAGCGACATGGCAGAGTGTGGCCCGGAGCCATCCAGTGCCGACTCTTATCGGCTCGAAGCGACGGTTTGTGATGGGGCTGTCACTCGCTCACTCAGCCTTGCAGTGCCAGCATCCTGTTTTTCTGCTCGTTGGGCATAAAACGAGAATGAAAGACACGAACAACAACAACAAGAAGAACGATTGTGGCTGTGAAAGGCCACAACATAATGTGCAATGGAAATCTGATTTGTGCAAATCTTTATGAAACTGGAAGTGATTTTTAGTTCATGGTCTCCAAAAACGTTGCTTTCAAGGTCACAAATTTGCTGTCAGGATTGAGGTGTCATATCGTTATCATAATCAGTCATGATCAGTCTGCTGCTGGGTGAAGGCCTCCACGAGCTGCCTCCATCTCTCAAGATCCGGCGATGCAATGAGCCACCTAGCACGTGAACGTGAGCTGATCTTCATTGCTCCATCTCCCCAACGGGTGTCCCACTGGACGCGTTCCATTCCTTGGCTGCAGGTCGATCACCGGCCATCGGCCCTTATAGTGGAGTCTCCTGCCCAGCTTGTTTGATGAGATCAGAGTTGTCGGGGAAAGACGCCTGACGAGGAAAAGTCGACACACTCAGAGGTGCTCTCCTAGGCCAAAACGGGGGCATACTTTTCTATATTTTAGAATTTCAGTTGCATAACTGAGTAAAGTGCTGTGGGTGGAGCGGTGGTGCAGTGGTTTGCACACTGCGCTGCCAACTCGGCAATCTGAGTGCAATTGCAAGCCACGGCTAACATCAGTGGTGCGTGATCTCTGAACCAGTACTGAGCCTCCTTGCCTTTCATCAAGCCGCACAGATGGCTATAAGTATGGTCCGACAACCTCTCACGGCTGACACGGCATGGGTAAGCTTTTATCGAGCAGTGGATTAACAAAGGGCTGTAGATTATTTTTTATTCCTACTATCCAACCGTGTCAACCAGAGCTGGGCTCTCCAATGATTTAAGTCGATCGATTACTCAACCGATTATCGATTCAGTCACTCGACTCATCAATTGGCTCACACAAAAATGAAGTTGAGTTAAATAAAGTCTCACTTCTGATCACACACGTGTGTCGCTGGACGGGAGGTAATGGGCCCGAGTGACAGGCCACGCACGACGTAGTTCATTTACAATTTTCTTAGGAATTCAATTGATTTTAAATTGACTCATTGTCCCTGGCCTAGTTTCAATGCACCCTGCCGATAGCTCTATATTTAAACATGGGCTATTTATTTAACCTTCAGGGCTCCCCTGTTGCAGGGCACACAAGCCACACACACTGCACTCCGAACAGAGGAATTTACCCATGACCAGCTGGGAGCACATTAACGCCTTGCATTGTGGGTTACGCGGTCGTGTGCGACACAGTTTTGCCGCAAAGGTGGTGCCTCTCACAATGTGATCTGTGCAGCACCGGTGGCACGTGAGCCATCTGCTAAATAGTCAATACACGTATGTGTGTGTACGTGTGTTCCCTTGTATTACCATGCAATGTATAGCATTGTACGTACTAAAGGTATTATAGTGAAGAAAGCAGTCGTTGCGTGTGTGTTTATATATGTATGAATGTATATGTTTAAATTATCACCTCCCATGTCAATCCACTGCTGTATGTATGTTGAACTTCATTCGCACTACGTGACAACCCTTACTAGTTGGCTGTGTCGGGTGGTGGCGGGTTTAACGACACATTTATATATTTACGCGATCTAACCCCCCCCCCCCAACAAAAAAAAACCTTGATGGATGATATTGGTCGCGGAAACCTACTCCGTGTTAAACTGAAGGGAACCGTCAGGCGTGACGAGCTCGTGGCCAGCTGTGTTTGAGAATACTGCCTCCTGACACCGAGGTGAAGGAGCAACAGCAGCAGCACAAGCTTGGAGGCGATGAGGGATTCCGGGAAGGACGCCGAGATGGAGGATGCACACGGCGAGGTAAGAAGAGGTAACCAGCACAGCGAATGCAAGCCAACGCGCGATTAACCATCGCCCAAAATGTCACACTTTGATGTCCGAAGACCCAAATTACTACCTCTATTAATTATATTGGTCGCGACAGCTTACGTGTTAAACTATATTTACTGTATCCGACATTGTAAACCATCGGATTTATGAATCCTGAAATCTTTGATGTCGCTTAGATACAATATCTTTCTGGGGCTCACAATGAAGAAAAGCTGGCGGGACTTTCAGATTAAATATTGCTTAATTGTTGGTACGTGAGCGAGCAAAGTTTGGGAACTCGGGAATTTTGCTCTTTGGCTTTAGAGGCAGGAATCACGAGCCTTCGTAGTGAAGGTCAAATTATTCCCCCAGGTTAAATAAGCACTGGGCGAGCCAGAGAGCGCAAGGGAAACCGGTGGAATTGGGATAAATGCCAACGAGGAAAATCATTGACGCTGCACTCGCTCTGCCGTGTTAACAAACCAGCACGTGTGAGGGTGACTGCAGTCGACCTCAAACACAAAGATCCCCCGTGTAGCCTTCAACAGATTGCTGGGGCAAGTGCTGTTCGCGAGCACCTATGAAGGTTGGCACGGTGGCACGACAGGGATTGGTGGCATGCACCACGCCCGGCCGCCTTTGTCAGATGCTCACTTGAGGCCGAGTGTGTCACCACTTATTTATTATTATTAATTCTAAACTGATATATTTATTGTAAACTTTCATAGTGCTGTGTGGCGCTGGCCATTTAACGTGTTGGGCCTTTGGACCTGTGCTCAGCAAGTGTTTAAAAATAATTTCAAAAAGTAACGCGCAAGAGTCAATAAGCCGAAGTGAAACTCTCCTCGTGTGATCACGCGACCAGTGGCCGAGTGAAGGTTTAAGAATTGCAATCACCACCAGTGGATTGCTGCTGCTGCTTCAGCGAAGTGTTTGTTTTCAAGTTCCCATCATCATCATCGCCATCAGCAGCGATTCATTTCCGCACGGCATCATTGTTAGAGCCCTCTTTGGGAGCTATACACTTCGCCTCCTATCGCCTTCACAGACTGCTGGAGCAAGTGCAGTTAGCGAGCACCTATTGAAGGCTGGCACGGCACACCAAGGTGGGTGGCCAGCACCACACCGGGCCGCCTTTGTCTCCCTAGTGACGATGTGTACTCATCGCACCCGGTATTCAGTCGAGGCTGAGTCGACCCAGGGGAGGTCCAGGACCGGTTCAAAGATTCATTACCGTGATTTCTCACGAGCTCAGATCGCCGGGTTCGTAGCGCAGTGCGCTAACCACTGCGCCACCACTCCCCCCCCCCCCACCACCGATCAGCACGGTTGGCTACGTACGGTGCGAAAGAAGTTCGACACACACACAAACACTCCCCCAGCTGCATGACAGCCAGCCACAGCAAGCGGAGAACGCGTCCACGAAGCCACGGGCAGTGACACGGCCCAGGGGACAGCGCCACTAATTGCAGAGGTTCACAATGCCAGGGTCGCCTTCATCATCACCAACATTCACTACGCGCCGTCTGCGTCGCAGTAAACGTTAAAATATCCCCATGGGCAAGAGGAGGCCATCGCGTGCCGGTATCCGGGTCCACATTTGCCAAACGCGCAAATGACTCAATTCGGGATTATACTCCACAATGATCGCCCCCGCTACTTGTCAGACGAATGTCCCCAGGTCACTCTTGCAAATGAGACTCATCCTGGCGCCTCTTGAGTAGACTAAACACAACTCTTGTTGAGCCATTGGCCGAGTCGTCCTGAATGGCCCCGATCTCAAAAGGTCAGCAGGGTTCATCCTCGAATTGGTGACCACCAGAGCTTGCCAGTTCGTTGTCGGCATGGCGTTGTGCGGTGACCAGGGCATGGCAGTTCAGCTGGCTCGTTGTAATTCACCAATATCCATTTACTAATGCCTCGTCTGTTCGCACTTGGATGAGAGACTGCCTGGGAATGCCAGGTGTTATAGGCTTGGGATGCGAGGTGGCCAGGAGATGGCAGTACGGTACAGCATTGGGCTCTTGAATCGATCTTTGCAGAGCTTTGAGCGTTACCCTCTCGTACGCATGAAGTCAAACACTCATGACCAGAATTGGCCAAACATCTCAGCGCCAAGACCATGAACACAACAGAACAAGTCTCGAGAATCAACAAAGCTTTCCCGAGTAAATAATTGTCATTTTGTTTTCGAGTTCAAAAGATCTATTGTTAGAAGAAGCAGGCAAATATTTACATGTCACTTCTGTCATTTACACTGCCTTATAATACAATAGTGACCTCGCGATTTTGGCAATGACCTTCTTTAAACTATAAGAGGGCAACTGAAATCCCACCTTAGACTGTAAGATGTATTAACATCTCATATAACGTTGACACAAACAGTTTTGATTTATGTGTGCCCAGCCGGTCGGGAAACGCGTAATGGTGAGTGCGTAGCATTGAAACCACGTGGTTTTCCGGTCATTCCCTCCCCCCGATCCATGACAATCCTTGAGTTGTTTTCAGTGAAAACAAAAACTCTGAAACTGCTGCGAGGTTTAAATGGAGCCAGCAGGAAGTAAAACAAGCAAATGCCAGCTCACTTACGAGTATGTGTGCCATCAAAATTCGCCGACTCGTTCAAGAGAAACGCTGTTGTGTCCACGTCTCGTGGGTCAAAGGGAGTTGTCGGTAGTGCAGCGGTCAAGCGCTGCGCTCCAAACCCAGAACACCACGGGTTCGATTCCCACTTAGGGATATCAACACCGGTGACGATTATCTGAACCGGTCCTGGGCTTCCCCTAGGTCGACTCAGCCTCAAATGAGTACCTGGTTCGGTGTATACACATCGCTACTTGGGAGACAAAGGCGGCCGGGCGTGGTGCTGGCCACCCATCCACCCCCTCGTGTCACAGTGCCGGCCTTCATAGGTGCTGCTACTCGTTAACAGCACTTGCCTCAACAGACTATTAAGGCTACACGGGGCGGGGAAACTTTATCTTTGTAAATAATGGTGGGGGGGGGGTTCTCTGGATAGCTCAGTGGCGCTGCAAGTGACTCTACAGAGAACATTTCAAGTTTGATGTTTGTTTCGTTTAACCAGGTGAGAACTGAAGAGGCGAGGATAATCTCATTCGCAGGACTGACCTGGGACACCAACAAAGACAAAAGCAACGGCATTGTGCATTGGGTAGAACCAATGCAAACAATTGCAACCGCGTAGAGACCAGGACAAGACCAACCGCATTACAGAATCAAATTGAAAACTGCCCAAAAAATATCAATATTATATTACATGCATTTTCAGTGGCTAAAATTTTTTGTCGTCTCGAACAAATTCCTTGAACAAAAATGTGACAATGTTTCCACACAGTGCACCCTCTACTGCAACACACACGTCGCATTGACGAAACATGCCTCCCGAAGTGCCAGCAAAACAAAAAGATTCAACACAACATCGTAGGCTTAAGTAACACAGCACACAAGACGTGCGTGGACACCCCGCACCTGCGATTAGCACGTTCGGCTACGTGCGGCGCGAAAGAAGGTCAACATACATGCATATAAACTCCGTGTCGACCAGACCCACACAGTTTAAACTTCCGTAGCCCATAAACCACCTGGACGGCAATGCTTCGTTAATAATTAACCCTCTCCCCCACTGCCCTGGAGATGAATCCGTAGCTTTGCCACTAGAGGCTTGTGACAAGCAGCGAGTTGGAAGGAAGGAATTCTGTCGTCTGTTCTTCTGCGCTGCTGCTGCTGCCACTGCTGTTTGTTGCTGGCGTTTGTTGCTGGTGGTACAGCTTGGTTCGAGCGGAGAGCATCGCTCCGCTTCACGACTGCGCTCGAAGGTGAACGAGGGGGGGTTGAGACTTCGCACGGAGAGCGCCCGGCTGGAGGGGAGCGCAGAGGAATGGGAGGAGAGGCCCCCAGGTGCAGTGACCACGAGCAGCAGCAGCGTCGTCGTCGTTTCTATGAGCTGTAACAAATTGGGGGGGGCGGGGGGGGCACAATTCGACGACAAAATCAGGTCTTCGTCGACAAGTGTCGCATCGTCGAGTCTGCATCGACTTTCTCTTTGCGCCGTCTCGTTCATAGAGTCTTGACCGTTCCACGAGCCTCAGCGTGACACTGCCGTGCCATTTGCGTAAATTGCACTCGGAAACCACAATCACACTGGGACCGTGCGTTAGGCAGCCGTGCGAGTCGGAGGTGCGCTGCAGCGGAGGGGTAAGGACAACCAAACGTCAAGACGTTTGCTCAACGTCATGAGCACCACGACAGACACCGACCGATGACTCGACGCATCGTCGGTCCATCGCCTCGTGGCCTCCATCGCCTGTGCTCGGCTCAGACCCCCCCCCCCCCCCGTCCCGTCCCGAGCGATGGCGCGTTCCGTGCGCACGCGGTGGCGCATCTCCCTCGGAGTCGCGGCGCTCTTCTCGCTGTGCGCCGCCGCCTGCCTGGCCGCGGGCGTCAAGGGCCACCTGCTGGGAGCTCTCGTTGACCCCGGATTCCGTCTCGACGTCACGGCGGGTGGCTTCTACTCGGGCGGGCTGGCCTCGCTCGCCGGCCCCGCGCTCCTCTGCTGCCTGGGTACCGACGCTTGCCGCAGGAGCCGCCGTGGCCGCCGCGAGAGGGAGGCGCGGGACCCCCGGGGAGGCGGTCGGGACGCGCAGGGCCACGCGGCTGGAGGCGGCGCGTTCCTGCTGGGCGTCACGATGGTGACGATGGCCGTGCTGGCGGCATTCGTCGGCACCGTGCTGGACGGGGAGGCGTTCAGCAAGGCACTGGGCAAGTGGCGCGGTGGCGGTGGTGGTGGGGAGGGAGCGGTGGGGCAGTCGTGAGGCTCGGTGGCTACGAGACGCGCGGCGTCGATCCAGAGAGGTCGTGGCGAGTGGCTTTCGTCCGTTCGTGGTGGTATATCCACAGGGCCATGATGGGTTACGATAATTAGTTGCCCGCGGTAACAATAATAACAACAATAATTTCCTTTGTTTATGCAGGAAATCCACAGGTCACAACATTTTTTTTGGAGGGCTCTCAATTGGGACGTTTGGCCACGAAATAGGCGCGTGACATATGGCAGGAAACCAGAGACCTTAGAGAAAGCCTACGCATCGGGGGCGGGGGGAGAGGTTACACGCAAAGCTGCACAGATGGACTCACGATGTATTTTCTTCGCTGCCATCGCCTGGACAACTTGCAGCCCCAGCATGCAGCACCCCTCTTATTCACAGCAGAGGTCGCAAACGGGTTTTGATTCCTTACCCGTACCCGGCCGCACCAGGGTCGCAAACGGGTACCCGTACCCGGCCGTACCAGGCCGTACCCGTACCCGGTCGGGTACCGGCCGGGTACGGGTAGGGTACGGGTATCGGGTACCTGATTGCGACCTCTGGGATGAAGCCATGTTGCAGGCGCGGGTGGGTTGATTCTAGGAACTTGAATTGTGAGAAGAGACAAGACGTTGGGAAATGAGTGACAAACGGTTACTCACCGGTGACTCACGGTCTACCCGTACCCGGCCGCACCAGGGTCGCAAACGGGTACCCGTACCCGGCCGGGTACGGGTAGCCGGGTATCGGGTAGGGTACGGGTACCCGGTTGCGACCTCTTATTCACAGTCATTCTACCATTCAAGTGCGTGCCGTCCTGTACCAAAGTGGCTTAATCCTGCTTCGCTTAGGAGCTCTTGACGATATCGGGCACGTTCAGAGTAATTTGGTAAAATAAGTTGGCAAGTTCACGTGCAGGCGAAAGATCAAGATAAATTATTAAAATTTATCTAATCACGTTCTGTGTTATCCTGCGGCACGCTACTGTAAGGGAGTCTTAGTAACTGTCATTTTGGTTAATAATTTGACCAAAGTGACCCCAGTTGTAGTTCATGCTCGTCAATGTGTGATTTATAAACTGACGACATTGCTCGTGAGTCAAGTCCAAAAACACATGTTCAAGTTTTAGTGTTCGAACATTTCTAGTTTCAATAAAAAACATTTCACGTGAAATTGGAGGCTTCCACAACATTGTGGCTCTCACTCAAGTTGGCTCATTCTGTTGGGTGCATTCTCATCTTTAAGGTTTAGCTTGAGTCAAATAAGCGTATTAATTTTACATAGATAAGTAAATAAATGTTCGTTGACTTTGTAACTTTTCGATGTTGCTGTCGTAATATGTAACACGGTGATACCCCGATTTACGCCGTTTCGCAAACACGTCGTTGCTTTGCCATTAACGCCGCGACCCGATTCGCGTCGCCGACACAATCGTCGCCTCTCAGACTTCGCCTCCACCTACCCCAGGCGGTCGGCTACCCGCGGTTCCGGAGCCGCGTGCGGGCTCTGCAAAGGACTGCTGCTTCGTGTCCATTATTTGTCAAGGACCCACCGTTTCGAATTCACGCGCGATCGGCAGCTCTTGATATATATTCAAGTTTTTTGTTGACCGAATTCAACAACAAAAAAATTAACCCGTAAAAACAAAGTTTTTCACTATAAATCCTTTATATGCGTGGCATCGGTTTTATTTTATTATTCATTTCTGTTTTTCTTGAGTAAGAGTTTCATTTTTATCACATTGGTATTTTAAATTAAATATGAAAATTTTTTTCTCCTAAAAAGTGAAAATAAATTGTCACGCACAACGAGTCTGTGTGCAAAACGTCAGCTCGATTGGATCACGGGAAGTGGGTTAAAAAACGACCGAAAGATTTGCACGGTCGTAAGCGCGCAAGCAAGCAAGCAAGTGAAATTAATATAAAGGATTTAAAAATGGCTCTTCTTCTTCTTACTTTGGTTGCCGTCCCCCAGACCGACCCTGCAGAGCGCTTCGCTTTACGCCGTTTCGATATCCGTCGTCGCACCCATCAGGAACGCATACACCCCCCCCCCACCCACCCACCGACGTAAACCGGGGGGTATTAGTGCACGTGCTTAGGCCCTTGCCTCCCAATGAATTATCCCTGGGCCACCTCGTAACCGTGCCTTGACGGGGCCCCTGCGCGCAGGCAAGTACGAGGAGGAGTGCACGCGCGGCGGTGGCGGCGGCGGCGGTGGCGGCGGCTGGCAACGGGGCTGCGGTGCGCTCCACCGCTACACCACGGTGCTTGTCATCTCGGCCTCGCTCAACGGCATCGAGTGCCTCCTGGGCTTCGCGCTGCTCATCGCCACGCGCGAGTACAAGCTCGCCGAGGCACGGCGAGACCTGGACGACGGCTACGACGTCGGCGGTGACGGCGGCGGCGACGACGCCGGGGGGAACGCCGCCGCGGATACGGAGAGCGGTGGCGGGAGTTCCATTCTCGCGGCCTTCCCGCCCTTCGGGTTCTACGTGAACCCCGCGGCGCTCGGTGGCAACGGTCGCGCGGGGCCGGACCGCGACGTGGCGCTGCCCGGGTACGCCGAGTCATGTCGCCACGACGGCGACTGCGCGTCGTCGCCGTACAGCGCTCCTCCTCCCGCCTACAGCGACATCTTTCCGGGGAAGTGAGCTCAATGGTTAATTAGCCCACCTTCCCAACTCGCTTTGCTGTTCTTCCATCTCCCGGACAGTTCAAAAGGCCCAACGTGCTTTGGAGTTTCGCGCGTGTGTTTCACCAACCCTCCCCCCGCCAAAGCACTGAACGACGAAGACGGCGATGATGGGGTGCAGCGGCCACCCTGATGAATGCGTTGTCGATGCATTTTACCGCGCCTCCGATTAGCACGGTTGCCCATGTATGGTGCAAAAGAAGCTCAACATAGAGAACAATATATGTACATACGTACCACTAAAGATCCTTTCTGATATCATTCGCAAACGGTAAGCGACTGCGTGCCGTCCTCACGGTCAAAATGATTACAAAAGAATGACCCGAAAATTACTCAAAAAGCATGGAGCAACTGCCCGTCCCGCATCTGCGAAAACTTGTCAGGACCCTCTTGAAAAGGGTCGAGAGACTCGGCGATGCTCTCCTGGGTAAGCAAGCGTCAACGCCACCTGCAAGGGAGAGCAGCACCTTGGAGGGCAGGTGGTGACTTTTAGCAGTTGCAGGGTGTGGGCAGGAGGGAGTGATGGCCGAGTTGTTGAGGCAGCAATGGCACCGACCACGATGACCCCCTTCGAGTCGAATCACCCCTCAGGAGCTGCGTCAAATGGACTCACAGTCGAGCAAATCTGAGATCAAAAACAGCCGGATGAACCGAACACCTTTGATGTGATTTTATATTTTGATCGCAGTGTTATCATTTTGTTTTTTTCATTGGAGCTGTGCGATTGGGTAGATACAGACAGTAATTATTCCCATTATGTACCTGGGAAAACCTCACCGAGCCTGAAGGGTTTTATTCGATTTAAAGCTTTCGTGACTGCAGGGATTCATATTCTTGGTTCTTTCGGTAAAGTCACGTAGAAGGGAAATAATAAAATAATAATAAAAATAAAACGTAAGAAAGTTCTCATATTATGTTAAATTTTTATTATTTTATTATTTCCATTCTACGTGACTTTACCGAAAGAACCAAGAATCTGAAGGGTTTTTATTGAGGAAGATCCTGCATTGGGATATTTGTCCATTTCCTTTTTCTGTAGCTTTTCGGATGCAATTGGAGCGCCCGCGGGGAAACCCCCGCTCCTTACGAGGCGGATAACAAAGCTCCACACAGATATATGGGAAGTATCTGCTGGACCACCATCTCATGGCCAAGTCAGCCCAAGCAGACAAAACGGCCTAAATTTACCACGCCTGTAGATCAGAGCCCTCAACAAAGATGAAACGCCATTGGAACCTCATTTGCCAGTAAAAAAATATAATTGTTTTTTGACCCTTTAATCTGGCAACAAAACTGACACCTTTTTTTTACAAGGAGTCATGTTTGCATAGACCACAATACCTGCAGTCATAAAGGGTAAAAAAACAATTATATATATTTTTTTACTGGCAAATGAGGTTCCAATGGTGTAAATGCTTACCCCGAGCTCTCATACTCTGATGGTGCATTGTCTTTGAGTTGTGCGCCTTTTGGCGTCATCTGGTCCAACACCATGTGAGACTAGGCTCTAAGGAAAGCTGTCTCGGGTGTGAACCAATCAACTTCAAGGACAGTGCATACATTATCAGAGTTGTGTTTTTGTTTGCATTATGACTGCAGGTATTGTGGTCTATGCAAACATGACTCCTTGTAAAAAAGGTGTCAGTTTTGTTGTCAGATAGAAGGGTAAAAAAACAATTATCGAAGATGAAACGCTCAAACTCGCTCAGTTTTCATTGCGCACAGATTTGATTATCTAAAACTTTAAACGTCTGCCCTAAACGTTCTCGTTAACAGTTCCATAAATATTACCTTGATTCACACCGCACACACACACACGAAATAACATTTCCATCTTGATTTTGTGCTGTACAAAATATACTTTATTAAAAGACATTATACTTGCGCACTTTCCGATTAAATTCCGAGTGGGCGTGCGGCTTTAAGAGCACTCAAGCGTGGAGAATGAGAGCTCCAACCAAGCCCGTAGTGGTAACCCTGCCTCTTTGTAAAACTCCACACACACACACGAAGATGCACCGAATCTCTCTAAATTTCTGCCGCCCCATTATACGATTCCACTTCGCGTAAATATTATAAAGTACAATAATATATATTTTTAAAAAGTACTATTACACTTCACGTAATATTATAAAATAAAGCATGAGAAATTTAAAATGTTTTCAAGTAAAGAATGTACACTTTCCTTTGTAAAACACAAGTGTATCTATTCTGGGCTCCGTTGGCCTCAATTTCCTAATACAATTTCTGCTTTTGAAGAAGTTATTGCTTAAACAATTCAACTGTCATTAATTCATCGGCTGGGTTTACACTTCCAAACAGGAGCCTTTATCTTTTTGGTTCTTTCGGTAAAATCACGTAGAAGGGAAATAATAAAATAATAAAAATAAAACATTAAATAATTCTCACGACGTTTCGGCCACAACGCAAGCAGCCGTCCTCAGGCGAAGAACAGGTCTGTCGGAAAGACAGACCTGTTCTTCGCTGTCTTTCCGACAGACCTGTTCTTCACCTGACGGCTGCTTGCGTTGTGGCCGAAACGTCGTGAGAATTGTATTTTATTATGTTTTATTTTTATTATTTTATTCTTTCCCTTCTACGTGACTTTACCGAAAGAACCAAGAAGATGAATCCCTGCAGTCACGAAAGCTTTAAATCGAAATTTAGGAGCCTTTATCTTTGTTACTCCACTTCCCCATGGCAGATCTTTGTCTCCATCTTCCCTCTCATCCTGTCCCATCTTGAGCCGATTCTTCACTGCACGGCTCCTTCTGTCAATTGAGTCAAGCGGCATCCTTCTCTTTCTGCCTCTTGGCATCTTTCCCCAAACACCCAAACTTCCATCGCTTCCGTCGTCGGAGTTTTCACATTTTGGAAAGTGGCGAATTCACATCATTTTGTCCCCTTTCTGGATTGTTCTACTTAAACGCCTGTCTCTCCTCCTGAACCTGCACCAGGTTATCCTTCCGTTCTCATTCACTCTCCTACAATGAGTTCGAGTAACAGAGGTATAAATATATATGTCCTGATCTCAAGTGAGAGAAACATATTCAATTCACGTGCAAGTTTGGATTATTTCCACGTCTGTGCTTTATGCTGTTAATACCTGTCACACCCCCGCATCCTACTTCAGACACAAACCTAATTCCCCACAAAGTAAAATAAGATGTCTTTAGGCAGCTCGTGATTTCGCGAGGGGGGCGGCGGGGGGGGGGGGGGGGTCGGTAGCAATTCGTTTCCGATTGTAAACCCAGTGATTAGTCACCTTTGTGCCGGCTGGAGCAGGGTTGCACGTTCTCACGTCACGACCGTCAGCCACCAAATAGTCAAGAAAGCGAAGACGGGACAACGGCCGCCAGTTATCCTGACACTTTCAGTCCTTTTCAAGGCTGCTGAACGACACTCGGCCCTGCGTGCAAGGGCCTAAGCAAGGAACCCTTGCCTGGTCACTGCGGGTTCGGAGAAGGCAGGCTGCATGCACGTGGGAGCGTAGTACAGGAAAACAACATAACCCCACAGCAGCCTATGCCCCACCTGTTTCACCTTTGGCGATCGCCCATCGTAGCGCTAAATCAGGATCAATTCTGCTTAGCATCTGATCGATTAGGGGTCGAAAGTATATTTGTAAACAATGGGATTGGCTGTCGATGCAACACTCTTAACAGGACAGGTCTTATATATTGAGACATTTTGGTGGATTCTATCCAGGAGTGACGTACTGGAGAAAACGGCACCGCCCAGAGAAGACCCACACACACACAGGCAAGGGGACAATATGCAGAAGATCCGCACAAATACATTCAAGGACCCACCGCTGTACCGGCATCTCCTGGTTACTTTGCAACCCTGCGACATCTGGTGACCGACTATTACAGGCTCAAATCTGCTTCGCTTCTGATATGATGAAATCGAGCACAATACAATGTGCCCCCCCCACCCCCTGCAGTGGCAGGCAGGAACGCTGACAGATCTGTTTCTCAGTCTTTCCTGCAACGGACCTTTCGCATTAAACCTCAGTCAGCAGCAGTAAAAAAAACACCCTCCATAAAAAGAGTTTTTTGGGTTAGTTCAATAGGTATAAATGTGTCGTTAAACCTGCCACCACCCGACACAGCCAATTAGGTTTTTCACGTTAACAAAACACGCCAATTCGTTACTAGTACAACACACCGGTGTGTTGTCAGAGTAAACCCACAAGATATACAATTCGAGTACGACGTTTCGCCGGTAATTACGATTTTTTTTTTTTTACTAATTGACCGTTTCGGGTGGTGGCGGGCTTAACGACACATTTATATATACTCGATCTAACCCAAAAACCTCTTTTATGGATAATGTTGGTCGCGAAAGCGTCCGTGTTAAACTAGAAACACCCCGTTGGTATTTTAAACGAACCTGTTGTCCACCCGTATAAGTTCACGAGAGCAGCCATCACGTTACACATTAAACAAGGTTATGTATTCGTGCAATCGGTGCACGCGCCGCATAAACATACAGCGCTGTGGCTGGGACCCTTGGACCAACCTCCGCCCCCCTACGTTGTCCTGCAACATTCCACATTTACTGGAAAGTCGGGGGTCAACGTTGCACGAATGCGCTGCCCTGCCTACACAAATATTGATGTCACCCTTTCCCCCTCTCTCCCAGCCCCCTCTCTACCCCCCATTATTTTAGTTAAAACTAAACAATTTTTATTTTACCACTAAAGGTCCACTTAGCTCTGTGGCTCTTTTTCGGAAGCGACCTGGCCACAAATGATAGTTCAACGAAGTGGCTTAATCACGTGGAAATGTATCGCAGCCAAATACTCTTTTAAACGCATCATTCTAAATGTGGAGGTGAAAAACCGAAGAACCCGGAGAAAAATCCACGCGACCACGGGGAGAGAGAGAGACACGCAAACTCCAAATATGCAGGCGTCAGGGTTGGGATCGAACTCACGACCTCCTGCATATCAGGCGAGGGAGTTAACATCTCTTAGCCACCGTGGCGTCCTTCATCTTTCCCCCCTGCGCTTCCCTCCCCACGTAAGCGTTCAGGTTCTCGCTCGCACGGTCCCCACGTGGGGTGGAGGCAGGGAGCCCGCACCCCCGGGTTTTTCTCGTTTAGTTTCTACCCCCCCACCCCCCTTCACCCTCCACCCCCCATCCCTCCACCCCACCCCCCACCCTTGTACTGTGACCGGTGCTTTGTACCGAGCTCGTGTTGAGTCGCAATAAAAAAACGACAAAACGTTGCCCCCGTTTCTCACGGCCAGTGACGAACGCCGCTGTGATCTTTCGGGATAACCTGGGCCCACACTTTCATCCGGGGCGGACCCTGTCACAGGGTGAACTTGGAAATGGGGACGTACGTGTGTGTGTGTGTGCGCATCGAGAAATGGCGCGGTCAAATTTCCCGGCTGTAATAACTTAAATAAGTGGCGATGTGTAACTAATAAGGAATTACTATTTTAACTTAAAGTAGTCAAATGTCTTAAGTTTTTTCGGTAAAGTCACGTAGGAAAATAATAATAATAAAATAATAATAAACGAAATTAAATCACGACGTTTCGGAGGCAACACAAGTATCCGTCTGTGTTGCCTCTGAAACGTCTGGATTTAATTGAGTTGTTTTCATTTATTATTATTATTTTATTATTATTATTATTTTTTTACCTATGTGACTTTACCGAAAAAACCTAAGAGTATGAATCCTTGCAGTCACGAAAGCTTCAAATCTAGAATTAGTCAAATGTCACCTTTTCGCTTTCTGTAATTTTACCAACAGAGCAAGGTTGCTGCGTGAGTTTTCGCGGTCGTGCTGCACGGCTCTCCGGCGTGTTTTCGGAGTCGCGCCGTGCGCCGTTCGGCAACGATGTCCCGACGTTTCGCTCCCGCCACGCGCAACTTCCAAATCCCTGAGGGAGACTCCCAGAGCAACGTGAAGTGGAACGTTGGGGTTACAAAAAACCTGATACGCATCGGAGAGCAACCAATGTCTTTTTCAAGATAATTTCTCCATTGTTGCCTAAATATGGGGGTGAGAAGTCAAGCCAACAGAGCCTCACAGGGCACGGAGTGTGACTGGTGGTGCCGTGTTGCTGCTTCGGCAAGGCCTGGTTGCCAATGGTCGTGAAAACGAGGCATAAGTGCACAGCGGTTAGCCGAGGGATGCATAAGGAATTAGGAGAGGGTGGGAAAAAGGACGAGTGCGGGACACAGGAGTGGGGAGCAAAGGCTTGTGGGTAAAACCTGGAGTGCCGTCACTATTTTACGTAAGTTCTCACGTGCTTTTCTGCGCTTTTTGTTACTTTAAGTAAACACATTCGCCCTGGTCCAAAAGCCACCAAAATAACAATAACAATGTATACATACTTTCAAGATACTTCCATGACAAAAACTAAATGCATGGCTTTTAAAGTAAAACATTCCGTAAATCTGGTTGCAAATGTGCAAAGATTCAGTTAAATAAATCAACATCTTACATCATTCATACTTCTTTGATCAGGTCATGTCATTCCCTTTGGAACTTCAGTATGAAAACAATATAATTTTTTTAGACAAACACCTGCATTCAACTGGGATTCAGGCAGCATCATCATATGTTGCTCTGATTACAATTTTCAAGATTCAGAAACTTCCCAGCCGTAGTCGACAACTGAACCTGCTCAAATTTCATGTCCCTCCTCCGTGAGAGACCATCTACACGACGCTTTGATGAGACCTTCCCATCTTGAAATGGAAGCTTTCTGGATTTGGAATGGCTCACAATGTATCGGGGGGGGGGGGGGGGGGGAAACAATAAAAACGTCCTTCTGGAATTTGACGAAACAAACCGATCGGCCAGCTGGATTTCAGGTGCGGCTCGCACGGCTGGCCTTGCCACGGCGTCCCCGACAAAAAAAATGTCCGGCTGGCCGGCGTCAGCCGAGGTCACAGCTCTTCGTGCCGTCTCTTGCCGGGCCACCTGGGGTGGTGGAGGACCTTGTCCGCCGCCAGAATGACCATGCGCATGAACTCGGCCACGTCAAACGAGTAGTTGGTGAACTTCGGGTGCTCCCCCATGGTCGGGTGATGGCCCTGGAAGGAAATGAAAGCAACAGCACAAAATCTTCTTGGTTCTTTCGGTAAAGTCACGTAGAATGGAAATAATAAAATAATAAAAATAAAACATAATAAAAAAATTCTCACGACGTTTCGGCCACAACGCAAGCATGAATCCCTGCAGTCACGAAAGCTTTAAATCGAAATTTAACAGCACAAAAGCGTTGAACTTCTCAACCGATTCCTGCGGACCGGCGTGGGATGCAGACGGCCCGGGAAGGCTTTAATCCAGCAGTGGATTGACCGTGGCGGATGACGACGACGATGATGAATTGTAAAGGCTTCCTTCGCGAGTCTGACACAGCCAAACACTTCCCATCCAGACGCCAAACCAAGCTCAACCCTACTTAGTTTCCAAGCCGAGCCGAGAGCGGGCGCACGAGTGGCTGAGACTCACCTTGTCCTGCGGGAACACCAAGTTATCCTTCATCCAGGTCATGTAGTGCACACCGCGCAGGTTAGCCAGGTCCATGTAGCAGTGGCGGTCGTCGCAGTTGTGGCTGGGTGGGACCACGAGGCATGGGGTTAGCTCGGCAAAGCTCTCTCTCACCTGCGCAGTAACACGTACATTACTCCTGTCTCAAACACCCAAGTGGTTTATGTAGGCACTCAAAAAACCCATCCTGTTCTAACAAACTGCATCTGTTTTAGCTCCTTCTCACAACACCCCTCCCGTGCGTTATGCAAATTACTGCCCAGTGCACAGAGTCCTCTGTATGTGTGTATGTTGAACATCTTTCGCACCGCATGTAGCCAACCGTGCTAATTGGAAGTGCGGAGGTGGGGGGAAGGATAACAAAATCTACGACCTCCGCATTGTCACCTACTGCGTGTGTCTGTGAGGTACACTGATCGCGGAGTAGCTGGAAACAGTAGCAACTGTGTAGAATAAATAAGTAATAATAAGATTTCGATTCAGATGGATGGTTTATTTCAGCAGCAAGGGCCCTGTTTCATGGGTGTCCTGCAACGGTACACAATAAGACGACACAAGCTCCCTGTCTTATAAAAGACAATCAAAAACATTTACTTGCTGGGCACAGTGACATACCCCTCTAAACCAAATTGGTGGATCACACGGCTGTGTTTTTTGTGTGTGCGTGTGTGTGTGTTCACCCAGGGGTTGTGGGGAGCGGTAGTGTAGCGGTTAGCGCGCTGCGCTATGAACCTGGCGACCCAGGTTCGATTCCCGCTCACGGCCAACACCAGTGACGATTATCTGAACCGGTCCTGGGCTTCCCCTAGGTCGACTAAGCCTTAAATGAGTACCTGGTGCGGTGTGTAAACATCGCCACTGGGGAGACAAAGGCGGTCGGGCGTGGTGCTGGCCACCCACCCCCTCGTGTACTGTTCCGGCCTTCATAGGTGCTCGCTAACAGCACTTGCCCCTACAGTCTGTTAAGGCTATACGGGGGATCTTTGTTCACCCGGGGTAGGGCTCACCGAGCTAGACCGGATGAATAACAGCAAACAATTATAAAATAATAATCTAAAAAATAGTAATCTACCACCACCTACGGCTGCAGCGCCTGAGAACACAGCGATGGCTGTTAAGACGGTACCGGACAAGCGAATTAAACTACACGGTGGGCAACGTGAACAAGGCTATAAATGTTGTGAAACTGGCAAACCAGCTGGGCTTCAGCGTGGCCACGAGATGGCACGGGAGCATGATGGTTTGTGAACCGGATTTTACGAAGCCTCTTTCTGGGTAACTCTGGTTTTCTCCCAAAGAGAAAGTGGCCAAACATTCCAACTCAGAATCCCCCTGAAAGGGACTACTGGTACTCACTAATGCTCTCCTACGTAAAAACAGTGGCAGATGCGTGTTTTTGTAATTATTTGTGGTAAAATTTGTAATGGCAGTTTTTTTTTTTATCTAGGTCACAACAATCAGAATCTAGAACTTAACTCAAGTACTCTTCAACGGTGCCCAACCGTTCAATAAATCTTAAGTTTTCGTGCACTTTATTCAACCAGGAGATGAAATAGGTGGCCATGCGTGCGGGGCTACGGGGAACTCACAGCTCGAAGACCACGGCCCAGTCGGGGAGGAAGAGCAGGTGGGTAAGGCCAGCGCCGTGCATGCCGATGAAGATGTCCGAGTTGTGCGTGACCTTGAGCTGATCTACAAACCCAATTTGCCTGCGGCGCACCGCAGCAACAGCAGCAGCAGCACAACGAACGAACGAAGAAAAGATGACAAGATCATTAAGCGAGCGCTCACTATGAGCTACGATAGCTGGAGGATGCAGGGTCGGGGCGGTGGGACCTGACGGCAGAGGTCGCAACCAGGTACCCGATACCTGTACCCTACCCGATACCCGGCTACCCGTACCCAGCCGGGTACGGGTACGGGTACCCGTTTGCGACCCTGGTGCGGCCGGGTACGGGTAGGCCGTGAGTCACTGGTGAGTAACTATTTGTCACTCATTTCCCAACGTCTTGCCTCTTCTCACAATTCAAGTTCCTAGAATCAACCGACCCGCGCCTGCAACATGGCTTCATCCCAGAGGTCGCAATCAGGTACCCGATACCCGTACCCTACCCGTACCCAGCCGGGTACGGCCGGGTACGGGTACCCGTTTGCGACCCTGGTGCGGCCGGGTACGGGTACGGGTAAGGAATCAAAACCCGTTTGCGACCTCTGGCTCCTGGTGCAGGGAATGAAATGGGATCCCCCCCGTCCACCTTCTCGCCTCTTCGTACCCCCTGGCCTGTTGGCCCCAGTGCAGTTGCACCGCCTGCACACCCGATGGCTACGCCACCAAGTTAGTACAATACAAGTTGCAATCACAACTTCTAAATATGACTGCATGTCAACAATACTCCTTATAGAAACAGCGAACAGATATATCTTACAAACAGGAAGGTCTTGAGACTGGGTGATTGGCCACTGACACAAAACGATCGCGCGAGACGAGGTGTCGCTCTCAAGCGTGACTGCGTGACACAGGTAAATAACCCATCCTGCAACGAGGCTGCTCTCCGTGAGTCTGCGTGAGCCTGCAGGATTTTATACATCAGTCCTTGTACGCACAGAAATATCAACTGGCACGACGTAAAGTTTTAGCCGCTATATTTGTTCAACGCTGGCAAAAGAGCTCCTTGTAAATGACGTTACTCTGTATAAAAACTTTAACTCAATATTATTATTATTAATATACGTGCCTTGCAATCAATGGGTCATTACGTGTTGTCGATACAAAACGACGCCCCGTGTCGCGGGCAAAGCGGCTCACCTGCTGTTGAAGTCCACGAGCCGAACCTCCAGCCAGGACACCGTCTTCATGGCCTTGATGAGCTGCCGGTGACAATCGCAGTAATCAATCGGGCTACTGGCATCGTCTGGGGCGGCAGTCCGATGGCACAGTGATAAGACTCTCGCCTGGTAGACAGAAGGTCATGGGTTCTATCCCGACCCCGGACGCCTACTGTATATTCGGAGTTTCTACGTCTCTCCTTGTGGTGGCATGGATTTTTCTCCGGGTCCTCCGGTTTTTCCCTCCACATTTAGAAAAGTGTGTTTAGAGTATTTGGCTGCTATAAATGTCCACGCGATAAGCCACTTCGTTGAGCTGTCATTTGTGGCCAGGTCACTTTTGAAAAATAGCTACATAGCTCAGTGGGCCTTACTTGGTATAAATAAAAATAGTTTATAGTTTAGTTTAATAAACTCGAAAGTTCTTTGTGTGTGCAGTTTGCATGCTCTCCCCCTGTTCTGAATGAGTTTCGTCTGGGTTCGTACGATGCATATGGTATTGGGCCAAACATCCCAACGCGGCAAAAATGACCTGAAAATTACTGACTTGGGATGACACACTGCAACATCAGCCAAAAACTGTGAAAGTGCAGCAATGTGTTACTCCACGTCAGTGAACAGCCGCATCCACAGATTTTCACAGAACCACTGGTATGTAATTTATTGACCCCAGAGGGATGATAGGCTCGGAGGTACGGGACTTTCTCACGTAAAAAAAACCGCATATTTCTCGCATGAAATGCCAAACTAAATATGGTGGGATTTGCTTTTGCACTCGTTGGCGACCAGACTGAGACCATCAACTCGCACCATTTGAGAGTGTTGTATAGTCATGCGTGGTTCAAACTCAATATTCGAATCCGTGATCTCAGCAGTGGTGCTCTGAACCCTGAACCAATCAACCCTTCTCCAATTCAACGCATTTGTACCGTAGGTGACATTCTCACAAAATGCATTAACTCGCTCATCTCACTTGCAGTAATGCAATATTTATACTGGTAGGAACCTCCTGGTTACACCAGCCCACAGGGGATTATTGTGTCCGTCGTGCAGAGAGGGGCTGGGTGGGGAGGGGCTGGGTGGGCAGGGTGGAGCTGGGTGGGGAGGGTGGGACTGGGTGGGGAGGGGCTGGGTGGGGAGGGTGGGGAGGGGCTGGGTGCGGAGGGTGGGGCTGGGTGGGGGGTTGGGAGGGGCTGGTCACCCCGTGGTGCCCTTATAAAACTCAACGTTTAACCTACTCACGCTGGCTTGTGCCCGCCCTCACAGTCGGCCATATTTGCGGAATACACCACGCCGCCGTTGACCCTGGCCATTGACCGAGCAACCCAACGTTCCTACCAGCTCCCTCCGCAGGAATGTGTTATCTTGGTCACCCATCCAAGTAATGTATGTATGTGTGTTAAACGTCCTTCGCACCGTACGTAGCCAACCGTGTTTATCGGAGGTGCGGACATAGCCCGGCCTTTCCTAGCCTCTGTGACCCGACCAAGTCAGGCCACAGAGCTGTAGACACGACTGCCAGTGGGTCGTGCGTCAGTGTGTGTGTGTACATGAGCGTGTGCACATCGTCAGGGTAGCCTCACCTCGTCCTGGTTGAGGATGCGGCGGAACTGTGTGCTGCGCGCGAGAAGCGTCACGCGCACCTTGTCAGCCTGCAGCCGCCACTCAAGCGCAGCACAAAGACAAAGGTCCCCCACCCGTGTAGCCTTAACAAACTGTTGGGGCAAGTGCTGTTAGCGAGCACCTATGAAGGCAGGCACGGCACACGAGGAGGTGGGTGGCCAGCACCACAACCGGATGCCTTTTTCTCCCTAGCGGTAATGTTTACACACTGCACCAGGTACTCATTCGAGGCCGAGTCAACCTAGGGGAGGCCCAGGACTGGTTTAGATAATCGTCACTGGTGGTGTCCGTAAGTGGGAATCGAACCTGGGCGGCTGGGTTCGTAGCGCAGCGTGCTAACCGCTAGACTACCACTCCCCACACTCCCCAGCATACGACGCACACACACGCATCGCACTGCGGTGATTAATGTGTCAAAGCAACAGTGGGTGGTAGGCTACGTAACGATGCACTGGATCATCAACTGAAGCCCAATGGAGAGACAAAGCCTTTGCTCGGTGAATAATGAATTTCCATCACCGGCTCAGGGCCAACAAATGAAGATTCATACCACCCCGTTACTTGTTTTGACAGGAAGACACTTTTAACTTTTCAATGCATGACACGGCTGAGCGCCCCCTTTGCCGATCTGGGAGAGCTCCCTCTGGGCCAAACCGCTTGCAGGGCAACATTGGCCTTGTACAAAGCACGCGTCGTGTGTCGTGCGTCATGTGTCATGTGTCGTGCGTTATGTGTCATGTGTCGTGTGCTGTGCATCAGGTATTGTGCGTCGTGTGTTGTATGTCGTGTGTCATGTGTCGTGTTTGTTGTGTCATGTGTCGTACGTCGTGTGTTGTGCATCGGTGCGTCGTGTTGTGCACCGTTTGTCATGTGACGTGTGTTGTGTGTCATGCGTCACGCGTCATGTGACATGTGTGCACGGGGATTCGTCGCGGGTTCCTCCGGGGACCTTGGGCCACTCCTGCGGGACGCGGAGACGGTGCAGCACGTGCTGGGAGAAGGCCCGGAAGAGCCCCGTCCCTGAGCAGGTGGGAACCTGCACACAGACGCCCTGGGGTCAACGGCCACTCGCTCCCCCACCTGCCGTCTGGCTAGCAGGCACTCCGCCGTTTAAGAGATGTTTGTATTGTGACGTCCTGGTTTCTGACCGGAGATGTTCGAGGCTGAAAAACGTCGAATCCAACAGCCGCTCAATCTCGGTTGTGAGAACTGCTCCTCGACTGGCCCGCGAGCTAATAATGGTAACGATTGGCACGTCATCACGCGCCGCTTGCACGCGTCACAACTTCACGTGAACTGTGCGCTGAACTTTATTTCGCGCCGTACGTAGCCAACCGGAAGGTGTCTCACGGGTCGGGCTCGCTTGTGTTTGGCTATGCCTGGGTGTGGTGGAGAGCTTCACGACAAAAATGTGGCAAGATCAAAAATCGATTATGAATAATATTGCCTGCTAAAAAAAGAGCATATTCTTTATTCGATTAAAAAGCGAATTGTAAAATCGACAGTTTCTGTTGCGTGCGTGGCGACCACCATGCACAAACACGGCGCTGTAGGCTGCTGCGGGGGGCTAGGTTATTATCAGAGAGCAGTGCGGCACAATCCACCGTCAGTACTCGACTGTATTGTACCGTGCTCCAATGTCGACGTGCCACATGCCTCCACCAGCCCGCACTGACCCCATGTGGTAAAGTACGGCCGAACAACCTCCACAAACAGCGTGAGAAGGGCCCGCCCGCCCCATCTAGCAGTGGATTAACAACAGGGACGCGGATGTGCATGTGTGCGTGTGTGCATTATCTCGGCCGTGTGCGTGCGCTCACGAGGGGGGTGTTGTAGAAGAGGCCGTAGCGCATCCTGGGCAGCAGCGGGAAGATGGCCTCCCTGAAGCACACCTGCGCACGGCCACGGGGACAAGGGCACGAGACGCCACTCACACTCGCACCGCCGCGGTGGCTAGGAGATGTTATCTCCCTCGCCTGGTATACAGGAAGTCGTGGGTTCGATCCCGACCCTGACGCCTGCTGTATATTTGGAGTTTGCATGTCTCTCTCTCTCCCCGCTTCTGAAAAAGAGCTACATAGCTCAGTGGGCCTTATCTAGTAAATAAACATTTTACTTGGGCTGCTTCAAACAAAAACAACCGGAAAATATCTCTTCTACAATGACAATAGGCGGATGGACTAAAGTGCAAACTGCTTCGTATTTTTGTTTGCATTTGTCCAAACAAACTCTTGTCTATAAACAGCCGATTGTCCGTAGACTTTTTTTTCTTCTGTGTACTAGAAGAAAATAAGAGACAGCTGTCTTATTCATGCTCTTCTCATAAATCCTCCTGTCCTCGGAGAACTAAAGGTAATCTGTTTTTTTTTTCATGTAATAATTCTCTAATATTTGAAGAATATTCTGGCAAAATAATTACATCAATAGGAGCCCAAATTAAAAAAAATCGAGCAATATTAAATAACCCGGATTTGTCTTCTGTATTTGTCACTCCCACCTCAAACTTAATTTGGAGCTTTCGTGACTGCAGGAATTACTCTTTCTTTCTGTCGGTAAAGTCACGGTATAAAGAGAAAATAACAAATTAAATAATAGCATAACAATTAGGTAGGGTGTTGACTGTTATGTTAGCCGACTCTCTGTGTTGTATTGCATGATATTTCTAAGTTTACTATGCTTGTTTTCTCTTTCATTTATACCTGATGATGATTGCTTGTGTTGCAATCGAAACGTCGTATGCTATTATTTAATTTGTTATTTTCTCTTTATACCGTGACTTTACCGCAAGAACCAAAGAGTTACTTCCACCTCTTCAGCGAATATGGATAAATTGTATGGGTTGACAGGTGTGCACGAGGGTTGTTTAAAGATACTTCACCATGCTGGGGAGTGTGGGTTGGTGAAGAGGGGAGTGCCAGGGCTGGTTCCGATATCACTCGAAATATGAAAATTATCATTATCACTCACCGCACCTTACTGCAAAAACGTATTTTTTCACAATACGGATACTCCTCTACTTACAAACACGTTAGGTTCCAGAGGTCTTACTCTTAGGTTTTGTCGGTAAAGTCACGTAGGTAAAAATAAAATAATAAATGAAACTAAATCAATTATTGTGATTTAATTGATTTATTTTCATTTATTATTATTATTTTTACCTACGTGACTTTACCAAAAAAACCTAAAAGTATGAATCCTTGCAGTCACGAAAACGTCAAATCTAGAATTCCAGAGGTCTGTTCGTAAGTCGATTTGTTCGTAAGTCCAACTTTGCTCCTGTCGATTCCAAACGTGTTGTACGGCGTGTACACTAAACACGGAGAACGGCTTTAAAAGTTGTATAATCTCCTGTAGAAGTAGATGCCAACTGCTTCTTCACGTTCTGAAGATGTTGATGCCACCACCGCCATCTATCGTGCAGCGGTGGAACTTAAGACTCTCGGTCCGAACAGGCAGCTGGACAAGGTTTTGATTTAAAGCTTTCGTGACTGCAGGGATTCATATTCTTGGTTCTTTCGGTAAAGTCACGTAGAAGGGAAATAATACAATAAAAATATAAAACAATAAAAATTCTCACGACGTTTTGACTGCAACACAAGCAATCGTCATCAGGTGTGAAATCCACAGCAAGAAAATTTGTGGATTTCACATCTGATGATGATTGTGTTGCAGTCGAAACGTCGTGAGAATTTTTATTGTTTTATATTTTTATTATTTTATTATTTCCCTTCTACCGTGACTTTACCGTAAGAACCAAGAATATGGACAAGGTTTGTTAGCGTCTCTGAAAGTTCGTAAGTAGAGGAGTCCCTGTATCGTTATACTTCTGACGATGCCGTTAGCGCTGACCACCGTGACCCCAGGGCGAAGCGCGTACCCGCTTCTGGTCGTAGTCCTTGAGGTGGGTGATGTTGAAGTTGGTGAAGGCACTCCAGGTGTCGCTGAAAAAGTCTCCATAGCCATAGAAACTCTTCAAGAGCACACGCACACACACACATTCACAGAGTTGCATCAAGATTCCCCGTGGGGACTAAGGTGCGGTGAGCGAGCACATATTAAGGCTGGCACAACATGCGAGGGCAGTGGTTGTGTGGCCAGTGCCATCCCCGACAAAAATTGTCTTCCCAGTACAACAGGAACTCAGTTCAAGGCTGTGCTGTACGTGCGGATGTTGAACTTCTTTCGCACCGTACGTAGCCAACCGTGCTGATCGGACGTGACAAGACTAAAGCGGGCAGTGGGGGGTCGCGGCCGTGCGCTCACCGTGTCCCACATGACGATGTTGACGTCCTGCGAGAAGGAGCCGTTGATGTGCTGCGAGATGTAGAGGTTGACGAAGTCGCAGAAGTGGTGGTACATGTTGACTCCTGTGGGCAGCGCGCGCATTCACAGTGTGCAGATTAATCTTGGCCGCTGTGAATTTACACACGCTATAAGCCACTTTTTGTTGGGCTATCATTTGTGTGACGGGTGGCTTCCGAACAATAAGTGAATAGCTCGGTGGGCTTAATCTGGAAAGATGGTTTAGTTTTATATGTTTTTAAGTCATTTATTTACCTTTCCTATACTTTGCGCTCCTATGTTTACATATCGCACCAGGTACTCATTTGAGGCTGAGTCGACCTAGGAGAGTCCCAGGACCGGTTCAGATAATCGTCACTGGTGTTGACCATGAGCGGGAATACACAACAACAACCGCCATTCGCCACTAAGTGGCGGTGGCGTCACCACGACGCCTGTGCCAGGCCACACATACACACGTACATACATACACACGTACATACACACATACACACTACTGTGTCAGGCCGTCCCTCAGTGTTTATCAGAATCAGGACTGGAGCAGGGGGTCGACAACCAAAATAACAAGAACGTCCATTTTTTGTTCGAATTCGGTAAAAAACAGAACTCAATATTTCGAGATCCGCACAGCACTGTGGTGAATTCGAGACGGAGGTCCTCAAATAAACGACGTCACTGCACAGCTCTTGAAGAGCCGCACGCGGCACCGAAGCCGCAGGTTGCCGACGCCCCCTGGGCAGGAGGAATGCGGCACGATGGGGGCCGCTTTTCCGAGCACCTGCGTCGAGCTTCATGAAGTAAGTCGGCGTCTCCACCACCAGGTCGCAGCGGCCGCTCTCCTCGGGCTGCCGCTCCAGCTGCGTGAAGCTCTGCAACTCCGCAAACCTGGGGTGGGGTGGGGGGGGGGGTCAGGGGGGGGGGTGCAGAGACACCGGCACGAGGAGACGTTAAGCCAGGGTTTTGATTTGTGCACGGGAGATGTTCTGGGTTGCTCGTAGACTGGGGTTGGCCCTAGTGTATGGGTGTCTGACGCCCGGCACGCGGGCCAGACTCGGCCCCCCAAATTTTAGAAAAATTGAACTTTTTAAAGATTGTACCTAAATTCAACCTGAATTTAAACCGGAAATTGAAATGGGGGATTTGCCACGCCCGATGCAGTGGTCCAAACAGAGCGGTGTCAGGCATCAGGAAGCAGGAAGCAAGCAGCCACAGCACTCGGTGAGTAGCTATACATATCATTTGATTCATTACGTGGGTGGTTGACGTGAAATTAGCCATCGTTTTTTGTACAGCCGATGTTGAACTTCTTTCGCACCGTAGACTCCACATATATTGAGGAGCTAATACTGTGTGTTATCTTGGTGTGGTCTGGGACTGTTTTGTAGTTGATGTTATTGTTGCCTTGCTAAATCGGACTTGCATAATTAAGTAACGTTTGATTTATTTATAGTTAGTGACTTGCTTACCATTATCTCTATTTTGCACTCCTGTCGCTTACTGTTGTGACTCGCCCGACCCGCACCCACACCGGACACGTGGGGGAAAAAAGATCTCTCACAGCTGGACCGAAATTCCTCCTCCGGAACTAAGATTTCCCCCCCCCCCCACCGATTCCAATTCTGACGGGGGCTGGACTGTCAAAGGAGATGGACGAGGGGGGGGTGGTGGTTGGGGTCTGACGGCGAGCGACGGTGAGCGGTGCGAGCGGCGCGACCGGTGCTCACCACGACTGCAGGGGGCTCTTGTGTTCGCCCTCAGCCGCCAACGCGTCCGCGTCCAGGTCGCAGCGGCCGCCAATCTCCCCGGCCTCGAAGAAGTCTTCGCTAAACCTGGCCACAGGAGGGGAGGAAAAGCGCGGTCACGGAAGGCGAGTGATTGAGTGATTCGCTGCGAAACCCGCCGATGCCGAGGTTCGATTCCCGCTCGCGCCCAACACCGGCGGCGATCACATGAACCCGTCCTGGGCCTTCGCCAGGTCCAACGCAGCCTCGTAGGAACGCCTGGTGCGGCGTGTAAACATCAGCATTGCGAAGGCAAAGGCGGCCGGGGCGTGGAGCTGGCCACACCACCCCCTCGTGTGCCGAATCGGCCTTCGTAGGTGCTCGCCAACGGCGCTTGTCCCACCATCCTGTATGTCGCGATGTAGGGGAACTTTATCTTTGTGCACGTGGGTAGTGGGGGAGCAGTGGCACATTGGTTATGGCACTGCGCTATCAACTCTGAGCCGTGAGTTCGATTCTCAGCCACAGCTCCCGTTAGCGGGGAGTGACATCAGTACTGGTCCTGGGCTTCCTCTCGGTCGACTCTGCCTCAAATGAGTACCTGCCATAGTGTGAGAACATCAGCACCAGGGAGACAGTGAGCGCTTGCGAACAAGCGCTCGCTTTGTGCACAAATGTAGGCACGCAATTACATAAATGGAGGATCATGGGCCATCGTGTCGTTCAAACCTAAAAGGTGTCACACGTGCTATTACTCAACTGCCGTATAATCATGAGAATTTGCATAGTTTCCATTAGCCGTGACGATTTCAAACCTGCCATCATGCAAATCTCCACTTCAGGTCGTCGCGCGACCATCCAGTTTTACCTGAATTAAACCAGGCCAGCCGCGACTCGTTTTCCTGCATCTGGCAAAAGAATGTTCTTCTTCAGCGAAAACATAAACACTCTTTCAATGGTTTCGTTGATAAATGAGTACGTGACGGGCGTTTTTGGTCGTCTCCACTTATTTCCTTGATTGTATCTCCTTCAGTCGCCACCGAACTGCACACAGCGCGACTGTACGAACATTGCACCATCTCAGCAATGGTGAATTCAGTTTGTGGGTAGGTGGAGCCAGTGCCGGATTAACCTAGTAGCAAAAGTAGCTACAAATGCTACGGGCCCCGCACTTTCAAGGGCCCCGCGCTAAATGCTTTCAAGTTATCAATTCCGGTTCAGTGATTCTGCACTTGCTCTATTACTATAGTACTATACCGCCTTCCGCTTTCATGAACGACTTGGTGTTTAAGGTTAGTGACTTGTCGTATTATCTGGCTGTATAGCAAATGAAAAAATACGATTACTTTACTATGCAAGTAAAACATTTGTGTTTGAATATGTACGTGTTTTTATTTAGGGCCGCTTTATAACAAATGCTACAGGCCCCGCACTAGCTTAGTCCGGCACTGGGTGGGTCCTGTTACAAAAATTGCACCAACCAAACCGGTGGCTGACAACAATCATGATGAGCAAAACTGGTAGTGTGATAAAACTAAAATCAGCGTAAAATGGCTTAATATTAATGCCGATTTCGATTTAAAGCTTTCGTGACTGCAGGGATTCATCTTCTTGGTTCTTTCGGTAAAGTCACGTAGAAGAGAAGTAATAAAATAATACAAATAAAACATAATAAAAATAAAACATAATAAAATTATGTTTTATTTTTATTATTTTATTACTTCCCTTCTACGTGACTTTACTGAAAGAACCAAGAAGATTAATGCCGATTATTTAAACCTCGCCGAGACCTTTACCAGAGAATCTTACGTTTACGATATTTTGTGAATTCCTTCATTGACTGTGTTTTCTGTAAAATAAACAAATCAGGAATGTAATAATCTTACCCACCCACCCGAGGGATTTGTGACTTGTCAAGTTTTGGGGTCTTTGATTCGACTTGAGGATCAATTCCTTTTCGTATCATTTGGCATTGTTTCTTGTTTGCTTCGTCTTGTGTGTACAGTTGTGTTTGCACCACCACCATAAATGCAACGTGGGCGTTTAATTTTCTGAAGGATATGCAAAAATAAAGCACGTAGTTTCGCTAGCGTGATTCGATGCATGCGTCTTGAGTGTACAAATCAATGGTAATCAACGTGATTACAAATAATTACTTGCCCAGAGTAAACCCACCCTTCTAGACAGATAGCAGTCAAACTCAAAATCCGCCGCACAGATAGACTGTCACAAACCCACATTCTCGACTGCCCTCGACGGACACCATCATCATCCCCCGCAGGTGGGCGACTCACACAGGGGCTCCATCAGTGCATGAGCCAGCAACTCTGCAAGCGAGGCTCTGTACTACAAGTGAGCATCACGGCACCACGTCATCGATGATGGACTACTGCCTTGTCCCATCTGCCTGTCTATTCTGCACTAATCTCATCCGTTACGGCCTGCGTCGTACGCACCGCCCGTCTTGCCGTGTCAATTCAACTGCGGCATCTGCGCATCGCGATCCTCGCACCCAGGAGGCTAGTTCGGACGAACGTCGATTCGATTGTGGGGAGATGCACCGAGCGAACGACCCAGGATACGTGGAGCAACGCTCGATCCCTCCTCTCCCCTCCGGTAGGTCGCTTGTTCGGTGTCGACGGCAGGTGAAACGTGGAGCGGAGCTCCCCCCTGAGCCGGCGGAGCGGCCTCACCTGTCGGTGCCGCGTCGGGGCTTGCGCAGGTCGACGTAGAGGTTGGTGGCGCGGCAGTAGCGCGTGTATTGCACGCACGTGAGGGACGAGTCGCCCTGCACAGCCACAACCAAAGACAAAGATCCCCCCCCCGTATAAGCTCAACAGACCGTTGGGGCAAGGGCTTTTAGCGAGCAGCGCTTGTGAAGGCCGGCACGGCACACGACGGGGTGGGTGGGCAGCACCACGCCCGGCCACTTTGACTGTTGCGCTAACCTTTGCACTACCGCTGCCCGCACACACACACGTAGGCGCACACACTGACAACAACGATCTCCCGTATAGCCTTAATAGACTGTTGGGGCAAGTGCTGTTAGCGAGTAGCACCGATGAAGGCTGGCACGGCACACGAGGGGGTGGGTGGCAAGCACCACGTCCGACCGCCTTTGTCTCCCCAGTGTTTACACATCGCACCGAGTACTCATTTGAGGTCGAGTCGACCTAGGACCGGTTCAGATGATCGTCACCGATGTTGGCCATGAGCGGGAATCGAGCTCGGGTCGCCGGGTTCGTAGCGCAGCGCTAACCGCTACTACTCGACCGCTCCCCTACGACCAACAACCACCGCCACAACGAAAGCAGCAACCACCACCACAACCACCACAACCACCACCGCCACCACGACGACGACTAAAACCGCCACGACCACCAGCGCCGCCGCAAGCAGTCGGTGGAGACGAGAGACAGAAGCGAAGAGACGGACGGTGCAACATACACCACCAAGTGCCTCGAGAGACGGAAGGGAAACCGACCCGTGAACAGGCGTGCACGCTGGCCGTGCGACAGATCCAAGCAGCGGAGGAGATTCAAGTTCAAGTTCATTTCAAGTTCATTTATTAGGTATAGCCCTGTGAGCCATTCGGCTCTTGAATCGGGTGCAACCGCAACAAACAAAAACATGAACAAGAAACATCTTAAAGTGAATATGTGACTGAGTGCAAACAAAAAATCCAAAAAAAGACAGCTAAATATTGCAGAAAAAGCACCGTACACCAACACTGTTACTTTCCAAGCAGCGAGCTTCGATTTCAGGTCGATCTTTACAGCTTCTTCCACCCCAGCCCACCCTGCACGTTTGATCCCAGGCCTTGCTGTGAATGTGCTGCAGGTACACCCTGTTATAGACACCCTGCCAAGACTCACCCACCTTAGTCAGTGTGATTCACCTCCATTGCAACACACCACACCGCATGCATGTAGGAAAGTAGTTTAAAATAGTGAGTGAAACACACTCACCATGAGTGTCTGGTCAGGGTCAGGCGAATGTCTGGTGAGTGTCTAGTGAGTGGTGTCCGGTCAGAGCAGTCAAATCAGGTGGTGACTGTCGGGTGAGTGTCTGCCGACTTGTGCGTTGGTAACCGTCAGGTAAATAGTGAGCGGTGGTGGTCATTTGAATGGTGAGTATCACATGAGTGGTGAGTGTTCTGGTGAGTGTCTGGTGAGTGGTGAGTGTCTGCCGACTTGTGCGTTGGTAACCGTCAGGTAAATAGTGAGCGGTGGTGGTCATTTGAATGGTGAGTATCACATGAGTGGTGAGTGTTCTGGTGAGTGGTGAGTGTCTGGTGAGTGGTGAGTGTCTGGTCACTGTCTAGTCATTGTCTAGTGCGTGTCATGCGAGTGGTTTGTGTCTGGTGCGTAATTAATGTCTAGTGTCAGATAAGTGTCTGGTGCGTATCAAGCCATCCCGTCTGTAAGAAGTTATGCCCTTTGGTAGTTAAATACGAAATTCCCTTGTTTCTAAGCGGCTCAAAAGACATTAATGTATCTTGGATAACATTTCGAAAACAAGAGGCAATTCTGAATTTTTATTCAGAATTGCCTCTTGTCTTTAGTTTATTATCCTCCCCCCTCGCCTCCGATGAGCACGGTTGGCTACGTACGGCGCGGAAGAAGTTCAACGTGCACACGCATGCATACAACTGGAGTTGGTTCGTGCAAAACCATTGCACCGTGACTAGCCGCTTGCCCGTTGCGGCGCACGCGGCATCCCACAGCGGAGAGTGACAGCGCTCGCCCCACGTGGGGTCATCAAGGCCTCGACGCGATTGCCCTGCCCTGCCTGTGTCCGTCCGTACGGACGGAGAACATCTCGCGCGGGTCACTTTGACAATCACGTTGGCTGCCACCAACATAATTCGGGAACACAACGGTATTTTGAGAGGGTTATTTTCTGTATAACCCCTAGTCGTTGCAGGGGTCATGTGATCAAATCACAAACAGGACATGCGCGGGTTTGCACGCGCAGGATATGGCGCACACATCGCGTAAGAACCGATCGCAGTAGAGGGATCGGTGCTGAGACCGAACGCTGCAGTCGAACGCTCTCCGGCGAGTGGGAAACCTTTTCGAAAGTTCATTCCCAGCTCTTAACACCCTCCCTGGGGCAGGCGCAGACATCACAGGCGGCCCCGCCTTAGAAATCCGATAAGAGCTCCCGTGGTAAAAGCCACCAAACCACTTATTTGTTTATTCTTTGAGACCCTTTTGACAATACAATGACAACCCCTGCAGCAGCAACACTTGCATTCAGAAAAAAAAGGTTTGGAACATAGTTTTTTTTTCAAACCAAGATAATCTCTTTGCCATGTTACAATGCACTGGGTTCACTCGTGAGGCGAGGTCTAGAGCTTATTTCCACTCTTTAGGCACATACCGACGCATCGAGCCGTCAATTGAAGTCGATTCTTACACTAAAAACAGATTATAATTGATTGTTGCTAATACACCCAGAAATCAAATTCACCATGGAGGTAATAAAGGATGGCATGCTACCCTTCTTGGATGTTTTAATCAAAAGGAGACCAGATGGCTCAATGAGCCACTCTGTCTGTAACCCATACTGACGCCTACCTAAAACTGATTCCCACCACCATCCATCCCAGAAGAATTCCCGCATCAAAACGCTACACCATAAAGCTCAATGTATCTCCGACCATGAACACCTAACCAGTGAACTCAAACACGTACACCGGGTTCTCAAGGCTACTTTACACCTCTGCACGTCCCACCCATTCGTATTGCAATGTGGATTCCACGTCATGCAATCGCTGCAAGGGATATGAAACCTACAGCTTAAGAGATCCCGTGACTGCTCTGTGCAGATTACTATGGCATCATGTGATTTGAGGGCAGAACGCTCAAAACTACCTATAAACACTTCCTGGCATAGAGCCCCCAACCCTCATATTGTACACCCCGAAGTGATGACAGAATCACAAAAACAATATAGAAATGTACCAGGAAGTGCACTTTGTATGTATGTATGTATGTTGAACTTCTTTCGCACCGTACGTAGCCAACCGTACCAAATCGAAGGTGTGGAGCCAAACTAAACAAAGTCGCGGCCCATATATATATCTCTCTGGAACCACGTATGTTTACCCAACCCCGATTTAAAGCGGTGCAGTTTGACAAAATTTACCCCCTCTGTGTGGGAGCGGGGCGACGGGTTGTGTAGCGTCCGTACCGGTTGCCTGGCTCGGCACAGGGTCTTCAGCTCTCCCAAACGCTCCTTCACGTAGCCGAAGTCCGCCTGACGCCAGTAAAGGTACTCCGCCGCCTCCACGGAGTTGGCCCTGTAAAAAAAAACGGCGGACGCCGTTAGCGGCACTGCGATATATGAAGCCGTTGACGCGGGTTTCGCTCCCGGCCACGGCTAACGTTTCCCGGCCGCAGCTGACACCGGTGGTACATGATACACAAACCGGTAATTTAACCCAACGGCACTGATCAGCGCGGTGATGTATGGCCAAGCAATCCTCATGGCCGACAAAGAATGAGGAGGGATTCATTCCAGCAGCGGATTGACAAATCGAAATCAGAATTTTTATTAATCCTGGAGAAATCTGATGAGCTATAAAGCTTTTTTTTTACAGATCTCCAGTAGGGGCGGGTCAGAAAGTTACAACAACAAAGAATTACAAAAACACGATAGAAATGCAAAGTACAGGAAAGGTAAGCAAAGACTAAAACCAAACGATTTTCACCCCATAAAGCTCACCGACATATTTGCGGTAGGAATGCATGGAAAGAGGCGGTGCAGAAGAGACAGCGAATACGGCGCAAGTGAGAGTTTACAAACAACAGACGGGACAAACGAAAGCACAGTAGGTATAACTCAACAGCATATAAATAGTATACAGAGACAGAGAGTACAAACAGGAGTGTGGCTGGCCGCAACAGGGCGACTGCTGCTAAAGCAGGGCTGGCTTTCACTTCCACAACATTCATCATGAAGCATGGCAACACGGCACAGCAGGGTGACAACCCAGAAAGCAGAGTGCCATGACAGCTGGGAGGGTGCCAATAGTGCGACAGTGACATTGCGGCTGTGACAATTTTGTATACATCAGTGAGAGAGACAATGCTTCGGATACGGTGTGATGCATAAGTGAGTGCGCGCTGGTGCATTCGTGTGCTGGTGAAGCGGTGAGTGTGTTGGTGCATCGGTGAGTGTGCTGGTGGCATTTGTGAGTTGACGAGTGAACTGGTGAATCGGTGAGTGTGCTGGTGGCATTTCTGAGTTGGCGAGTGAACTGGTGACATTTGCGAGTTGGCCGCTGATCTGGCGAATCGTTGAGTGTGTTGGTGCGTCGGTGAGCGTGCCGGTTAAGTGCGCTGACCAGGCGGTGTTGGAGGATGAGCAGACCGGGAAGCGGAAGCTGTGGCGTGGCACGCACCCCTCCTCGTAGCCCCAGCAAGAGGAGTTCACCCTCGACAGATGTCTCTGTGCGACAGCAGCAGCGTTCCCAATCCTTCTCGTCGCGTCATCTCACGCGAGCACGCATCTCACCGCTGTGTGCAGTGAATTTATGATCATGCAGCACGGAGCCAATGTGTGCAACAACCAGCGTTCGTACACTCGGCACTCAAGACTTTATTTCAGCTGGTCTAGGAGCCCGTTCAGCCGAGCAGCGCTTTTACAAGGACGACCAGACGTAGACACAGTCCACATCCACCATGCCATCGTCACGGCAGGGCCGGTCGAATAGAAGAACAACCAGAGGTCTATCTTGAAACTTCCCAAGGCGGGGGCAGGGAGCAGTCACAATCATACCGAGAATATTTAAATAGGGCCCTACATTAATAATACATCAATATATTGTAGATTTCAAAGAGGGGGGCACTGCTTGCATTGCCCCCCCCCCCCGCTGCCTTTGATCCGCCACTGTAACGTCAATCAATCGAACTTTATTTCTTTAAAGATGCCTTTCTCAAATCAAGGCCCCTGCACACACACTATTATTACAAACAAAATTACCACTGACCGTACCGATGACCTTGTAAACATGACGACAGTGAGCGCAGAATATGCAACGGCAATATAGGCATGTGACACACCGTACAGTTAGTTTACGTCTTTGACCACAGTGTGCGTGACGCTCATGCTCGTGTTTCTGGACAGCGCAGATGTAGTTGTAACATCCGCAGTCCTTCATTCCTACAGGGTCAATAAAATGACGATCGCTCTGCGGGAAGTGGTTGTGCTCTGCGTAGATTTTTCCGCTGCCATAGAAATGCGGGATTTCAGCCCACGGGCTCAGGGCTGTGAAAAAGGAAGGGACCACCATTTTGCACTCCTTTTGGAAGGAAACTACTTGATGGGTTAATTTCTTAAAACTCGGTGGCCTAGATTTAATACATGGTAAAATATACACAACGGCACCAGTGCTCCGAATGATGTCTGACCCTGGCCTGAACCATCCCAACCAGTCCCTACCTGAAAACAAGAACAACTCTTGATGCTCGGTCAATCACTCAACGATCAGCAGGGAAACACATTGGCCGATAGTTCTCTTGCAAGGTTAGCTACAGGAATTTGCCCTTTAGCCTATTTATTTTGCTTCCTTGTACCTAAGATGTGTGTGTCTGTCTGTTGAACTTCGAACACACCGTACGTAGCCGTACGTGCTAATTGGAGGCGTGGGGGAAGAACAGCAACAAACCCAACACAAAAAGCAGTTACTAAAGAAATGAGCTAACAATGTAGACGATAAAAAGGTGCGAAGCTCCAGTGGATTCATAATATCGGGAGGAAGAGCGTTCCAGATGGCCACAGAAGCATGTCTGAAAGCGTCGTGATGCAGTGACCGTGCACAGACTGCAGAGCCATGCGCGGACATCGAAGGCACTGTGAGCACTTCTACTTCTATCTTGGAAGCTCTCCCTCCTCTCCTTTTGAATTCAAACCTGTTGGGCTTCTTCGGGTAACGACAGGCGCACTTTATTCATGTTGCACTGTTTACATAATATGTGGATCTGACCGAAACTATAACTTTGTATTTTATCACTGCGCAATGTTCACATTTCTTCCAGGGTAATATCACCACTTTGAAGCCCTTTCTGTTACCAGTTAATTTGCTTTGCTACCACTGGAGTTTAAGGAAAATTGACGTCGACATATTTGACCTTGTGATGTAAACCAGGCCACCATTGCAAGCGAGTGCCACGATTACACGTTTGTCTTAACGGGGCTGTTGCTATCACCTGCTGGCATTACGGTTGGACTCCCGAGTGCACTGAGGGTGCACAAGCAAGTCTCTGTACCTTGCAATTGCACGGACTTCGGCAATCCCATTACGGGCCGCTGCCACTCACCTTGTACGGGCACCGGGGGTCCGCCACGCATGACTCTGTCTCTTGCGGGCGGCCGTGCAGGTAGTAGGGTATGTGCTCAGGGTGGAGGTTCAAGTTGGTGAAGTTGGTTGACGGTGAGATCTGAGCACCACCCAGGCACGGACAGAGGACGACCCAGAGGCACAGCGCTGACCACGGCGCCATCCTCGACTCGAGCCTGCAACGACACGCCGAGCGGGATTTGTGTTGTTGTTGTTACAACGCACGAGCCACGTGGAGGCGACACCTCGTACCCTGACAACGTCCTTGCGATTCGCTTTCACTCGATTGTCACCAGCAGCTGTTAACATCGCCTCCTGAAACTGTGCGTGAGATTCCATCCCCTCCCCCCGCCTCACCCAGCCCCAGCCATCTGTGCTGCCGACTGCCCGTCGCTGCTCACGGCTACCGTTTCAACTTTCGTTAGTGAACCGTGGCCGGGAATCAAACTTAGGTTGCCGGGTTCACAGCGCAGTGCGCCACCGCTTCCCACGATGCAAATACGGACACTATTTATGCAAACTCGCACACGTACATGGTACACTATTTGTACAAACACACACACACAAGTACATACATGGACAACGCCGCACACAGTCCCCGCGGTCAGAAACGAGTCTGGCGCCACGACGCCAAGGTCGCGTCTCGCCGACAGCAGCGAGCGCAGACCGGGCGGCGGCCGGGACGATCCTGCCTCGATGGGTTTTGAAAACAAAACGACAGGAAAGTAAAAAAAAACCTCTCCAGAAACCGCGGGCGTGTCGAGGAAAAGCCCCGAGATAAAGCCCCGTGAACGAGCAGCGTGCAGCGTTGTGACCGTGGCGGGCGGAGGGGGGGGCGGGTTCACGGCGAGGACCCCCGGGGGCGATCCCCAGGGCGCGGTGGTGCGATCTGCAACTTTAGAACCCGACTGTGCGTGGGCGGCGTTGTCTCCGACGGTGGGAAAGAAAGCCATCTATTCTCACACATTACCGATCCCCTTCGAGGCAGCCAATGCCATGCACGTAAACACGCACGTACACACGCAACCTCTAGCTAATTGTTTGAATGTATTTCTCACACACTTTTTTTAGGTGAAGGTAAAGGTGCAGCCCCTGCAATTGCTCGCTCACGCCACTGCTGACAGAAGGGCCTCCACTCGACGGAGGTCTCGAGACCATCTCGAGAGGGTAGATTGAAAACTCAATTCTTTAGAAATGCTTTTTGTCTTTAGTTTAGTCCTTACCCCGCACCTCCGATTAGCATGGTTTGCTACGTCTGGTGTGAAAGAAGTTCAACATACAGGGTATTTTGGCCTAATCTTCCACGCTGGTCAGACATCTTGGAAGAGGTGGGAGTACCAAACCACACGTGACCTCTACCGATGGACTAACTGTGGCGTAAGGGGCCGTCCATAAATGACGTCACACAAAAAGTCAGACCCCCCCCTCAAATATTACGTCACAAAGCTCTGCCCCCCCCCCCAAAAACCATATTTCCATTTTGAAAATAAAACAGCTTCAAATCGATATAAACTATTGTCATTGTAGTGCGTATTTAATGTGGCCTGCACTCTGATGTTGTAGGAGTGTTGTTATAACAATTAGTGTTGATATTACAATTCTATATTTATTTAAAGTTGCGCATTTTGACGTGACGTCACATTTTTAAACCCCCCCCCCCACCCCGTCACACATCGTCACAAATGTCTGACCCCCCCCCCCCCTAGGTGCGTGACGTCATTTATGGACGGCCCCTAACCCATTTATACCGCTCAGTGTGGACAGAGGCGGCGCTTGGGGATTTAAGAAACTGGCACCAATGGTTACAACTGCCACGCCGGGAGATCGAATTGAACTTCTGACCTCTGGATTGCAAGTCCAGTGTGCGAACCATTTTTTCACTGCAGCTTCCCTCAAACACTTTACACAACACATGTAGATTACAATTTCTTACGGCCGAAAGTGGGTAATGCCAAACTAAATAATAAATACAGACTCGGGTTCGATTGACTCAATCGTCATCCATGATCAATCAAATTTTGCCAATTACCAATGAGGTTATCCTGGTCTCTTTGAGTTCTCACCTGGTTAAACAAAATAAACGCGAAACTTGAAGTTTAATCCATTGTTGGATAACAAAATAAGTAATATTTGAAAATAAAATTTTAAAAACACGCTTTAATGAAATTTACCCTTCTCGTAATGGCAGAACTCCACGACTCCAGGAAGTGGCCCCAAAGCTCGCCATAACGTAAGGGACCATGGTTTACAGCCAACGTCAGTTGAACGTGGACAATTAGACCTAAGCCGAAACATAACATATAAAAATTAATGTTTATACTTAAAAAAAAATTTGATAGAATATAGAATTGTCATCAGTATGACATAAGTATACCAAGTTTGCAGTCGATACCACATTGGGAAGTGGGTTAAAATTGAGTTACAAGATTTGAGGATACGACAACAACAGAGTGAGTTCAATAAAAGCGTGTAAAAAGGCCTCTGTATAGCCATTGGCCATCTCTCACGATCCTGCATCGTTACAATCCGCCTAGCACGTGCACACGAGCTGATTTCGTGCCTCCATCTCCGTAGTTGATTAACTCTCTGGCCACGTTCCTTCCTTTGGGTGCCACTCCATCGTTAGTTGAAGCCAGGGGCCAGCAACCAAAATAACGAGATGAGACATTTTTTTTTCGAATTTGGTTAAAAAAATCTATACTTCAAGAGCCGCAATGCAATGTGAATACGAGACGGTGGGTCCTTAGTAACACATTCCTGCGGAGGGAGCTGGTAGGAACGTTGGGTTGCTCGGTCAATGGCCAGGGTCAACGGCGGCGTGGTGTATTCCGCAAATATGCCCGACTGTGAGGGCGGGCACAAGCCGGCATGAGTAGGTTAAACGTTGAGTTTTATAAGGGCACCACGGGGTGACCAGCCCCTCCCCACCCAGCCCCACCCCTCACTCAGCCCTACCCAGCCCCTCCCCACCCAGCCCCTCCCCACCCTCCCCACCCAGCCCCACCCTCCCCACCCAGCCCCACCCTCCCCACCTAGCCCCTCCCCACCCTCCCCTCTCCACCCACCCCTCCCATTTTTGGATGCACGACGGACGGACACAATAATCCCCTGTGGGCTGGTGGAACCAGGTGGTTCCTACCAGTATAACGTGTCACAAAACCAGTCCTTAAAAGTGACGCATGCGGCTCCAGAGGCGCTGGTTGCCGACCCCTGGTCCAAACCACCGGCCAAAGGCGGCTCGTGACATCTCCACTGGGCGGGGCTATTGCGAGTGACCTCTGAACTGACGGTGTTCTAATAAAGAAAAACCTCGCCACGTCATTGGACTTCCCGTGAAAGTGATACAACTGTCTTATCTACCAACGGTCGGCATTATAGACAATACGAAACAAAACAATAAAGCACTCAAATGCTGTCCCCATGACCCTCAATTCCACACTACACAACCCCATTGACACTGCCAAAAGCCTAGGGCGTGTAGGCCGTGACCTGCTATATTTGCAAAGTGCAACCTAGCGTTATGACATCGTCATTTCTGATCCATTCAGTACACGTGATCACCTCTCGTCACCTCTTGCTGCAGGCCTCTCATCTTTATGTCCTGTTTATCTTTCCTCCGATGTGGCCCACGGGCAAAAGCTGAAGAACCCTGGCTTTAGCATTACTGTTTACATAACATTACATCCTGTAATGGACTCTCGTGTTTGTCACACACATTTACTGGTCCTGGCCCATTGAATCGGCAACGAATGCCAAGGAGAAAGACTCGGACATAATTATAACGGCATGTCAATGTATCTTAAATCAAAACCGTGTGTATAAACACAGCCAATCACCCGTGATGTGCCCAATGTTGTCACACCTCAGAGGCTAAGCAGGGTTGAGACTGGATAGTGAGTGCTCGGATTGATTAAAACTGGCTGGGGGTTGTGCTACGTAGTGGTGGGCAGTGGAGCAAAGTCCATCGTTGTTCTGTACTTCTACGCTCCCACCGATCTTCGCTCCCTACCGCCACCGACTCGCACTGACCAAGGCTTGGGGAGGTCCTCATCAAGCAGTGGATTGACAAACGGGCTGTACATGTACTCATAATAATTCCCCTTCTGTATCGAGTGACACAAAAGCCTATAGAACACGAGCAAAAGCCCCCTCCTGGTTAAGTATAAAAGCATGGGCTGTTTTTTTGTATGTATGCCTGCGAGTGTGGCCACAAATCCCAAACATCGACCACATTGTAAACACCCACGGCTGTCCTCACTCCTTTAAAGGATGAATGGATGAGATCCACTCTGCTTGCGGAAAACAAGCCTCCGTGTTGCCTCCGAAACGTCGTGATTTAATTTATTTGTTTTCCTGTTTTTAACCTACGTGACTTTACGGAAAAAAACAAAGAGTATGGTTCCTTGCAGTCACGAAAGCTTCAAATCTAGAATGGATAACAAATTTAAAATTACATCTTGAACCTGCTGTTATTAATCCGTACAAAAGAAGTATGTATGTTTGTTGAACTTCTTTCACACCATACGTAGCCGACCGTGCTATAATCGGAGGTGCGGGGGGAGAACAACAAACACAAAAAGCTGTTCTAAAGAAATGCATTTTCAATCGATATTTATGATTGTGATTTTTTTTCACTCCTTTAAAGGAGAAATGGACGAGATCCACTCTGCTTCGTTACCCGATTTGCGGCTGTCGCCTGATGAAGCTAGTTGCAATTACTGGCGAAACGTCGTACTCAGATTGTAAATGTTGTGGCTTTGCTCTCTCCAACACACCGGTGTGCTGTTGTAGTAATTAATTGGCACGTTCTGTTCACGCGACAAACCTTACTAATTGGCTGTGTCGGGTGGTGGTGGGTTTAACGACATATTTATATTTTTACGCGATCTAACCCAAAAAAAAACTGTATTATGTTGAACTTCTTTCACACCGTACGTAGCCAAACGTGCTAATCGGAGGTGCCGGGCTAAGGACAAGAAACTAAACACACACACACAAAACAAACCACGCACGCAAGACTTGTTCCAGCTGGCAAGCGTGTGGGAATCTGGCTCGCTGGCTGCTCCAGTGTCATTCACAGCACCAGCAGCAACCACTGTACGTTCGCACATGTTGATGTTGGAATGAGGCGCTGTATACATCTCTACGAGATAAAGACTTACACATTACCGCCACGTACATGCGTATTCATGCAGTTCAAGAGTATACAGCATATCTAGTCGACTGTATCGGTAACGCATTTTCCGTATGTAAATGTTATATAACACAAGTTTTAAATGGCGCGTAACATATACGCACATTAAAGTGTGTGCCGTACACAAAAGTCACGTTATATAAAGCGCATTCCTACAAACCTACGCATTTCTGAATCATGTAATTATGGAACTTATGTAAAAGCGCTCGTTCCGAACGAACCACAACATGTACCTTGCTGAGCTTGTCACGAGAGCATAGACCACGTCGCGAACTCTGGCTACATCTCAATGGCCGAGTCACTTGCCAAACTAAGACCGTCAGGACATCGCGTGCTCTTAAGCTGTGCCCTCTGCAACTGCCTGGAACACTTCCTTCTGGCATTAGAATTCCCACCAGAACTTTGGCTCTTTTAAATCTACATCGAAAACTCATTTACTTAGGTCTGCTTTTTTTGCGTATCGTCTGTTGTCACTCTCCCGCACCTCCGATTAGCGCGGTTGGCTATGTACGGTGCGAAAGAAGTTTCAAAATATTATGCAGAACAAGGCTAGGAAACACCCGTGGAATTGCACGGTTTAATTCTCCCCAAAACAACCTATTTGTCCTCCACACAATTACACAACAACAACCGCCATTCGCCACTAAGTGGTGGTGACGTCACCACGGCACTTGTGCCAGGCTACGTGCACGTTAAGGCCACGTGAAGTGTAGAACGCCCGCTGGCAGGAGGTCACGGGACAGACCCAGGTGCCATGGGTCGATTGACTGAGATGACTGGCCGATGCACCGCCTGTGACCCCTAATGTGCCAACGACAATTCCACGCACAATTACACACAATTATAATTACACGCACATATATATACCCACACAAAAAGACAGAGATCCCCCGCATAGCCTGAACAGTCTGTTGGGGCAAGTTGCTGTAGGCGAGCGGCACTGTGGCACACGAGGGGGCTGGCTTGCCAGCACCACGCTCAGATGTAATGCTCACATTGTTTTTCTAGCAAGCGTTGGGCCAATAGTTTGTGGCATGTGATTGGCACCGTTGGACCAATGTCGGCCCAACGTTCCGTGTTTACTGCTCGAATGATCACCGTGGCGGTGATCGCCTCCGATTTACAACCCCGTGCCAGTGGCTGGAATTCCTCATTCCTATGGCGGGGGCGAGTCGCACCATGGTATTTACCTATTTTATCGTCCACGAGGGGATGATGGATGGGCTATCGAGTCAAACTGGGATTTCGAACTCGCAAGCTCCCTTTTGGGGAGCCACTCGCTCTCCCGCCGAGCCTACTGGCTGGGTAAATGAAGTAAATGTGTGAATAATAGGATACGGGAGGGCGTTCGTCAGGCAATATAACAACGTGGAATCGTACTCACAAGTGCTTGCTTGCTTGCTCTTTGCTGCTGGTGCTGGCAATAATACCGGGGCAGCCAGCCAGGTTCCTCTGCTGCACGCTTGCCAGTTGGAGCAAGTCACATCACGAGAGAGTGAGCGCCGCCACTGTGTGGGCCCTGCAAAAGGCACAAAGATCCCCCCTGTAGCCGGAACAGACTGGTTGGGGCGAAGTGCTATGAAGGCCGTCTTTGTCTCCGTCTTTGTCTCCCTCACAACAGGTACTCGTTTGAGGCTGAGTCGACCTAGAGGAAGACACCACAACCGGTTTCAGATCATCGACACCCGGTGTGTCAGGGTCCGTGAGCGGGAATCGAACTCGGGTCGCCGGGTTCGTAGGACAGCGCACTCACCGCTGCACCACCGCTCCCCACACACAGACATACACACAGACACACACAGACACACAGAGACACACAGAGACACACACAGAGGCACACACACACAGACACACACACACAGACACACAGACACACACAGACACACAAAGATAAAGATCCCCCGTATAGCCTTAACAGACTGTAGGGGCAAGTGCTGTTAGCGAGCACCTATGAAGGCCGGAACAGTACACGAGGTGGTGGGTGGCCAGCACCACGCTCGACCGCCTTTGTCTCCCCATTGGCGATGTTTATACACCAGGTACTCATTTCAGGCTGAGTCAACCTAGGGGAGGCCCAGGACCGGTTCAGATAATCGTCACTATTGGTGTTAGCCGTGAGCGGGCATTTAATCTAGATCGCCAGGTTCATAGCGCAGTGCGCTAACCGCTACACTACCACTCTCCAAACAGAGACACACGGAGACACACACAGACACACACAGAGGCACACACAGAGACACACACACAGACACACACAGACACACACACAGACACACACACACACAGACACACAACAACAACCGCCATTCGCCACTTAGTGGCGGTGACGTCACCACGACGCTTGTGCCAGGCCATGTGCACCTTGAGGCCACGTGAAGTGTCGAACGCCCGCTGGCAGGTCACGGGGCAGACCCAGGTGCCACGGGTCGACTGACTGAGATGACCGAGATGACTGGCTGATGCACCACCTGTGCCCCCTACTGTACCAACTTGCTGTGCTTTAGCCACCCGGTGCTCCGCTCGTTGTTGTGAACGTCGCTCCTCCGCCCTCCGTTTTTGTTGGAGGGCGACTGCCTCCAACTGCCCAGTAGCGTCCTTCACGAGCCTCCTCCACAGAGGCCGATCTTGACACCGCTGGTACCAGTCATCAGCAAGTCCACTCAGCTCCACGTTCTCCTGTACCACATCACTCCATCTCTTCTCTAGCCCGTGCCGCGCCCGTTTAGCCCCCTCGATCCGACCGAACAAAAGCTGTTTAGGCATGCGGTGGCTGGGCATGCGGGCTACATGACCCAGCCAACGCAGCCTTGCCTGTCGGAGGAGCTCACCGATGGGACTTTGCCCAGATCTTTCAAGGATTTGTGAGCACCTCACACAATCCAGCCTGGTTAAACCCAGGATGGATCGTAGGCAGGCCAGCCTAAATTTTTCCAACCGGTGAAGATGCTCCATTAGGGGGGTCCACGTTTCGCAAGCGTAGAGAAGGGAGGGAATGACTGTGGCCGAGAAGACCTGAAGCTTCGTGCGGAGCGACAGACCAGGTAGCTTCCACACAGCGTTACACAACCGATGAAAAGATATTGCCGCTCGATTGATTCGGAGTGAGACCTCTGCTGTTAAACTGGAGCCGGTCATAAGCACACTGCCCAGGTATGGGAAACTCTCCACTCTCTCCACTACTGCCCCATCACCGATTGGGAGTTGTGGGGGTGGAGTGTCAGATGGTACAAAATACCCAGACAGGTGCTTAGTTTTGGTGGGGCTGATGGTAAGGCCCCGCCTCTTAGTGGCACGCTCCAGTCTCAGCAGCAGCATCTCCAACTCCTCTTCTGAATGAGCAGCTATTACCAAATCATCGGCATACATAACGTGTTGTTATGATGTCATATAGGGCAGTCTGTGCACAAACGCCACCCTCCCTCAGCATTTCGCTTGGGAGATCATCTCTGCTTGGTGCCTTTCCTGGTCTCAGACTCTGGATCGCCTTCAGTACTTCCTCAACAGATGGCACCTCAGCCAGCCACTCACAGGGGGTGACCTCTTCCAATATTTGAGGCGCCTCAGCAGGGTTATCCCCACTTTGTGCCATGATGTTTTCCTGGCTGAGGGATTTCCCCTCCCCCAGGACCTCACAGAAATGCTCAGCAAATCTGCAAACCTGTTACTGGGGGTCGGAGATTGGATCACCGTTTTTTCCCCTAATGATGGTAATAGGTGTGGCGCTGCAAGTTACTTTTTTGATGGAGTTAAATAGTGATTTGTGATCGCGGGCCACTGAGGCAGACTCTATCTCCTCAGCAACCCGCGACCACCACCCACAGAGACAAAGACAAAGACAAAGATCCCCCGTATAGCCTGAACAGACTGTAGGGGCAAGTGCTGTTAGCGAGCACCTATGAAGGCCGGAACGGTACACGAGGGGGTGGGTGGCCAGCACCACGCCCGACCGCCTTTGTCTCCCTAGTGGCGATGTTTACACACCGCACCAGGTACTCATTTAAGGCTGAGTCGACCTAGGGGAGGCCCAGGACCGGTTCAGATAATCGTCACTGGTGTTAGCCGTGAGCGGGAATCGAACCCGGGTCGCCAGGTTCATAGCGCAGCGCGCTAACCGCTACACTACCGCTCCCCACAGAGACAACAACAACAACCGCCATTCGCCACTAAGTGGCGGTGACGTCACCACGATGCTTGTGCCAGGCCAAGTGCACCTTGAGGCCACGTGAAGTGTCGAAAGCCCGCTGGCAGGAGGTCACGGGGCAGACCCAGGTGCCACTGGTCGACTGACCGAGATGACCGAGATGACTGGCTGATGCACCACCTGTGCCCCCTACTGTGCCAACTTGCTGTGCTTTAGCCACCCGGCGCTCCGCTCGTTGTTGTGAGCGTCGCTCCTCCGCCCTCCGTTGTTGTTGGAGGGCGACTGCCTCCAACTGCCCAGTAGCGTCCTTCACACAGAGACACACACACAGACACACACACAGGGGGCACTGCTGAGATGCGGAGATCGAGAGTGGGGGGAGGGGTAAGGGAAGTGGACGTGCCGAAACTTGCCCGAAGGGGACAATTGACAATCACCACCCCCCACCACCACCAAGAAAGCACAACCAGCCGGGGTTCTAATGAATCCATCCCAGCCACAGCAGCCCTTCCCTCCGAGCTCATTCTCACCACGTGCTCAGACACAAAGACAAAGATCCCCCCCCCCAGTGTAGCCTCGACACACTGTTGGGGCAAGTGCTGTTAGCGAGCAGCAACCTATGAAGGTCGGCACGGCACGCGAGAGGGTGGACAACACCACGCCCGGCCGCCTTTGTCTCCCCAAGTGGGGAGACAAACGCCGCATCGGTGACTCATTCGAGGCTGAGTCGACCTAGGGGAGGGCCCGGGACCGGTTCAGATGATCGTGATCCGGTGTGTGGCCGGTTCGCCGGGTTCATAGCGCAGCGTAGCGCCCCAACCACTGCACCACCGCTCCCCACTCAAGTTTCATTTTCAAGTTTCATTGATTAGGTAAAGCTCTGTGAGCCATGTGGCGCTTGAGTCGGGTGCAACGGCAACAAACAAAATATGAACAACCAACGATTCCCTTCTTTACGCAGCCCACCAACCCCCAGCCGCCACCACCACCCACCACCACCCACCACCACCAGCCACCACCACCACCAGCCACCACCACCAGCCACCAACCCCAAGCCACCACCACCACCAGCCACCACCACAACCAGCCACCACCCACCACCACCACCAGCCACCAGCCACCACCAGCCACCAGCCACCACCACCACCACCAGCCACCACCACCACCAGCCACCACCACCACCACCAGCCACCAGCCACCACCAGCCACCACCACCACCAGCCACCACCAACCCCGGCGGGCTAAAACGGAAATGTCAACCTTGAACACAACTTGAGTTGCCTGTTATATATGTGTGTTGTGTTCTTACTACACGGCTCTGACTAAACACGTGTCTCCACAATAACAACATCATCGTCACCACACAGAGAACCACGCAGCCTGTGACAGGCACCACCACCACCAACACCACCACCAACACCACCACCACCAACACCACCACCACTACCACCAACACCACCACCACCACCATCAACACCACCACCACCATCAACACCACCACCACGTGGGGCTCACACACCTTGACGCAGGGCGAGGAGAGTACCTGCTGCTGTTGTTGTTATGTTGTTGTTGATGCTGTTGTTGTTGCTGCTGTTGTTGATGCTGTTGTTGTTGATGCTGTTGTTGTGTTGCTGCTGTTGTTGTTGTTGCTGTTGTTGCTGCTGTTGTTGTTGATGTTGTTGTTGCTGCTGTTGTTGATGCTGTTGTTGTTGATGCTGTTGTTGATGCTGTTGTTGTTGATGCTGTTGTTGTGTTGCTGCTGTTGTTGTTGTTGCTGTTGTTGCTGTTGTTGTTGATGTTGTTGTTGCTGTTGTTGTTGCTGTTGTTGATGGTGTTGTTGCTGTTGTTACTGCTGTTGATGATGTTGTTGCTGTTGTTGTTGCTGTTGTTGATGGTGTTGTTGCTGTTGTTGATGGTGTTGTTGCTGTTGTTGATGTTGTTGTTGTTGCTGCTGTTGTTGATGCAGTCGTTGTGTTGCTGTTGTTGCTGCTGTTGTTGATGTTGTTGTTGTTGTTGCTGTTGTTGTTGCTGCTGTTGTTGCTGCTGCTGTTGTTGTTGATGTTGTTGTTGTTGTTGCTGTTGTTGCTGCTGTTGTTGTTGTTGATGTTGTTGTTGTTGTTGCTGCTGCTGTTGTTGCTGCTGCTGTTGTTGCTGCTGCTGTTGTTGCTGCTGCTGTTGTTGCTGCTGTTGTTGCTGTTGCTGCTGTCGCTGGCTCCGGCCCGCCTGTCACTGAGTGATGTAACGCGGCTACTGTACAAGGCTACTGTACAAGGCCCCGGCGACTCTCACGTGTTGGTGGGTTGTGAGTGGCCCCGAGCCGCTCGCTGGAGCCGCGTGGGACCGACTGACCACACACCCACATCACCACCACACAGCCCACTACCACCCACCACACACCCCACTACCAGACCCCCCCACCCCCCACGCTCCACCACCACCACCCTCCCAGTTCCCCCACCACCCCCACCACCACCCCCACCACCCCACCCACCACCACCACCCCCACCACACACCCACTACCACCACCACACACCCACTACCACCACCACACACCCACTACCACCACCACACACCCACTACCCTCACCAACCCCCACCACCACCCCCCACCAACCCCACACACCCCACCACCACCACAATTCGCTTGCGCCCCCTGGTGGTGGAACGGCGGTCCCGGCTCAAGAGGAACATCGGAGCCACCGAGAGGTTTGCGCGTCAAGAATTGTGGTCAAGGCTGTGATGCAACAATGGGGTGACAGTGGAGAATGTATGGGTTGAATCCACAGGTCATACCGTGTCAAGCCATATGGTTCATCTTCTTGGTTCTTTCGGTAAAGTCACGTAGAATGGAAATAATAAAATAATAAAAATAAAACATAATAGAAAACAATTCTCACGACGTTTCGGCCACAACGCAAGCAGCCGTCCTCGGGTGAAGAACAGGTCTGTCGGAAAGACAGCGTCTGAATGAAATATGGTTCAGTCCGAATTATTGTACAGAGAAATTGAGTTTTCAGGTCCATACGGACAAAAAAATATGTTTGTTTATTTGTTTTTAAGGGCACCGGGTGACCAATAAGGTTTTAAATTGGTCTGTAATAAGGTAGGGCATTGATAAGGGGTTGACAGCGATGACTGCTGGATGAAAGCCTCCCCAAGTTGCCCATCCTGAGATGCAACAGTGCATCCAACACTTGCACGTGAAACCGATCTATTGGAAATCGTTTATTTAGATCTTCGAGGAGACCCCCCCCCCCCCTGGGGCAATCTCCAACTTCAGAAATCGATGTTTGCGTGTGCGGGCGTTGTCACCGACGGTGGGACAGAAAGCCATCTTTCATAATACACATTTTGGGTTAGATCGCGTTATTTTTAAATGTGTCGTAACCCTCCACCACCCGACACAGCCAATCAGCAAAAAAGTGTCACGTTGACAAAAGACAAATAGTTCACTGCTTTAGCCAGCCCCTCCCCACCCAGCCCCACCCCTCCCACCCCCCACCCAGCTCCACCCATCCCCTCCCCACCCAGCCCCACCCTCCCCTCCCAACCCAGCCTCACCCTCCCCACCCAGCCCCTCCCTCCCCACCCAGACCCTCCCTACCCACCCAGCCCCTCCCTGCACGACGGACGGACACAATAATCCCCTGTGGGCTGGTGGAACCAGTGGGTTCCTACCAGTATAATACTGCATCTTTCTGCACTGCACTCTGCTGTCCACTCCGCAGCATAATTTTATTTTTCTTCAGAAAGTCGAAGCTCGAGTTTGCTTCAACAAAAGGCTGTTGGCCAATGTTGGCCTGGCAAACCGACGTGCTTGATGGGACTAAAAACACACAACGAACTTCTACCTCATGGGATCTCCCTTGCCAATATCAAAATATAAGAATAGGTTTTACCCTTTCTGGCAATAAAACAGGTGTTAAGATGTTAAAACACCAAACTGAAACCTTTTGCAAGGAATCATGTCTGCATTAAACACGCATACTTGTGGTGAACGTCTTTGTGCTGTTCGCATTTTGGCGTCCTCTGGTCTAACACTGTTTGAGACTAGGCTCTAAAGAAAGCTGTCTCTGGTGTGGACCAATCAGTTGCAAAGACAATGCATATATTAGCAGAGGATGCTTTGTGGTTAATGCAGACATGATTCCTTGCAAAAGGTTTCAGTTTGGGGTTTTAACATCTTAACACCTGTTTTATTGCCAAAGGGTAAAACCTATTCTTATATAGAACTTAGACTTACATCTATAATGTTCCACAAAAACTAATAATTTTCACGCATGGTGGTTGCCCATCCAAACATTATTTATCCAGGCCCCCACCTCGTTCAGTTTGATACCCCGACGAGATCAATCGTAGTCCGAGTGATTTGGTGCAAGGTCAGAAAGCTTTAGGCCAGAAATGTTCAGCTCTCTGGCCAACTGTTGGTGACGTAATGGTTTTGGGATAAAATTTCGGATAATGCACAAATGCATCGATTGGTGTAGATTTGTGTAAACACATGCATCAAATCGCATGTAGATATCACTTACCATTGATGTTAGCCAGCAAATCAGCCGTGGCTGGAGAAACTCAACTCCGGCCACAGCATCATCCCGAATTTAATTATGGGTCATTGCTATAACTCCAATAATCCATTTCTAAAAGAGGGACCTTGAACATACACAGTCTGCCAGTTCATCAGCATTGGTTTAATCAAGCTTGACGCTGCTGTTGAGACGATGTCTTTCGAAACCAGTCAAGAGTTTGCTTGTATTGAACCAATGCTTTCGAAAATTTGCCACTCCGAGAAGGACATGTGGCTGAGATTGAGATGTGTAAAAAAAAACATTACGGGGAGGTAAAGCGTAATATTGTCTGCTTAGCTATGTTACATTCCCCACGACATTAACGATTGATCACTGCGTCAAGTTAAGAAAGTTCACTTGCTCACAAGTCCAAAACATTTAGCCACACGCACACCAGTGCTGCAAGTACGATACAAGTGCTTACAATACACAGCTTTGATACAAGGTTCAATGAGCCGAGCACAAGTTGAAGAATTTTATTCAACTGCTTATCCCCATAAATAACCAACGTTGTTCATTCGTGAGTTTCCTTTCATATACCGTATCCTTCAACTAATTGCATACATGGTTAATATTGCGTGTATATCGTGATAAATCAAGGCTATGTTAAGTTTGAATCAACAAAGTCTACCCCAGGACCCTCCATCTTAAATGGGCTTTGTGGAGTGCTAAGGTCAGATGTAGCTCAAGTAATTCACAAGTGTGTGTGCACGTGTATTTAGCTATAGACAATGCTCATTGAAGAACATTGTCCACAAAATAACTTGTTTAGATACTATATATTGTCAGGATTGGACAGGAGACCTTGTTTATTAATGGCAAATTAACCACGACATGCAACTGCAAATGTTAACAAGATTTTATATATATACACATACATACACACTCTTATGTACAGTACCGTACACAGTCACTTCTGAAGTCAAACATAAAATCGTGGATCGAGAAATGCATTTTAATGCCAAACGACCACACAAGACCTTGGCACTCCAAAAATCCCACTTGGACTGGATGCACCGCAGAATCGTCTAGAATATTACAGCCATGGCCAAACACCCTAATACATAGCAGACGCTTGTATATGCTCGAGTTCCACACACAACGTGCGAAACACTCGGCAAAACCTTGCTATAGAATTAACCGCGCCATCATGATCTCTTTTGAAAAGATCAACTTCTCCGTAAAAGTGCAATGACAGTTAAAAACATAACCCATTCACCAGCTTAGCATTTACGAGGGGGGGGGGGCTAATAAAAAATACCTAACGCTTTAATGCATCAATAATAAATCTACATCACCATGAGAGCAACAAAAAAATATCTGGTCACATACAAACGATGGACGTGCCAGCAGAACAAAAACAATAGACAAAAGTGTCTGTGCAGACGTGATAATGGAGCACATCACCGACCGCTTTGTGAAAAGGATGTATAAGAGTGAAAAGGCTTCCAAAAATCGGGCTTCAGCCACAGCTTAAGATGATGTCTGCTGGAGCAATGAATGACTGTACCACAGCGATCGGATGTAAATAGGTCTGCGGCTTCTTGCGATGACGTGAGTGACCACAGATTTCACGCCATGGGAGAGACTTTTGGCATGAGCTCGTTTTAACCGTGAACGCTGGTGGGAAAAAATACTTGTGCCCTGCCCTGTTGCAAACGGAATGTGATTGTGGGAAAAGCGTTTCTCACACACAGCACTCGCCATCGTGTATGTGTTCAAACAATGGAATATACAGGTTAGATCTTAAGTTTTCGTGACTGCAATGTTCCATACTCTTTGGTTCTTTCGGTAAAGTCACACAGGTATAAAATAAAATAAATTAAACATTTTTAAAAAATTCTAAATAATAAACAAAAACAATTAAATCACGTTTCGGAAGTAACACAAGCTTCTTGCCCACTACAGTAATTTATTTCTTGCTGTGGTTTTCCCACCTGATGACGGAAGCTTGTGTTGCTTCCGAAACGTCGTGATTTAATTACATTTTTGATAAGGAATTTATATTTATTTTATACCTGCGTGACTTTACCTGAAAGAACCAAAGAGAATGGAATATACAGTTCCAAATCCAGGCCTGCATGATGGGTTAATGACAGAACAATACAACAGATGCCTCTGGGGGTGCCTCAGAGTTTTGCAGAAATGCTGTGATCTTAAATTTCAATGGATCTACGAGCATTACCGCGCCGCAGAGCAAATGTTCACTCGTGCTGTTTGTAGAGGCATCTGGCATCAATGGCGGCGATGAGAAAGCAGACATCACACTCCATGCCAGCACTGAACTGCCAGAAAACCACCTCCAGACGGGGATCTTGAGCCACAGCTCCGTATTGAGATGATATATTCAGCTGTGACTAGGAGATGCGACAATAGTAGGGCTGGTGGTGATGTATTGACAACATATTGATACCATCCTACAGTATTAACAACAAAACATTCATTGGGAAGGAATTTGACAAAAAAGATTTATCTGGGTTGTCGAGGAAGGCTGGACTTAAAATGGCAAACTCAACATGGTACGATCCATAACTGGTTAGCGGTCACTTTGATGACCGCAACAAATAATTAGTATAGATTCGCGTCACTCTTGGGTGAAGTTCCAAAAATGTATTTTTGGACATCTTCATCCCACGGCCACCCAAAAAGGAGACACCATGGGATGGGGAGTAAGGGCAGGCGGAGTTGAGGAGGCTGACATGTCCCAGTGTGCGGCAGCAAGATATGTCCTGCACTACGTGGGTCTCTGTCGCAGCAGCTCCTCAATCTGAGCCTTGTACATGTTCTTGATGTCCTGCAGGTCCAGACGAAGCTCTTCGGCCTCCTCCGCCTTCTCGCCATACATCTGCAGCATCGTGTTGTACCGCTGCTCCAGGTCCTGAGCATGCGCAAGAGCGACAAAATAAGCCACCAAACAATTTTTCTATCTGCTCACTCACTCATTCACAGAAGTGATACCGATTAAGAGTGAAATGTATGGAGTAGGCATGTACGATCGATCTAGGTGGACCCAAAATAACCGAGTGTGACCACGTGGTCACATGTAGCACTATATGATGGCCATTAGGTCAGCCAATAAAATTCTATGAAAAAAAATTATCCAGGTTAAACTCGGTTTCACGATGGTAAAATAGACTCTTGCGTTCATGACACATGCAATAAATCATGCACATAAGAGATGATTATTATGGAAATTGTATGCGGAGGGTATGCTTACCGATACGTTTCATCCAATGTCGAGAACAAAAGTGCACAAACGTGACCAGTAAAATTGATTCCTCAATGAAATTATGACTAGTGTAGAGGCGAGGGAAGGGGTCACTCATTACATTGCGAGGAGAAAGCCAAAATAACGGCACATTGGTTTTGAAGCCGCTCGTAATTTTCGACTCGGCGTGTCATCCCAGAAGTTAAAAACAAAAAATCAGCATCACTTTGTAAATGTCACTGCCTTAAAACGAAAAATAAAGAATAAGTGACGTTTTGGGCAATGGCCCTTTTTCATCAGTGCAAGATATGCTGCGAGATAGAGGGGAGAATATTTTTGACCTGGAGAAAAACATTTCTTCTAATTTTCAAGCGCCCAGTCACTTGTGTTGTTCTTAACGTGGCCCATGAGGTGTGTTGTTAATGTGGCTCATCAAATGTATTTAAAAATCCTGGTTGGCCCTAAGTAAAGCAAGGTTTCCGCTCTCTCCTGGCTTACACGAGCAGCCCCTTCAGCTGCAGGACAGGCGGTTGCGCGTACGCGTGTGCGCACTGCAGGGAGACAACCGGCAACCGGGGGTGGCGACGACGATGCTGACCGACGCTTACCTTCAGCTGACCCTTCAGCTTGGGCACCTCTTCCGCGCTCTCCTGCAGCTCCTCATTCTGCGTGCTCAGCTTCACGAGCTCCTCCGTCATTAGCATGCGCGTGCGCTCCAGCTTGCCGATCTCCGTCTGGCAGCACGACACGCACACTTCGTCTCTCAACGAGGTGGCGGGGGTGGGTACAGTGCTGCGGCAGCCACAATACCTTTGCTGATCTCGCGCAAGTAGCATAAACCATCACGCGAACTCCGGTCATCCTCGCGACGGATTTTCGATAGCCATCAAACAAAGACGGACACCGCATCGTGCGCTTTCATATACGCGCTTCTGCGGCCATCTCGAAAGCTCTTCCTTCCGTCATTAGGAAGCCACTAGAGGCTATGCACTATCAAATATAGACTGAAAACTCACTTCTCTAGAACTTCTTTTTGTGTTTTAGTTTGGTGTCCAACCCCGCACCTCCAATTATCATGGTTGGCTACGTACGGTGTGAAAGATGTTCAACATATTGTTGGTTCTTTTGGTAAAGTCATGTAGAAGGGAAATAATAAAAATATTAAACAGCAAGAACATTTTCTTGCTGTGGATTTCACACCTGATGATGATTGCTTGTGTTGCAGTCGAAACGTCGTGAGAATTTTTACTGTTTTATATCTTTAAAATGTTATTATTTCCCCTCTACGTGACTTTACCGAAAGAACCAAGAATATGAATCCCTGCAGTCACGAAAGCTTTAAATAAAAATGTTCAACGTAGATACATATAATGCAGTGCGGCGGGCGCTCTTACAAAGTACGTTCGTCGATGGTCATGATATCAGCATGCAATCTGCGCGTGTATCTTGGCGAACGTGCAACTGATTGGGTTGTTTCCCAGCCGATGGTCTGGCCAGGGCACAAGCCTTTACCTGGAGCTGTGCGATCTCCCCTTCGCGCTGCTTGAGTTGCGACTGCAGGCTCTCGATGACGCTGGAGCCAGCGTTCAGTCGCAGAGCTTCGTACACGTTTCCAGGACCCATCAGCGCCTGCTCGATCGATTCCTCCTGCGTTGACAGAGGCAGGTCCGCATGTACGCATCGTTACGTGTGAATACAGCGGGACCAATGATTGAATTAGTCAGATGTATACAGATATATGCCACGGTGCACAATGTTTATGCTGTGTCTGGCAATGTACCTATTTAATCCATAATAAAGGTTTTTTGGGTTAGAGCACGTCCATATAAATGTGTCGTTAAACCCGCCACCACCCGACACAGCCAATTAATAAGGTTTGTCACGTAAACAGAACATGCCAATTCGTCACTAGTACAACACACCGGTGTGTTGGAGAGCAAATCCACAACATTTACAATCATGTTGGGTGGTGACAGGTGAAATTTACGCGATCTAACCCAAAAAAAACCTTTATTATGGATATTGGTCGCGAAAGCCTACAGTGTTAAACTACTTATTTAATGTTTGCACATAGACACCAGAGTATATTTCTATCTGTTAGTTTTTAACAATCACACTGCTGGTTCAAGGCCTCCCCCAATGCCTTCCACTCTTCAAGATTACTTTCCTCCTCCACCTATGGAGGCCGGCACGATACACAAGGGGGTGGGTAGCCAGCACCACACCTGACTGCCATTGTCTCCCCAGTGGCAATGATATTATACACCGCACCAGGTACTCTATTGAGGCCGAGTCGACCTAGGGGAAGCCCAGGAACGATTCAGATTGTCACCGGTGTTGGCTGCGAGCGGGAATCAAACTCGTGACGCCATGTTCGTAGCGCAGTGGCACTAACCACTACACTACCGCTCCCCACGATTTTAAATTGAAATATTTTAATTCACAAACACACTTGTGTGAGTCTTTGGCAAGTGCCAAACGAACCTGCGTTACAGCACTGGCCGACGTTCCACTGACACTCTCGTTGAGGCCGACTGAGCTGGAGCTTGAGTGACTTAACACAACCGAAATCCCTTCAAGAGACTGTGCCCGGGACCCTTTTCGTTCCTGCACTCGTGACACACAATAGCAGACACGTGGGTCAAATCAGACTCATAACAGTGATTGCAAACGTTGAAAAAAAAATGCAAACTAAAACACAAGTTCCTATTTTGTAGACATGTACCAAAACTGCGTGTGTCCTGGAATGCCGACCGTGAGTTTTGAAGCTTCCGTTAATGAAGAAAAAATAATTCAAGGTCACGTTGACTTTTAGGAGCACTTCCATGGCACCCTCTAGTGTGATGTCCCAAGGGCATGACAACGTAGATGACTTCATTTAATAGGAGGCATTCCATCGACAATTAAATGCATCTATCATGGCGAGAAACACGATCAATAGAGGTCAGTTTCTGGTGGCAGACTTCAGAATCATGCTGGCTGTGCTCATTGCTTGGCCCAGTCAGGTACAATGGCAGAGGTGAAATCACACTCCTTATTTCTTTATTTCTAAGAGCAGATTTAAAAACCTGGATCGATGATGATTTGGCAACAAAAGAATAGAACATCTCCCTGTGCTTAAAGTTGCGTCTTCTACTAGGCGATGTCTGCACACAGGAGGATAATGCTTTGAAGAGTGGTCACAGCCACTGGGTTTCCATGAAGGATAATAGTTACAGCACTGCTAAGTCACTGTCATTTGTTCATCGGCATGACATCACTAGAGTGCACACTTAGGTAGCACATCTGACCATTATTAGATAGTCTGTATTATTTTTATCAGTTATGAAAGTAACTTCTTTCAAACAACCTGGAACACAGCCTAGGTACAATTCTACAATCACATCTCTGATTAGCATGGTTGGCTACGTACGGTGTGAAAGAGGTTCAACATACACACATACAAGACATTTGTTTTCTCCCTTGTGCCTTCCTTCCATATTGCCAGGCAGCATGGTGGTTTGAGACGCACCTTCTCCTTGAGGGCTTCCTGAGCGATCAGCGCCCTCTTCTTTTCCGCGTCCACCTTCGCTCGCTCCACCTCCAGCTGGCTCAGCAACAGCGTCTGTGGGTTCAGCGATTGAGCATTCAAGGTCCTCTGTTTAATAACAGTACACTTCACTATACACTAGACTATACACTACACTATACACTACACTACTATACACTACACTACTATATACTCACAGAGACCCACAGACTACTCACACAGTAGAGACCTGTAGACTACTCACCCAGTAGAGACCCGTAGACTACTCACACAGTAGAGACCCACAGACTACTCACACACACAGACCCACAGACTACTCACACAGTAGAGACCCACAGACTACTCACACAGTAGAGACCCATAGACTACTCACACAGCAGAGACCCACAGACTACTCACACACAGAGACCCACAGACTACTCACACAGTAGAGACCCACAGACTACTCACACAGCAGAGATCCACAGACTACTCACACAGTAGAGACCCACAGACTACTCACACACAGAGACCCACAGACTACTCACACAGTAGAGACCCACAGACTACTCACACAGCAGAGATCCACAGACTACTCACACAGTAGAGACCCACAGACTACTCACACACAGAGACCCACAGACTACTCACACAGTAGAGACCCACAGACTACTCACACAGTAGAGACCCACAGACTACTCACACAGTAGAGACCCATAGACTACTCACACACAGAGACCCACAGACTACTCACACACAGAGACCCACAGACTACTCACACAGTAGAGACCCACAGACTACTCACAGCACTGCACGGTATTCAAAAACGCCTGCCGTGAACACGTGCGTAAATGTGCAAGGATCTGTGTTCATTTTAGCATGACAATGGAGCCCAATTCGTAACAGAGAAAAGATTATGGAGCCATCAGCAATTTTGGCATTCTATGTGATGCACACACGTGTTGTACCTTATCTTTTCTGGCTTCCTCCAAGGTCTTCAGGTGCTCTTCCCGCAGCGTCTCAAGTTCCACCAAGCTTCTGCAATAGCAATACAGAAGAGACCAGCATTTCTTGCCGCTTCACTTTTCACTTTATACAAAGGTACTTAGCCACACACGGTGCTCATGCCACTGCCGGAGTAGAGCTTCTCTCATTCGGTGTTGTCTTCTACGGTGGGCAGCAGATGAGTAAGTAGATAATCACCCACACATTACCTTGCTGCAAACAATGTGTCGAGGGACAGCTCACTTGTGAATTCCGCTTACTTATCTGTGACTTGTGACAAATATCTTTTAACAAGTTTTACTATTTAACATGTTTTTATTTTTCCACTATTTTATGCCAACTGTGCATTATTTCACCATCTGAAGTATCCATTCAGATCTCTTGAAAAACCCATTTTACTCACAGCTGGCTTGCTTTGATTTAAACCCAGGATTTCAGCAGAGCCAACAGCTAAGCTTTGACCTCCGAGCCAGCCGGGCCACCTCTTGGGACACAAATATATTTCACTTGCATGGATGCAAGCATGGGCTGTGTGTGGGGGGCCTCCGGAGTTCCGGCTGCACCTTGACTGCTGCTCCTGCAACTCATGCTGCCGCTGCTTCTCCATGTCCAGCTGCCCGTGCAGGCGGCCGCGCTCCTGCCGGAGGATGGCGCTCTGCGACTCCAGCGCCGACAGCTGTGCGCTCTGCTGCATGAGCGACTCCTGGGCTGCGCGCTCACGCTGCACGGCCGTCGCCTGCTGCATCTGAGACTCGGCTGCGCCCAGACACACGCACAGCGCATGCGCAGGAGAAGGTGGCGTTCTAGATTCAATGAATAATGACAGCAGACTCGTGTCTGAGATCAGCAGACATGTTCAAAAGCCAAGTTCAAAAGTCCTGCCCAAAGAGCAATGACGTCATGCTATGCCATGACATCGTGCTACAATGCAATGACGCAATCCCCACACCATGTGACTCCCCAACAGGCGGCACCCCGCGATGAGGGTGGAGGTGAGCATAGATCGCGCGGCGTGTATGATGACCTCATCTCAAATGTGATTTCAGGAAGTGCCGCACGTTGTTCTATAAGTCCAATGTTTCACCCCACGTGCTGGGAGAAGTTCCCAAAGAACTGAAACTTCCAGCACGTAGAGTAAAAAACGCTGGACAGCATGCCAATGCACAGTACAACACAGAAAACACATTGCAAAGCTACACAGCACAATCAACCTATGCAGTGTTAAACAAACTTCTATTAATCTGTCCCAGAATGTCAACACCAACCCAGAGTTGGTTTAATTAAATCAATTGAGTCAATTTGCTTGAACAGCTGGGGTCAGTTGAGTTAATCAACAATGTGCAATGTGTTTGGCCTCATCTCAAGTCTCACTGACAGGAGCAGGAGAGTCATTGGTGAATTTATGGATCCAGGATATGTGAGAGTAACCTTGAGGTGAGCGAAGGATGTCTATCCTGATCTGAGGATATTAAACAAGTCTGGCAAGCTAACAGGCTGATTAACTAATACATTGCTTATTATATTTTTCATAATTCTCTGCATATTAAGCCAAATCAGGTGCTCCACCACTACCTTTCCAGCCAGGTATATCCACACTAAAATTAAATCTGTTACCTATAAAAAAGCAATCCAATAAAAACGAACAACTCCACTCTGTAGATATGAACCCCAGCTGTGCATTACAGACTGTGTGACAAGCATTTGAAATGAGTGTGAAAGAAAACTTAACATTTAAGCTAAACAATAACGCCAGCACGGGTGGAAGACGCAAGGCACAGGGGGGCGACATGGAGTAATGCACCGGCACTGACAAAACCGACGTGTGGCGTGGTGCCTTGGCAAGAAGCTCACCCAATCGGTCAGACAAGCTTCTCTCGAGCTTCTCCCAGGAGGCCGACTGCGCGCTCAGCGTGCCCTGCAGATTCTCGATCTGCCGCAGAAGCGGGCGCGTGGCGGTCGAGACGCCGTGGCTCAGCTCCTGGTTGCGGCCCTCCGCCTCCTGCAGCCTCTGTGCGCACAAGCAGGTTGACAATAACACACGTTTTTTTTTTTACAAAACAACAAGGGTTTATAAATCGTGCCTGGGGTTTCAAATCATGCGGCAAAGCAAAGCCTTCGATGCAAGCTTGATTGTTCACGTTCAACTCATTGCACACGTGATGGCTGGAATGGTGAAAACGAGTTAATGAAAGTGAGCATTTAAATTATTCAAGTTAGAATTACCTATGATCCAATCACAGTCCGGAATGAGCCTGATATCATCAAATCTCAGAAGCTAAGTAGAATTGAGATAATGGTGCTTGGATTGGTGACCACCATACACAACCAGAATATTCTATTGTTGGACTATACTTCTACAACCCCACGTATATGCTCTCTGCCTTCAGAACCTCCACTGGCCACTATGGTGAAGAATGTTCAAATTATCCCCATAACCTGCATGGCGTGGACAGGCCTTCACATAGAAAAGCCTTCAAGGCTTTGATTTGTAAAAAAGCCCCAATTGTTTAAACAACCCACCAGATGTGGTGGTTAAGGCCTATAATTATCCACCACTTTGGAGGCGAGGATTGGTGGTGTACATACATTTATTAAACTTAATTCTAGATTTGAAGCTTTCGTGACTGCAAGGATTCATATTCTTAGGTTTTTTCGGTAAAGTCACGTAGGTAAAACATCAAAATTAATAAAAATAAAATAAAGATCACGACGTTTCGGAGGCAACACAAGTCTCCGTCATCAGGTGGGACCGTCACAGCCAGATTAGCTGCATGCATCTCGCTGAGCTCCTGTCTGCATGCAGCTAATCTGGCTGTGACAGTCCCACCTGATGACGGAGACTTGTGTTGCCTCCGAAACGTCGTGATCTTTATTTTATTTTTATTAATTTTGATGTTTTACCTACGTGACTTTACCGAAAAAACCTAAGAATATTTATTAAACTTCTAAAAGCACGAGGCTGGACATGGCCAGGAGATGTCAACAGGGCAACAACAGTGGGTCAATGACCTATTCATGCAGAACTTTATAGTGCCTTCAGAAAATCCATGGGAGTTGAACAAACATTCCAAAAGAGACTCAGTGAGGCTCATGAGATACATGAATTATTATTCATAATATTCGTAAAAAATACCTATGACCCTTTCTTTTAATTAGGGGCTGCAAATCGAACTGAGACTCATTCATTTTCTACGTAACTTTGCTTACGTTTGTATAGAACTCATGCTGCATTAATGGCTTATGGCCATTTATACAAACCCAAGCATGAACTTGACTTTTGATGGCCTTAACAAATTGCACGAGAGCAGCTGACCCACTAAGATGAACAATGAAGAGTACACAGCTAGTGTCTAGCAATGAGAAAGCCGAGGCAAACATTGATACCCAAGTGATCCTGCGGCAAGCGTGGATCATTCCCTTGCAACTCCCCAGTCTTGTTCGAACAACACGGCCCTTTGTGCAGAAGCCTCGGCTTTGGGAAAAAAAACCATGTCAACACTTGCGCAGATCCATTTCGCATTCGGCTTTGCACATTTATTCGTCACTTAATTTAACGAGCAAAAAGTGCTTTTTGCTGCCAACTGCTTTCCAAGTTCTGCCCGACCGGTTTTCTTCCCCTTCCTCAGGTAAGTGCTCACCTGTTGCATCTCGCTGAGCTCCTGTCTGAAGTAGTCTTCTTTTCTCGCCTGCTGTTGTTCTGCTCTCTGCAGGGCCAATCTCAAGTCCGTCACCTGCACATGACACGGGAACCACAGGCGTTGCATTAAAACCGGTAACCAGTGGAGTTCAGTGAAAGTGCACCGAGGATTACGATCGCGGCACACCTATGCTGATCAAGATATGCTGGTCAAGACTAATTTGTTAAAGGACAAAAGGCATGTCTTGTCATGTAAATATGTATCTCCCAGAAGCGTAATAACTATGCCCCACCCACGGCAAATCAATTGATATGTCGTGATTCAGTGATTCAGGGTCCAATTAGATTCAAGATCCGATTCTTTTATACTACTGCGGTGAATGTAGCAATCACTAGTGGCCGCTTGTGAACCCCTTACATACATTGCATATTAAAGGATCACTCGGGGAAACACGATTCGTAGAAATGCAATTCTATCCATGCATCATGAGCTTAAAGATCGATATTATATGAGAAAATCAGTTAACTGTGTTGCCATAATGTACTATAATGATGTGATTTCATAGACGGCGAGTGATGTTAGTGACATCACTAGAGAGCTATAAAGGTTGTATTTTGACATTTTCTTATTCAGTAAGCTTCAAACATTTGCTGGGCAGCATATGCCTTTGGTTTGTATATACAAGAGCTACTTAGTGTTTTGGGTGTAATCTTCCTCTGAGCTAAATGTTCTCAATATTAAACATGAATTCTATTCTCAGCATGCAGTTACTGCGAATCAGTCTTCACAAACTAATTTAAGCTCCGGCGTGCGCTCATCTCCACAATGCATGTTATTATTTAATGCATTAATTAGCTGTAGCAATCACAATGTGGCTATGACATCACATGCGTGTATGTTGAACTTCTTTCGCACCGTACGTAGCCGACCATGGGGAAGGACAACAAACTAAACACAAAAATCAGTTCAAGTTTCAAATGAACTTGCATGTCTGGCTTAGTGCCATCTAAATAAAAAAGATCTTGTACTTCATAATAACCACGGCCACGATCACCGCCACGGTGCCCTGATTAGCGCCCTTGCCTGCATGGACAGCGCCTCGTGTTGCTGGATGGCCTCCTCCTGCTGCTGCTCGAGGGCAAGGCGCATCTGCTCGTGCGCCTGCACCTCGCGGCTCAGCACGGCCTCCTGGGCTTCGCTTTCGCGCGACGCATTGGCGCGGTGCAGCTCTGTCAGCTCCCTACGGCGCGGACACAAAAAATAAAGACTCGGACTTGGCCGACGCGACGAAAGATAATGGGGCAGCATGATTTTCGTGAAGGATCGTCGAATCGTATTGTGCTCCGCGCACGCTTAGTGCCAACGCATGGTGCCTCTGCACAATGTACTCGCGCACGTGTACGTTCACGGCCTTTGTGACAAACCACCGCTTGTGAAGGACCTCTCCACGTCGTGTGGGTCATTGGAGGTTATTTGACTTAATGTCCCCACGGTGACCAGCGTGGTGGACAATAATACAGCACAACAGTCCATTTTTCTGCACTCTCGTCTGCTGACATAGCCCTGTTCTCATGTTGATATTGATATACAAATGCATATCAAAAATACGTCCCACATTCTTCATTCAAAAGATAAAACCCCAATTTGAATCAAACCTTGTAGTCTCAAGTTGTGTTGGTGAGTTTTCCTATTGAAACCCGGTCAAATTTATTACACAAACAAGATCCAAAAAGACAATGGTCATCTCATCAACAATAGTTAATGCACTGCTGGGCGCGGCTTCCACACCGCTGATCAAATAATTCCCAAGACAAACGCACCTCAGAAAGCGATACCATAATCCATTCGCGAGGAATGCTATTCGCCAATCTGTTAACGCGTGCTCATTCTCAGACACGGAGCCGAGCGTAAAAACAATTTAGCGGAGCGAGTGAACCCATTTCGAGGGGCGAGCGAGTCACGTTAGGGCCGTGAGCGAGCCATGTTAGTGCCGCAGGCCGCGTGTCCCCCACTTGTAGGCGTTGTCGTATGCAGCCTGGAGCGTGCGGTTGTTCTCCTGCAGCGCGAGCAGCTCGGCCTGCAGGCGCGCCGTCTCCTTTTCCTGCCGCTCCACCACCGCGTTCAGCTTCCTGATGTTGTCCCTGTGCTGCTTCTCCACCTCCTCCTTGCCGTCCAGCACCTGCGGGCCCCCCACACGGGGGGACAACGCCAACGCGGCGCTCAACACATACGTTGGGTGGCGGCACGACGGCGATCCATTGAGCCGTCGGATACATCGGCCAGAGCCACGCTAAGTTTCATTTTCAGCAATATCAGGTAGATGAATAGGAGTGTTCATTGGTTCATTTGTATAATCGCCGGTAACAAAAATTAAGGCACTTTTTTCTCTGTAGATTTACCACCGTTTCATAATTGCAAAGTGGGTGTTTAAGAATTGGATATTTAAAGGATTGCCCAGTGCCATTTCCCAAATCTGAGGTTTTTTAATTTCAACCCAATTATATGTCTATATAAAACACTGTTCCAATATAATCTGAAGTTTTCCATGCTAAAGAGGTAATGAATGTGGTTAGGATCCTAACTGAATAATGGAAGGTAATTTGACATATACATCGCAAGCTGCAGGTCAACCACAGCAGTAGCCACTTGGCATCATCTTCAACCACAGCTTAGGCCACAGGACAGCTTCAAGGTGCAACCCAAAAAAACTAACGGCGCTCATTTTCAAGATCCCTTCAAGACCTCTAAGTACACACACTGGGGGGACATCACTTTCCCACCTGTCACATGACAAGCCAAATTAAGTTTAAAAAGTCAACGATTTCTTGCTCAAATGAGCAGAGGTGGTGCTCATCTCCTGTTTACAGCCCTGAACCAGTTGTGTAAATTCCACTTTCCTATGGTGGGGGGCCAGTCTTCCCATAGGAGAACCACAACTGACTTCCCCACAAAGTGAGTATTCATATTGTCGACCCCGTAGGGACGATGGGCTGAGTTCAACCCCCCCCCCCCCCATCAGGATTTTAACTCGCCAACTTCTGTCCGTGAGCCGCTCGCTCCTGATCTGAGCCACTCGGCCACCTCCGTGTGCATTACGAGCTGCGTCTGCCTTTACCGCGACCACTACAGGGCCCGCGCGCGTGGCGGCAGCTTGCCTGCTGTAGTTGCTGCAGCTCCCCCTCCAGCTCGCGGGTGCGTCGGCTGTGCTTGGACAGCAGCCCCTCGTTCTCCTTCTCCTTGGCGCGCAGCTTCTTGATGATGGTGGAGGTCTGCAGCTGCTGCTTGGAGAGCTTCTCGCCTGCGAGGAATCAAGCCCGGAGACACCCATGGGTTTTGCGACTCTCGATGCAGTCACCGGTGGTATGCTCGCACTGGAATTGTTTGTATGCGTGTGTAAGGGCAGACCGTTCGTCAATCCACTGCTGCATTAGAGCCTCCCCACACTGTGCGGGTCGTGGGCGTTATTTGACCATACTTCACCACACCAGTTAGTGTGGGTTAGTAAAGGCAGGGAGCATAGATGTCGGGGCATAGTACAGTACAACAATGCATTTTCTGCACTGCCCTCTGCTGACAACTTAGCCGCACAGAATTAATATATGTAGTATTTATATGACTTGTACGTCTTTACGTAGATAATTAAGAGGACAATATGGAGTGACATTTTGTCAACGGTTATGTTTCCCATACAGTTTTACCTACTGCTCACCTTCATCCAGAAGGCCCTTAACCTGCTCGTCCTTCTGTCTCAGTAGCTCTGCCGTTTCGTTGGAGTTCAAGCGTGTGGCCAGATCCTGCTTGACCAGCTTCAGTTCCTACCGCGCACAACAACGCAACGGGGAACGTGATCGTCTGTTATTGGAAATCACAATTTGATTCAATATTTCTTCAAACTATTTGGTGAATGTAGGTCCTCTAGTGGCTACAGCGGGTTAACTCATTGCATACAAATGTGAACATAATACGTGATTTTATGCATGTATGGTGAGAAAAATTATATATTTTTTTATTGACGATTTATAATTGAGAAATTGTTACATGACGGCAAAATTACTGCACCTCTTGTATAGTTGAAGAGCAAAGCTAAGGTAGAGAGAGGGCAGTTCTCCATATTCAGTTTTTAGTCCGAGTAATATAGTCTCCAAAATTTATAGTACATTGAGTAAAATGAATTTTCAGGCTGTAAATATTACCTTCAACTGATAAGTAATTTAATTGTGTGAATGCTAACTTATGGGGAATGCATAACAAACTGCTACTTTGGACTACGTAACCTAAAGCTGAGCGTACTCTTAGGTTTTTTCGGTAAAGTCACGTAGGTAAAAATAAAAAATAAATAATAGAAATAATAATAGAAGTAAAATAATAAATCACGACGTTTCGGAGGCAACACAAGTCTCCGTCATCAGGTGGGACCGTCACAGCTAAATTTACTGTATCAAGTTTATTTTTTACCTACGTGACTTTACCGAAAAAACCTAAGAGTATGAATCCTTGCAGTCACGAAAGCTTCAAATCTAGAATAAAGGCTGCACGACAAGATCTCCGTGAAAAATGGTATACATAAAATTCATATGACGCATAAGTTACATTTATTAATGTGCAAAGTGCCCAGGGCGCAGATTATTCGCTGCGGTGAATAAGTGAACTGCGGGATAATGGTGCGAACGAGCGAGCGAGCGTTCGTTATGGTTGCGGAAGCAACAACCTTCTTGGTGGCGTCTCTCTCCTTGCAGGCCGCCTGAGCCTTCCTCTCGGCGTCAGCGATCCGCTGCGTGAACTCCTCGCGCAGCGACACCACTGTGCTGCTCTCGTCCCGCAGTCGGGTCAGCTCGCTGGGCAACGCAGAGGAGACGCATCGGGCAAAGTCGTTGAGAGTGACTGACATGGCCAGGGCTGTGGTCCAGAAACCAGTGCAATTAAACCAGCAGCGGCTTCGACGATGTTGTCCGTGCCGAGAGGGTTTCACGTGAACTGCGTCGGGGGGTCATCAACGAAGGAATTCACAGCGTGACAGCAACTGGCATGACCAAGAGCACTGATGCGCCGAGGCTGAGATATACAACAACCAATGAAATGAAATCAGCTGTGGTTAGGGAACTAGATGAAACAAAAAAATATATCCACACATGCTTGAGTCATTTAGGACTTGATGCAAACGTCACAGAAACATAAATGAAATTTTTTTTTTTACATTCTATTTTAATGCCTTCATAGGATGGCTTTCAGCTTAAGTGTCCTGAATATACAAGTTCATCCGTTATCTTCACTTTACCCGATTTACAATTATATAATTTTTTTTATAGTCTAAACATATAAAAACATCTATTCATTGGAAGTAAATAAACACCAAACCAATTGAAAATCCCACAAGCCAGTTGTGTAACGCACACCTGTACAGTAACTGCTCCATAAATAAGTAACTGATGCAGCAGTTGCAACACAGTCCTAAACTGAGTGCGCCACGCACGTGTGGAGTGTGGAGACGCGGGTAATAACAAGTCAGCATCGTTTCGCACGACTTTCAATTTGACCTTCAGGATTGCGAGTTTCATTTCTTCCCAATCTTTTTTTGGCTTTCAGAGGTCCGTCCCAAAAATGTTTTTTTTCATCATATCCACCATCCTTATTGAAGGACTCTCTGTATTATGCGAAGGAGTTCTGTGACCCTGTACTCACTCCTGGAGGTTATCCTGCGCCTCTTCCAGCACAGCCCTCTCTTTGCTAACGGTAAGCAGTTGACCCTCCCGCTGCTCCAGCTTCTGCGTCAACTCGTCGATGATCTGCAAACGAAAAGGAAGAACGGCTCTTGCTGGTAAAGATTTAATCGCCGCCTTGTGCTGTTGACCACTCCTATAACATGTCACTGTCAGTGACACGATAAATAGAGTTAAACCAGCTCAATATATTTAACCCAAGCATATGGTGCTGAAGCCTATGGACAACATATGATCACATCCGCACCTCCGATGAGCTTAGCACGGTTGGCTACGTAAGGTGCAAACGATGCTCAACCTGCATATATAAACGGAAATAGGCCCAATCTCATCATTCATCTGAGTAGCTAAGCATAGATAGCACACATGCGTTGCTATAGCCTGCTACAGGTGTACGTGATGAGCAGCAGAGGGCAGTGCAGACAATGTCGTTATATTGTACGTTGATGCTCCGAGCATCAATACTTCCTGCCTTCACCACCGACTGGTGTGGTAAAGCATGGTGTCAAAAAACCCGTCATGATCTGCATCCAGCAGTGAAATGACAAATAACTGTACGTGCACAAAGGATCTTGGGTTTATGTAACTTACATAAGCCTATGTGCCGCCTTATGCCGTCAATGGTAAATATTCAAGTTGTATTGTAGATGTAAGATCTAAGTCTACTCGTCGAATAACGTTCATGGGTCCCCCCAAGTTAGCCAATTGGTCAAGTACAACCTGATGGTAATATGGGGCACATTCCGGGTGAATTGAGCACAGGTAAACACACGGCCAAACTGAAAGGTGAATGTCCAACCTTTTGAAGTTCCATTTTTTCATATCCGAGGGAGAGGTGTTCCAGCCCTCTGGGCGTCCGCTTGTTCTGCGTGACAACCTGCGCCTGCTCCTGAGGCGCCGCCGCCGCCTCCTCCGCCGCGAGGGCAGCTGCAGCGGCATCGTGGGCAGCACCAGCCGCGTCGCAATCCAACCGTACGTCGGACATCACCAAGGCGGCCTCCTCGCCCTCTAGTTTTGGTGCGGTGGGGTCCAGAGTTTCGCCAAGGGCCTGCGTGTCTGAAGCGACCGCCTGCTCCTCATACACCGGCGTGGTACTCCGCTCCATCTCCTCCACACTGTCCACGTCGTGCTGGCTGAAGCCAGACACTTCCAAGGCGTCCTCACTGGACTTGCCTTCAGCCGGCACAACATCCTCGTCAGCAGGCACGCAGCCTTCAAATGGCACACGGTCGCAATCTGCCACGGCGGATTGCTGCTCCTCGTGCTGCGGCGGCTCCTGCTGCTGATGGTCGTAGGAGGCTGGCTGGGTCTGTGCGAAGCGCGATCCTCCGACCTCGTCGTCCGAGTTGACCTCGCTGATGCTGCGGCTGTCCAGCGAGCGCACGCTCACCGAGTCGATCCTCTCGAAGCCGTCGGTGGAGGAGCTGCCACTCTCGTACAAGCGCTGGTCATCGTCACCAGGTGCCGGCAGGAAGGACTGCACCTGAACGAGCGGGGAGAGCGCGGCCTTGTGGTCAGCACGTGAGCTCGCCGAGTTTTCGCTCTTCACGCTCTCATGGTCCAGCACCTCGATGTCACTCGTACTCGACGTTCCGGAAGAAAGCGGCCCTGCCGGAGGTGACGGAGTCTTGCTCTGCCGGTCCTCGCTGCCACCATCCATCAGCGGTGCCTTCACATCCGATGTCTCCTCTGCCGTGGCACCAGTATTGTAGGAGCACTCATCTACAATCTCCGTTGATTCTTCCGCTGCAGCTGCTAGAACCATGCTAATCGACGAGCTGTCCGTGTCTTCTACTTTACCATCCAACTCGTCACTTTGCTGCTGTGTATCATCCTCGTCTTCTTCTTCACCTTGCTCACCGACGCTCATGTCCGTGTCGGGCATCTGCCACGAGCTCTGTAAATCTCCAAAGTTCTTGCTCTCCGAGCCATCCGTGCGTTCATCACTCGGCAGGCCGCTGTCTGCCTCGCCGGGCGATTCTGTGGATGGCTTCCGTTCCAAGGAACTCGCCTGGGATGCAGTGTCCGGTCCTGACACTGGCTGCTGGCTTGGCTCGCTGGCTGCAGACTTGTGCACCTTGCTGCCAAATTTCCTCCCGAGCTGCATCCCTCTCTGCGCCACTTTCGGCTCTTCTGACTTTTTCTCATCAGCGCTGGGCATCCCGTCCTTCTCCTTCACTCTGTTGCCTCCAGGCCTGGGCGAGGACGTGTCCTGCTCTCCCGTGAGAAATGCGCTGAAGAAGCTGTCCGTGTCTTCGTTCAGGGTGCGCGACACGGGCGTGGTGATGGCGGGGGAGAGGTCGTCGGCTTCCTCCGAGTGCGGTGCCGTGCCCCACTCGGAGGAGCTGCCCCATGCCTCGCCCCCGGACCCAATCACGCTCCCCGGACCTGTCCAGAAGAGTGACGGAAAAAAAAAATCACAATCATCATAAATCTCGATTGAAAACTCATTTCTTTAGAACTGTTTTTGTGTTAAGTTTGTTGTTCTCCCCCTGTACCTTCGATTATAGCACGGTTAGCTACGTACGGTGCGAAAGAAGTTCAACAAACATACATACTTATTATTTTGTATGGATTAATAACAGCAGATTAAAAATGTAATTTTAGATTTGTTATCTACTAAATTTTTTGTTCAGAAATAGAGTGGATCTCCTTCAAAGGAGTGAAGACAGGGTGTTGACAATGTGGTCGATGGTTTTGGATTCGTACCCACACTCACAGGCAAACATACATACATACAAAACAGCCCATGCTTTTATACTTAACCATGTTCTATCGGCTTTTGTGCCACTCGATACAGAATGGGAATTATTATGTTTGCAGATGATATTAAGTTTTAACATGAGACTTATAACGATTTAGAACATGTGGATTAACTTGCCCGATGAGTAAAGCCAATCAATCCCCGGGTCATTATGCAAAGAGGGCCCAAATCATAAAACTATTTTTTTTTCATTGTAATTATTATTCTAATGTACATCAGTCACTCAAGTCACAATATAATAAGTATTAATTATAAATATACATATCACTTTGAAACTATTGTGCATTGCAGTTATTAATTTTTAAGTAAATACTTTTGGTGCTTTCATATTAGATAAACTGTGTATCTTTAAATGCATGTCAATGGTGCATAAGATGATTAATCATTTATACATTTGCCTCTACAAAGCATGATGACAATATAAATCAGTGCATTTACTCCATAGAAAGCATGTGGAGTTAATAGATGTTCATCCTGACACCATGAGATTGGAAACGATGCTCGATATTTCTTTGCGATCACTATTATTCACATTTTCGCCATAAGAGCCATTGCATCACGTTGCCAGCAATAGTCAGTGTACCTTTGCACTTGAACAATATTAACTTCAAAAAATGTTATCAACAAAAATTGACAGCACTCTATTTTTCTGTTGTAAGGCAGTGTTCATGAGAAATCTCATGAGTTTGTTTTGCTATTCAATTTTCAGGCATGTAGAGAAGAACTTAAAATGATGCAAGGCTTCTCAGGCTTTAAACTGCACATGCTCATCTTATATTCTTGGTTCTTTCGGTAAAGTCACGTAGAAGGGAAATCATATATTAGTATTATATTATTTCCCTTCTACATGACTTTACCGAAAGAACCAAGAATATAAATCCCTGCAGTCACGAAAGCTTTAAATCAAAATTATGCTCATCTTAGTTATGCTATGGGTGGAGTGCATACTGTCCAGGATTTAAGCCACACCAGAGTTTACTTTGTTACAATTTACGATTTTAACATTATGTTTTTCTCCACTTATTAAGGATCCAGGTTGTGGTTAAATAATAAAGGGTGAAAGTTAAGCTGAGGTGACAAATACTTCCCCTAAAATTATATCCACCCTCTCCCCTCTCTCACTGCTAGCTTAAAGGGAACAGATTCATGGGCATGGCAATACTCTGATCACATTTATTATATTTTCCAGATTATAAGCCTCTCCGGAGATTAAGACATATCTCAAACTTGAGGCCTGGTGTTAATGAAGTTATTCAAATCTGGACCCACATATACACGAACCAGATTATAAGATGAAACTCCTGCTTTAGAAAACATGGGGGGGGGGGGGGGAGTGCATCTTAAAATCTGGAGAATCAGGAAATTACATTACATTAAGAAAATAAAAAGTGTTGCGTTTAGGTTAAACCTGATTGGTCTGAGCCTATTACCTGACCCACTTATTGAACCAATCCCTTAACTAAATGCACTCGACTGACCGATAAACTATGCCAAAAACATCACACTACAAGTCTGCGACCCAGTCTGTAAGTTCAGCTGAGCAATAGGCAACATCTTACATCATCACAGAATTGTAAGTGCTCCACGCGTGCCAATTATAGACACATCCACATTTTTGCAACATATTTATTGAATATTATGTTCATGCCAGCTGGCTTGGTGACATTGTGACGTAACACCTGTCTCGTATTAGGAAACATAATATTTAACATCCAGGTCAGAGCTCAACTTCAATTATCTCTCTGGGATTAATATAGAGAGTACCACTTAATGGGAGGTTAACAGAGGTTGTCTTTACAGCCGAGTGGGTGCCCCCGAGGGCTAACACTGCATCAGCACCACCGAGAAAATGGGTTTGAGTCAGGACCCCGACCCATGATGAAACAGTTCTAGTTTATCGTCTCAGATGGCGTACGCATGACTGTACAAAAACGTATTATCTATCCTTGCTTTTTTCCTACAATTAGGAATCATTTCAGTTCTGAGGAAGAGATATTTCTGGTCTCAATACAGTGCGACAAGCACCTCTGTAGTGGGGCAAGTGAGACGGTGTAACATCTAGTGGGGTAAGAGGTAACAGAAGGGACCTCTTTCAGTGGCTGTTCTCCAACATGCAATGGCAGTCCACTTTCTACAGCAGCTCCTAATGGAAATGTACGCATCTCATGAGAAAATGCCAATCGCTTGATTGTAATGCAGTTAGGAAGTGACGTGGGGAAACACTGGTCCTTATCAAATATGTTAAATGTAGGCGACTGTCTCAGGATCTCTACACGAAAGAGCATGACGTAACGGGTCATGTTTAGGGCAATAGTTGCAGGCATTTGCCAACGGCAACACATTTAGGATGACCAGTGATGGCAACTTAAAGCATTCCCATTCCGATGACGTACATGTACTAAAATAACATAATTTTATCCGTAAGTCTTCAGGTCGGAAGACGTACCGAGGCTCCCACAAGGTCATGCGGGAGGGGGGCGTGTGCCACAGTTTGGCGTCAGCTATCATAGAGTGCGGTCGTACCGCTACGGTTCTCTGCGGTGAGTCCAATGTCTTTAAAAACAACGGCGCTACGCCTCTCTAAATAAATTAAACGCTGAACCGCTTGCGCATTCCAAGATTCCGCGGTGAACAGGACCCACCCTGCAACTTGCAGATGGGTCCAACATCACCCACCTAGCGAGCACGTTCTAATCCTTGGCTGCCACTCTGTCATTAGACCCGACCACCGCACATGTGCGTGTGTCTGCTGTGCTCACCGTCCAGCAGGAGGTTGGGAGCGTTGCCGCCGTCCCACGAAAGTCCGTCCTCCTTGATGTCGAGCACGCGGTCGATGGATTTCTGGGCCGTGGACAGCGCCTGCTTGGCAAAGCTGGACAGGTGTGACGTGTTGAACCAGCTCATGGTTGGCTGCAAGGAGGAGGAGGTCTTGTCTAGATTCCGGGTTGAGGTGCTCTGACGAGACCCAGAACCACAGGGGCTGCCTTTCAGGAACGCGCATGAAATGGAGTAGAGACAAGTAAATATCAAATTGACATGGTTCACAAGCAGTGCTGTGCACGATAGTGTTCATGGCATGCTGCGTAAATAGAGTTGGTGAAGCAGAGGTTGGAATTTAAAAGACAAAATCCAAAAAACAAACAGTTCTTAACTTTCAGACAAATACTGTATATAGGGCTGTGTCCCTGTCTATATGAAGTCAGTTTCATGCTTAGTTCATGAGAAAAGGAATGTAAAATTATGGCCAAGCACATCAATTATGCGGAGCTGCATTGTCAACATAGTGTAGTACGGCAAAATATATTATCGCACTGTACTATGCTTTAATGTCTAGGCTCCTTGATTAGACGAATCTGCACTGACCAGCGTGCTTAAGTATCGTCCAATAACCCCCTCGGCAAAAGGAGAGACCCTTGTTAGAAGTGTATTGGCAAAAAGGCTTTAAATGTGTTCATCAATACGATACGAATTTGCATTTAAGTATTAAAATGTGTAGAAGTGATGTCAGTGACATCACTGGCCATACTTTCAGTCATTAATTTTAATAAACTCATGATAAATAGCCCAGGACACACAGCCACAGTGTGTGCTAAAAGATAAGAGCTAATTTGTTTTCAAGCTGCATCTTCCTGTAAGGAGGTAGTAGTTCCTACCTTTTTATTGCTGCAAGGTCAGCCCCTGCATGCTGCGCCAGTCAGATCGTGCCTACAGGTGCTCACTGATGGGAGGGAAGAGTGGGAGAAAGAGAGCAATTTATTAGGGTCAGATGACGACAACTTCTCAAGGGCTTGGACAGCAAATAAGTCCACGTATGTGCGAGTTCGAGTTGGCCAGGTGATGAATGCTGCCAAACACTGCTCTCGCTATTCCAGGGTGAAAGTGGCTGAAGCTAAGTGACTCCTTCCCCACGGAAGGCACAAGATATGTCATAGTTGTAAGGTGGTGGTGTTAACCGAGGAATGTGGCCCTGGCTCTAAGAGACCTGGCATGACAGTGTCTTTGCTACACATGCTACTTGCTCTTGCATAACCTTACACGTGGTATTTAACATCTTAAATACATAAAGGGATTAATAAGTCAGGTTTTGGGAGTAAATATATTTTACTGCTTGTACGGGTCTTCCATACCTGGCAATTGAAATAGTGTAAAGGACATCCAGGCTAAATTCCAGGGTTTAGAATGGCGCTGTAGATTATGTTCAGTGCAGGAAGTGTAAATGGCGGAGGTTAATATGGTACAGTGATGCAATTTGCATATATTGTAGGTGTTATTCGAGATATCTTAATATCGCTGATGAAGGTGTTATAAAAGGAAGATGCAACCCAATCAACAAAGATGCTTCTTCCACAGAAACTGCACGTGCCTACACTTTGTGTCACCGGCTTGCCACCGAAATTGCTTAGCGCTATTAATGAGAAAAATATATATACACTTAAAAACAACTGACAATCCTGTGAAAATAGAAGAATCTAGGCGAGTCATTGGATTGACACTAGGATTTCTGGGAGCGATATTAGTGATCGCACCAAAATACTCTCATTATTCACTCGTTCCCCACCACGTAGCCCAGAAGCCAGCAACTGTTTTGCTTTATTTTAGCCTATGCCCAATTGATCCGGAATGCCCCTGAACCCTGCGTCCTGTTCTAGAATGTTAAGCAGGCCCGATCCTGAAATGGTGTTTGGATAGACGGCCAATGTGTATAACAAATGTTATGCTTCGGCGCTAAGTAGTGGGCAGAAGAAAAATGCTGTCCTGTACGGCATAACTCCCACGTTCATAATCCAGTCATCACCAACCCACACTGACCGGCGTGACCAAGTATGGGCAATTAACCCCCACATATTCTTGGTTCTTTCGGTAAAGTCACGTAGAAGGGAAATAATAAAATAATACAAATATAAAACAATAAAAATTCTCACGACGTTTCGACTGCAACACAAGCAATCATCATCAGGTGTGAAATCACACCTGATGAAATCACACCTGATGACGATTGCTTGTTTTTATATTTATATTATTTTATTATTTCCCTTCTACGTGACTTTACCGAAAGAACCAAGAATATGAATCCCTGCAGTCACGAAACCTTTAAATCAAAATTTAACCCCCACATCTTTGGGAGAGCCTCATCCAGCAGGGTCACGATGATTCAGAGGCCGCACATGCTTAACCTGTAGTTGCCGTAAAGGTGTAGTTGCTGCTCAAACTAACCCCGAGGGTGCCGGTGCATGTAGCCAGTAGTTGCCGTGCTGCACAAGCTGCGTTTTTTACCTGCACTGGACTTGCACAGTTAAGCCAGAGTTGTTGCATGTCATCTGCATTAGCTACAGTTAAGCTGTACGGTATCTATTATAAAGCACATACAGTTAAGGCTGTCGTAGTCGTTAGTGTTGGTATTCTAATGGGATAATCCGAATGCCTCGTTCCAATTAAGTAATTGACAAGTCGCGCGTGCCACCGTGACTTTTGATTCCTTTTTTCCCCATTAACCAAGGCCTCCAACTCGCAGCGTGTAGCCCAATAACACACAATCAAGGTGAGCACCCACGATGCAAGGCAGAGAACGAGTTGTTTCTTTATTCCGTAGACTTGCCCTGCAATTCGCATCTGCCACGCACACACAAACACCGAGGTACGACCCTCCTCCACACAAGCTGTTCCGGGTCCAGTAAATATACAAACGTTGGGTCAACGTTGGCATTTGGTGGTTGTCGATCCAGGAACTGTTCAGGCTCAGACCATGCGTAGGTTTTCGAGGTCTGACGGCACTGGGCGTATCAACAAGAGTGGATCAACACTGCATCGATTACATCGACACGGGCGAATAATACTGCGCTAGATGCATCAGCGGTGTGAATTACATCAACGGGAGGGGGTTGATCAGGACCGTACCGTGTTAATTGCATCAACGCTGTTTCATTGCATGCAGCATGCGTTGGTGGGTCGCTGCGGTGGCTATGAGATGTTAACTACCTCGCCTGGTATACAGGAGGTCGTGGATTCGAGCCTGATACCTGCTGTATATTTGGAGTTTGCGTGTCTCTCTCATCATCATCACGGTGGCTAGGAGATATTAACTACCTCGCCTGGTACACAGGAGGTCGTGGCTTCGATCCTGATACTGACGCCTGCTGCTGTATATTTGGAGTTTGCGTGTCTCTCTCATCATCATCACGGTGGCTATGAGATGTTGATTTCCTCGCCTGGTATACAGGAGGTCGTGGCTTTGATCCCGACCCTGACGCCTGCTGCTGTATATTTGGAGTTTGCGTGTCTCACTCTCTCCCCGTGGTCGCGTGGATTTGTGTCCGGGTCCTCCGGTATTTCCATCCACATGTAGAATCAACATCACGCGTTTTAGAGAGTATTTAGCTGCTGCTGTAAATTTCCGCATAATAAGCTACCATTTGTGATGTCGCTTCTGAATAAAATAGCTATTACAGTATAGCTCAGTAAGGTCTTAACCTGGTAAAATTATAAAAAAAAGTTAAATCGATAAGTTACTTATCGCACCAACAACCACCACCAAAGGCAAAGATTCCCCGTACAACCTTAACAGACTGTAGGGGCAAGTGCTGTTAGCGAGCACCTATGAAGGCCGGCACGGCACACGAGGGGGTGGGTGACCAGCACCACACCCGACCGCCTTTGTCTCTCTAGCAGCGATGTTTTACTCCACACCGCACCAAGGTACTCATTCGAGGCCGAGTCAACCTAGGAGAAGGGCCCACGGACCGGTTCTGATAATCGCTAATCACTGGTGTCGGTGGCCGTGAGCACGAATCGAACTTGGGGTCTCCGGGTTCGTAGCGTAGCGCGCTACCGCCACCCACAACCACCACCACAACCACCACCACCCACCACCACCCACCACCAACCACAACCACCACTAAAACCACCACCACAACCAACACCAACCACAACCAACACCACAACCAACATCAACCACCAACACAACCACCACCAACACAACCACCGCCAACCACAACAACAACCACCACCCACAACCACCAAGCACAACCACCACAACAACAACCACCACCACCACATCAACCACCAACACAACCACCACCAACACAACCACCACCAACCACATCCACCACCACCCAAACCCAACCACAACCTCCACCATCCACAACCACCACAACCACCACCACCAACCACAACCTCCACCATCCACAACCACCACAACAACAATCACCACCACAACAACAACAACACCACAACCACATCCACCACCAACCACAACAACCACCACCACCACAACAACAACCACCACCACAACCACCACCACCATCCCCGCTCACCGCGAGCTCCTTCCACGACCGCCGCTGCCGTGGTGGCGACCCGAGGCGTCCATGTTTTGCGAGTGGATCAGCGAAGGACGAAGAGTCGCTGGGACGACGGCGGCGGCGGCGGCCTCCTTTCAAAAAGCAATCGGCAACGATCGACCCTTGGGGGCGAGTTCGAATGGGTGGAGTAGTGGTGGACGCCCCGTGGCTCCACGAAAGACTCCGTCCACCCTCACCACCCTCCTACCAAGGCAGCGTGTCCACGTCGCCTCGCTATGCTTGGGCGATGACGTCATTTGTTGATGGTGAATGACGTCACGCGCACTTCGACTGTTTACCCCCCACCACCGCCACCACCTGATACGCCGTGACGTCATTTGTTGATGGTGAATGACGTCACGTGCACTTCGACTGTTTACCCCCACCACCACCTGACACGCCGTGACGTCATTTATTGATGGTGAGTGACGTCACGTGCACTTCGACTGTTTACCCCCCACACCACCACATCCTGATACGCCGTGACGTCATTTGTTAGTTGAGGAGGCGATAGTTGCGTGACGTCATTACGTGGAGAAGACGGGACGATGTAGAAAATTCGTGACGTCATTCCAGCGGCGGTCCGTGACGTCGCTGGTTAACGGTGCTGCACTCGAACCTGTCAACCCCTTATCAGTGCCCCACCTTATTAGAGACCAATTTAGACATTATTGGTCACCACGGGCCCTTATAAACCTCAACGTGCATCCTACAAAGTCCGTTCACAAGGGAAAAACAAACAAATAGACAAATATCGATTTATTTATTTTTGCCCGTAGGTAAAAAAATGAAATTAAAATTAATGAAAAATAAAATAATAAATTTTTATTTAATTTTTTTACCTACGTGACTTTACCGAAAAAACTAAGAGTATGAGTCCTTGCAGTCACGAACGCTTCAAATCTGAGGACCTGCTTAATCACATGCGACAAGAGGGCAAACTTGAAGCAAACAGCACATGTGCCTTTGTTACCGTTGTCCCAACAGCAGCTGATGCTGAAGGCGTTGCAATCCCAATATCTCAGGTTAGCAAATACCGCAATGCAACTCACAGACAGATTTTGTCTGCACTGTGTAGTGAGCTGCCCATGGCTGCTTTCAACAAGCGCCTTGCAGTACTCCAGGAAATTCACGGCCACGAGTCTGTCACAATACAAGCAAACATCAATGCTTCGCAGGGTCCTATAGATAATCTCGCCACCAAGCAATCCTCCAACAATTCAGATAGGTTCCTCGAGTAATCAATCAGGTGTTTCACCGGATTCAAACAGGTCGGTCAAAACTGTCATCACGAGCACAAAGGTGTCGTCAGGAGGGCTGCCATCTATGCACGATGCAAAAATGCCTGAAAACGCGAGGGTGGCCTAAGAGCCTTGAGCAGTCATTGGCTTCATCATGCGACCTTTCCGGTTAATGCAGACATGATTACTGGTAAAAGATTTATGTTTGGTGGTTTAACATCTTAATACCTGCTTTATTGCCAAAGGGTGAAACCTCACATCTAGATTAAATTCTTAGTCATTGGCTTGTCAAAAGCCAAAACGTCCCAGCGGCAATCTGGTTGCATTTCAAATGCTGCCCACGAGGCCAGAAAAAACCAGTTATGCTGCGTTGGTTTGTTGATGAACGTGCTCTGATATGTTTGCTTTAGGATGAGGTTGGACACATTGGTACGTTACTTCATGGTCAGTCGGTTTTTCAAAAGCTCTCCAATTTTCTTTCTTCCTCCTTTATTGTATTTTAATCCTAGTGAAATTTAAATGGGTATAAATATCCAGGTTCTTTTTCTTAATTTGACTTGTAAAACACGTGTTTAGCTCATTTCTCGTGGCATATTTACCAGATTACAAACATTTCTAGAGGTAATTGCTTTTGGTTGATGACTAGCTGTTAGGGTTTCACTTTTTTTCACCAATTCAATGTGCCCCTCGTGATTGAATTATGTTTAAAGCATAGCTCATTCATGTCCTTAAAAAGCAGAGCTTACACCCAAGTCACTCTGCCTGAGGAATCCTCACGCAAGAGATTACATTAACCTTTGGTGCTGAACCCCTTTACACTTTAGTAATATACTGTCAGCACAGACGATAAACCCAGTGACTGAAGTTTGATTTCCGACCACTGATAAAATCTGTGGCGAGTGATATTTGAAATCCGAAGAGGCACACCCCCACCTCCCCTTCAATGCGCAGACACACGTGGTTAAATATGAATGGGGAGCGCTTCATACAAGTGGTTTGCCAAAGGCAAGAAATTATTATACTAGTCAATGCAAACAATACATTGCAACAATATTGACCTCGTGGATGATTGATAAATGATCGTGAAATATAATTTCAGCTTCACCTTCTTAACTAAACACAGTACCTGTCTACAGAATTTGAACACCTTTTAAATGATCTTCAAGGCCTGCCTAAATATATTTATTTCAGAAGGCATTTCATATTTTAACTGGCTCACTTCTTACCTAAAGAACCCCATTGCCATTGGTGTAAAACGCCTTGTGTTTTTATGAAAGGTGTTATATAGGCTGTAATTATTACAGGTTTTTATTTTAGTGCTGTCATGTTACTAAGTGGCACCAACAAAACAAAGCATATTAGTACACATTTATTAAACAGCAGACATGACACACTCATTAAAATGCAGTTTGTAATATTTCACACTATTTTTGAATAATCCGCATGTAACAGCATAAAAAAATGCTGTGCTAGACAACTCATCTTCAAGTAACATCACCGCACACACTGCAATGCACGAAGAAATGTGAACACTGCATACGCCTGCTCAGCCCATGGGCAAAACAAAAGTTACCCAAACAATGTTCAGTCCCCCGCTCACCTGTAAACCTTGCGCGTTCGCAACCATAAACGGTTGCGACATTACGAAATAATGTCACCTTTGCAAGGCATACCCTCCCTCCTGCAAGTCTATTCTGCAGGTACTATACTGCATATTGGAAGCCCCACAGCACTTTTCATACTGAGAAAAACAACTCATGAATGGGAGTGCAGAATAAGAAATGATAAAAGAGCAAATTAAGTGTGCTTGTGTTTCTCTACATAAAGCTCTCATGCCAGCTCCTCAGGAATGCACATTGCACCTCGCTGTACAATCGTTACCAGGCAGACCATGTTTTTATGTTGGAGCAAATATTATCCGTGAAAAAAATGTGAAACTAGCAGCAGCGCTACTCTCCTGAACATGACAAATGCCGAGGGGGGAAGAAAATCGTCATCTTCAAAAGTGAGGGTTATTTTTCAGGTTCAGATCAGAAACGGAAGCTGAACATACCTGGGTTTTAATTTGGATCAGTGTAACAATTAAATGGTGGGTTTGAGGGTAGTGGCAAAAGGGGCTAATGGCAAGTTTTCCTCTGACATACGATGTTCATACCTTCCATCCAGGAGTATGTATTAATAAGTTTGGCACGAGCTGATAGCATTAAATTCCTTTAGCTTAATGACGAGTCAGGGTCATGCAACCAACACAAAATTAAATATTTTCCATCATATTGGTTTCATGATACAACACGTTCATATTTGAGAATTGCATACAAGGGCAACTTTCTTGTGAGAACACATACATATCATATTTGAAAGTCATAAGTGCTCTCTCTCTCTTCAGAGTGCAGGGTTTGGCTGTTATCGTTTTAACAACCCTACAAATTCAATGTGTACAGCCCTGAAAAAATGTTCCCAACAGCCAACAACAATGAATGTAACGACAGTAGTATTTATGCAGCTCAAATTGCTATCTAACCAAATATTAACTGATACCTATTACTTACAGAATGTATTATTAGGCTATAGGCAAAGATAAATATACACCCAATAAGCATACATCATATCATACAGCAATGAACTTAAATGGTGATTGTTGGTTTTTCGCCGTCAATAAGACGGACTAAAACATGAAGAAAATAACTGCATGTGGTCGAGTCTTACAAAATAATGGAACGTTTAGGCGATTGTGACGAGAATGGAGACGCAACAGAGAATGGGTACACAAGCAAGAACTACTGAGAAGTTTGACGAGATGGCATATGTGGGATATCCTAAGTCAGCTGAAGAAAGGACAAATATGATTCTGCAAGGAAGAATGGAAAGTGGGGGCAGATGAAGGAAATGGAAGTGGGACAATGTGAGCAGTTGGTAGAACTCTCCATGACAAATGCTGTAGCTTGTAAAAGCTGGAAAGCATCTGTCATGGGCATTAAGCTTCAGCTGAGGGTAACACGAGATATAAATACCTGCAAGTGATGCTGTATAGCAAAAAAATAGCATGTTCTAATAATGGGAAGCTGTTGCTTAGGTCTTATCTGGTGCCCAACAGAAAGCCTAGTGTTTCCCACACCACAAGGTTTCAGCAATTTTTACAGCCATGACTTAGGAGCAAAATTTAACCCGATTCATATTATTTGTAGACATTTCACTTTAAATCACAAAAAATCTTACATTTGGGAAATTGAGGTAGGAATAAAAAAATGATACTTTTGGATTACATTGAAACAACTCTCAGATGCGAAGGAGCTGTCACAATTGTACGTGCGCTCAGCCGACGGGGAAGGGCACTGATGATAGGGACTTGTGGGTGTTGGTGAATTGGGTGAGAGGCCATCAACTGCTGAAGTGAAGCTTGAAAAGGACAGTCTGAGGTGTGGTGATGTCAGCCACTGCCAACTCCTGCCCATCTGTAAGACCCAGCTCTGCAGGAAACAAAGCCACACTGAGTTAACATTTTTCTTTCACTCCTCAACAAGGGGCAAAATGTTCTTCAAAAGTTGTTTTCATGCTCAAATGAGAATTGGAGCAGCACTTATGTCCATTTACAGGTATAAGCTGGTGATGGTAATGCCACATTCACATGGTGTGGGGACAATCCATAGCATGCGCAACAATGACTTCTCGCAAAGTAGTACTCTTTATCAACCCTCGAGAGATGATAGGCAGAGTTGACCCCCAGGTAGAATTTGAAACGGCAACCTTTAGATTTGAAAGTCATGTCCACAAACCACAGCATCCACTGGCCAGATCTCTCTTACAACTTTAGTCTAAATAGGTGGTTTAATTTATAAAGCGATGCACTGTTTCTTCTATTCCCTCTCTCTTCACTCAACTCTGCAAAAGCATAAATTGGTGAATATGTGGCGTGGAAAAATCTAGGATAGCATCCTTTGCTAAGGGTTCTCAGAGGTTCAAATAAACAACTTTTCTAACCCAAAAAAAACCTCTTATGGATATTGGTCGCGAAAGCTGACGTGTTAAACAAACTACTTTTGATGGTTTGCTTGTTTACGAGCTTGTCAACATAATTAGTTCTGATGCGAGGAGGGGGCAGTGCCAACAATATTTTGCATCAAATTACATGTCACACCTATGGCTCTTTAAACCATCAAATTATGTAAAAATACACTGTTAAATGATCTCTCAACAGAGAATAATAACGCTGGCTCACCTTGGAGGGTTTTTGACAGATTTGGTCGTGTCCTTTCCTCAATAGATGCTATCGTCTATAAGAACAAAAATATATTAATACAATTCAGTCGTTTGGTTGCCAAAAGTTATGGCAGAGTTCTGATTAATGGCAGATTAAATATATTCTAAGGTTACTCATGGATAATGGTTATTTAAAGACTCCTTTTTTTTTTACACATCAACATGTCATCCATAAACGAAGCAAATGATTGCATAAGAAAATCGCTCTAAACAGCAAGAAAATTATACAAATAACAAGTTGAATAAATAATTCACTCACCTGCATGTACAGAGTCTTGTTTTTCCCGTCTACTGTTGCGGTTATCGCTGGTGACTTCATCTGACTGTGGGGAGAAAGGTACATGGTTCCTCCATTTACAATCTGAGTACAATCTAAATGTTGTGGCTTGGCTCACCAACACACCGGTGTGCTGTACTCGTGATGAATTGGCCACGTTCTGTTTACGTGACAAACCTTACTAGTTGGCTGTGTCGGGTGGTGGCGGGTTTAAACGACACATTTATATATTTACGCCATCTAACCCAAAAACTTTTTTTATGGATGATATTGGTTAAAACGGTTGAAAGAATGGGTAGCTCAGGAAATTGGTCTGGCGTCTGTGTACAGCAATGCAGAAACTCACAAAGATGTGCTCTCAGTGAGATGGGTCAGGACCTCCTGGAGGCGAGCGGAGGAGGAGAACTCCAAGTTCTGTGGCACCTGGCTACACGCCGGGCAGTTGTCCTGTTGGGGAAGGTTAACCGGTTACTCCAAACACTGTCGGTAATTTTACTGGTAGAAACCACCTGGTTCCACCAGCCCACAGGGGATTATTGTGTCCGTCCGTCGTGCATCCAAAAATGGGAGGGGTGGGGCTGGGTGGGGAGGGGCTGGTCACCCCGTGGTGCCCTTATAAAACTCAACGTTTAACCTACTCGTGCCGGCTTGTGCCCCGCCCTCACAGTCGGCCATATTTGCGGAATACACCACGCCGCCGTTGACCCTGGCCATTGACCGAGCAACTTACCGTTCCTACCAGCTCCCTCTGCAGGAATGTGTTTGATCATTTTATCTTTGCACCAAAAATGCTCAGGCTGAAATAATCAATTGAGGCATATGTCTCATGATAGATATAATTAACCTTTTTACAGTATAACAGAACGCCATTTTTTTCACACCATGAGTGAGAACTTGGCTTAAGAGTAATTACAGTAAAGATCTGCAATGGGATTTAGACAAGCTGATTTTGTTTAACCAGCTGAGAACTCAAGACACATTTTGAAGAATGACAAAAGCTAAACTAAATAAGTACAGAAATGAAGCTAATTGAAATCAAAACACTATTTTTTGGTTTATTTCAAATGAAAATATTGTATAAACGTAAATCAACGTAATGTAATAAATTCCCTGTCGTGTAAATTGGCTTGGGCAGATAATTATTAGACTGATCACAGTGCAATGACAAAGTAAGTTACAGAAATATTAAGCATGCCGACTATTGTACGAATACGTAATCAGACAAGGATGCTGCCACATGCAGGCGACTATTGTTCATACTCGTGTTCTTCATTGAAGCCAACATAGACCCCTTATTCTCAATTAACACAGAGGACTATGAATTAATAATTGACACAAATAACAGATGAGCCTTCTTCAGCACAGTGACCAGCCAACTCCGACAAGACCTCTCCGATGTACACCGGAGATGGGAGAATGCGAAGTCCCACCCCCCTCTTGTTTCAACAAAGGGTGCTTTTGTTCCAACACACCTTTCTTTCAGCTTCAAATGTGTAGGTGTACAGCCCGTCCACGTCATTGAACACCATGTAGTTGCTCAGCGGTACATAGGAGCTGCAGGAAAGCGTAATGTTAGAAATGCATGTTTATCCATCAGACCATCAGCACCACAATTCAAATGTCTGTAAAAGAAGAACGAAAACGATTTGGTTACCTGGTTGCAATCTTGAACACCTCCGTTGCACAGGCAGCTACAAAAAATGTAATTTTTTAATCAGTAAAAATTTACCTAAGCATACTGTGTTTGTGAGCAGAGATTTTAAACATTCTACGTTAAGAATGCAATGCAGATTACATGCTAGCCAAACACAAGACGATACATTATTCATTGCTTTTATCTTTATCGATGTGCACGTTAAGTGCACAAACTACATCCATGAAACAAAAACTGAAGCGTGCCCTGAAGTAATTCCTTGCTCCAATAACAATCTGATGCAAATGGCTAAAAGACTAAGATGCGGTTTGGATGCATGAGTACCAATGTTGCGCAGTAATAACTGCATCCCTAGAATTAATCACTAAAACCATTTAAGCTGTACGAATGATTATAGAAATTAAGGAAGTATACAGCAGCAACTCACCAGCAATAACTGCATTTGTGGAAGCAACAGCTGGGATAATTCTCTTCACAACCCCTAAGAGTCAAAAAAACAATAATACACTTTATCAGCTATATTCAGAAAACAACACAAAGCGAGGTAAAATTATGCAGAATAACAATTGTGATCTTTTAAAATTAAAAACCTAGGAAGAGCCTTACTTGAAAGATCATTCCATAGCATCACATTTCAGCATTATTAATTGAAGTCTGATCTTTAGATTCACACACGGCAAGTCAGATGCTGTCCTTCCCTGCACCTCTGATGAGCACGGTTGGCTACGTGCGATGCGAAAACACATTCCTGCAGAGGTAGCTGGTAGGAACGTTGGGTTGCTCGGTCAATGGCCAGGGTCAACGGCGGCGTGGTGTATTCCGCAAATATGGCCGACTGTGAGGGCGGGCACAAGCCGGCGTGAGTAGGTTAAACGTTGAGTTTTATAAGGGCACCACAAGGTGACCAGCCCCTCCCCACCCAGCCCCACCCCCCACCCAGTCCCACCCTCCCCACCCAGCCACTCCCCACCCTCCCCTCTCCACCCAGCCCGACCCCTCCCATTTTTGGATGCACGACGGACGGACGGACACAATGATCCCCTGTGGGCTGGTGGAACCAGGTGGTTCCTACCAGTATAAGGACAACAACATAGACAATCCCTTTATATCTACACATACTAGTCGATACCCGCAAGTGAGAGAGCAAGGCTGGCGTACCCTGTGTGAGTCTGTACGTCACCCCGGTGATGTGAAACTGTGCTGCTCTCGCCAGCGAGTTCTGGTAAACCCACTGGATGTGCTCTGGGTCATCTCCGTCCAGGGCCACAGCATCTATATTGGAACACAAAATGATCATGAGCTGAGAGATTAACATGCGTCCACACTGCACCACATGACTGTAAATTGTTGAAATTCGTAAATTATTTAAATTCTTCACAGGTGCATCTGTCCTGTTATTATAGAGCCAGGAAAACCTCATTGAGTCTAAAGACTCTGATTCCAGAGGCTTTTGCATGAGGAAGTTGGGCAAATGATCAATTAGGGAATGTTATGCATGTTGGAGAAAAAATATGCATATGAAGGGGAAACAAAGGTTCACACAAATTGAGTTACAAACCCGTTTGCTAAACACCACTGTGTCTTGGCCACCCTGCAGTGCAGCAGCCTTAAGTCTCATACATGTGTAAGGACAGTACGGGGTCTAGTGGTCCTAAATAATGATGAGAGAGTTCGGGAAAAAGGGGTGTGGCTGAGCCAGAAGGGGAGATAAAAGACAACGCAGAGTGGGGCTCAGGGCTGTCGTGGGGATTTGAAGTTGGACCGTCGTCGCTGGCGTCATCTTGGAGAGAATCGTCCTCACCGTCTGGGAGCGGGTCACCTTATCGTCTTGGAAGACCAGGGGGAGATTATCTATCGTCGCCGGAGCTGCTACTCCATCGGCTCCTATATAGTCAGCCAGCTGTATAGGTGAACGTCGTGTCGCAGCTACATTAAGTCAGCCACTGTACAAAGTCAACTCGCGTCTACACGTTAACATACCATCGAGTCGGGCAGACCGTAATAGAAATAAATAAATACACATACTTCAACAAGACAGTGTCTCCGAGTGCTACATTACACATGCGTCACCACTGCACGCTCTTTCATTGCATGACATGCATTTGGGATGAGTACCAAACAACTCTTGAAAGACTGTCACCTGCGAAGGACTGAAACGAGGGTTTGCTACGACATTCGTACCTCCGAAGGGCTGCTCCTTGGGCCACTGCAGAAGGCGGACATACTCAATGCAATGCTCCGGCAGCCGAGGCATGGAAGCTAAAGTGCAGATGGGGAAGTTGATCTGTGGAGTACAATACACACGTGCAATGAGCATAGTGCAAGCAGCCATCATTACAATTCCTCTCAAGCGTTCTTTTTCTTCACTATTTTAGTGCCACTGAGAGAGAGAGAGATGTCAATACAAACGAATTTATGGAACTGGCAATGTCTACACGAGTGATGGGATAGTGTAAATGGGTTTTTACTGGTAGGAACCTCCTGGTTACACCGGCCCACAGGGGATTATTGTGTCCATCGTGCAGGGAGGGGCTGGGTGGGGAGGGAGGGGCTGGGTGGGGAGGGGAGGGTGGGGAGGGGCTGGGTGGGGAGGGTGGGGCTGGGTGCAGAGGGGCTGGTCACCCCGTGGTGCCCTTATAAAACTCAACGTTTAACCTACTCACGCCAGCTTGTGCCCGCCCTCACAGTCGGGCATATTTGCGGAATACACCACGCTGCCGTTGACCCTGGCCATTGACCGAGCAACCCAACGTTCCTACCAGCTCCCTCCGCAGGAATGTGTTAATAATTAATCTATCGTAAATAAATTGAAATAGGGTGAAGGCCGAAATCTGTACTTCTTAAGATACTCAAATGTCGGTGCATCGCTAAGAATGTCCGTACTATGAACCTGGTTTAGTGAATCATTACCGCTGTGCCATAGAGGGACGGTAATAAGCCGAGTTCCTGCTTGAGATAAAAAGCCTCTCTCTTTGACACAGTGTGCCTTTATTACAATGTGCTTACTCTATTCTCCATGAACTATAACTATATGCCTTCATAATCAACGTTTTTGGGTTTAATGATGACGTCACCCTGCTGCTGCTCTATATAAGAACGGGAGACAGCAGAGCCTCACCATTCTGGCGAATTGCCCGATGATGCTGGTTGCAATTACCAGCGAAACGTCGTACTCAAATTGTAAATGTTGTGGCTTCAACACACCGGTGGGCTAAAGCAGTGAACTATTTATCTTTGTCAACGTGAAACATTTTTACTGATTGGCCGTGTCGGGTGGTGGAGGGTTACGACACATTTATAAATAAACGCGATCTAAACCCAAAAACGTTGATTATGAATAACATTGGTCGCGAAAGCCTACGTGTTAAACTATATGCCTGTTTACAACTATCACTTTACATATAAAACGTCTACCCTCTCTCAAGCTAAATCTGTGATGCTACTAATAGCCACAATGCTATCAATATTCCAGTCTCCACCTCAAACCATATATTTGACTTTATTGCTATATTACCACCAATCTTATCCCTTACCCTACACTGTCACTATTGTTAAGACCAATATTATCTGTTGCCCCTACCAGTAGAATGGCCACTCTCTCTCTCTACCTGTGGGGGGTACAGGTCCAGGGTGCATTCGATACAGGCCGTCATGCCAGGCAGCACCACTCTGGCATTGCCCTTGAAGCCTTCGGTGCCCCCATCAATCATGGGGATGATGGTGCTGGGGTCCAGTACTCCATCCTCAAAGTTCAGCATGGACATCTGCAAGGAGTGGCAAAACCAGCAGAGTCGGCAATTTACAGCTGCCCACACAACATATCATATATATGTAAGACATGGTGAGCTCATGTTTGCATCAGATCAATGCTACTGTAGAAGGAATATTCATCATCAGCCATATGATATACACTCTTGGATGCAAGCTTTTACAATGTTGTCATCACTCTTCCACTATCCCACAAAGACAATCCATCTTCTTGGTTCTTTCGGTAAAGTCACGTAGAAGGGAAATAATAAAATAATAATAAAATAAAGCATAATAAACTACAATTCTACGTGACTTTACCGAAAGAACCAAGAAGATGAATCCCTGCAGTCACGAAAGCTTTAAATCGAAAAAAGACAATCCATTTCACTCCAGCGCATGGTTTACTCATCATTTCATCTCTACAATGGAGATCCTGGTGGGCGCAATTCTTCCCCTGGATACCATTCCATCCCCACTCTCATCCAGTAGGCATGCACACTTTTATGTGATGTATTCTTCCTCAAGTCAACTTATCTTCAGTCACTACGTCTCGGATTTGTATTATTTATCCGATACATGGGTTCCTCTCTCTCTCTGTCAAAAGCAATTAAACAGTGCGTACTACCTGCTATGACATGGTTCAGGAAGAAGTTAACTAATTAAACTAAATGGAAATAAAATCTAAAAAAATGTACAATGAAGCATGGGGAGATTCATGCTTTTATTTAAAATGACAGACAAACGAACGTATAAATTAAAACACAGGTTAAAGATAACTAAAACGAACAAAAACGAGATCAATGGAACTAGCATGTGTGCAGGTATTAGATGGATTACAATACAGGGATTTAGAGGTGGTGGGATTTTGGAGGTCTTCATACGACCGTTGATTGACCACAGTTGATGATGATGATGATCATGACTACTTAGCCCTAAAGTGACCCTGGACGATTTTTTCAAGGTAAAAAAAAACTTACCAGCATCCCATTAATCCACCTTCTTGCAACAATTGAGTCCAGTCCACACACAATGATGTGAAACTCTGCAGATAGAAACAGAACAAATTTATTCATATGAAGACAAATATTACAAGAGAGAAAGTCATAGATATGTAGGCATTTGGTTAAACTTAACCATTGGAAACGATTTTATATCATGTGTGGACATTCAATACGTACGTCTGTAGAATGATTCGTCATACTCTTGAATCTTTTTGAAATGTCTGGGTTACTAATTAAAGAAGAATGAAAAATGCTTTCACAAGTAAAACAAACATCAGTACGACAGTTCTTAAACTCGCTCTATCTCAGTGGTAGCGATTCAGTGCTCTAATATGGCATTAACCCGATTCCACCTTCGGTGCCATAGTTTCAAAATGACTTTGGAAAAACAGTTATTAGTTGTTTGACTACTTTCCACTCTTTGAGAGCTTTTCAAATACCCATACAAGGTTTCCACAACACATTCCTGCAGAGGGAGCTGGTAGGAACGTTGGGTTGCTCGGTCAATGACTAGGGTCAACGGCGGCGTGGTGTATTCCGCAAATATGCCCGACTGTGAGGGCGGGCACAAGCCGGCGTGAGTAGGTTAAACGTTGAGTTTTATGAGGGCACCACGGGGTGACCAGCCCCTCCCCCACCCAGCCCCATCCCTCCCACCCCCCACCCAGCCCCTCCCCACCCAGCCCCTCCCCACCCTCCCCTCCCCACCCAGCTCCTCCCTCCCCACCCAGCCCCTCCCTCCCCACCCAGCCCCTCCCTCCCCACCCAGCCCCTCCCTCTCCACCCAGCAACTCCCTGCACGACAGACACAATAATCCCCTGTGGGCTGGTGTAACCAGGAGGTTCCTACCAGTATAATAGACAGTACAATTATATTTTGCAAGTGTCATTAGGAACCACGCAACATAGAAATTCTCATCGGTTAAAACGCCGCACGTGAGAAAATGAGGGATACGGCATGACATTGCAGCCTGGGACCCTGGTGTTGATGAACTCTGCAGCCACGTTGGCTTTCGGCCTGCCGACGTCCTTGGGCCTGTTGTGGAGCACAGCATATAATAACGTCATTTATTTATCCAACCGAGTTTACAAACTCTTTTTCAGGTAAGTCCTGCTTTGAGATTATATCAACCAATTCCTTCAATGCTTTTCACGCGTGAAGAAACTTTAGGTCTTGGAGAATACCAACTCATTTTTAGGGTGTATACCACTTAAAAAGATCTACACAGGCAGATTAATTAACCCACTTGCAGTACTGATATATCTTGACCGCCTTGGTGCCTAGCAAGTACGGGAGTTTCACAAATCCACATGCTCCACCAAACCTTGCCTCCAAAGTGCTGGATTACAGGCATGCACCAGCACACCTGGCAAATAGGCAAGCAAGAGACATCTACCAAGTCATATTTATGGTTTTTCACACCATCATGGCAACCATGATTTCCCTGGTAGTGACATTTCAGAGAGGCCAATAGGCAAACCTGATACAGGAGGCTGACATGTTCAAGTGTAAAGCTGTCCAACGGCTGCTCTCACAACTCACCGAAACAGAAACTGCCGATTGAGGTTAGAGACATCGATTGTGTCCATGTCAATGACATGAATTTGTCGAAATCCTGACAATGCCTGGAAAGAAAAAGTGATTTTTTTAAAATATGTCCGTACAAGAAATACTCAAGAAGTAACACAAGTTCTACGTGATGATGATTGCTTGTGTTGCAGTCGAAACGTCGTGAGAATTTTTATTGTTTTATATTTATATTATTTTATTATTTCCCTTCTACGTGACTTTACCGAAAGAACCAAGAATATAAGTTCTACAGTTAATGGCAGGGTTAAAAGGTTAAACAACACATTTTACTTGTCTCTCTGTTCCAAAGTTCACACCTACTATGATAACAGTGCAAGTATGAGAACAATGGCAATCAAATCAGAAAACAAATTTTCAGTGGCTTATCCACTCCTGGTTAAAAATGTGGACAACAGCCTTCTCAGAAGAAATTTCTTAATGTAGAACTTTACCAGATCCTTCAGCAGCTCACAGCCCAAGCCACCAGCTCCAAGAACTAATATCTTGCATGACTCCAGGAGAAAGGAGAGAGTCTGTGGATAGCAACGCAAAAGCATAGAACAACAACCTCCACACTCACACAACTGTTAGCAGCAACCCTCGCCTTTAACCACTCAATACAATTGTTAAGTTCGCAAATGAAATGCATAAAGTAATAACGAAAGCTGTAGCAGGATACATAATCGCAAAAGAACAAAATTAATACAAAGCTGGGCACACCTCTGTGCTGGGCTCAAAGTCTGGGTGCGTAAAAGGACCAGGTCGCTCCAGGAACTTAGAGATGTGGTTCCAGCGGCCATCCCAGTCCATCGATTCCACACAGCTGCTGCTCTCTACCGCCATGCTAGAGGACAATCACAAAGCCAGCATCCGTCACCATTCGTGAAATCCCTTCCCTCCCTGCAGACACACAACTGTGGCGCCATTCACCACTGGCTAAATCCGACTAACAAGGGTGACTTTTGGTGTAACAATCATGCACTCATGCAGTAGCACATAATTGCATCATGTAAAAAGCATGAAAGTATAAAATTACTCTATTTCACATCACATACTGTTGTGACAAATGTTTCTAAGTGGGCACCTATTAAAACCAACATGACACACAAATGGATGGTGTGTGGCCTCATTTGCGTCTATCTTGGGGTGGCGAGGTACCAATTTTCACAGATGTCGTTTACTGTGGCCTGGAATTGAATCTGGGATGGATAATAAAATGTTCACAGGGTTTCCATTTAGACGTCTCCAAAATAACGGAACTTATTTGAGTTAATGGGGTGGATGAGTGGCGCAGTGGTTTTCACACTGCGATATGAGCCGGGTGACCTGCGTTTTATTCCAGGCCACAGTGAGCACGAGTGGTGATATCTGAACAGGTCCTGGTCCCCCTTTTACTAGCCTGCACTGGCCAGCATGGTGAAGTATGGTCAAACAACTCCCATGACGGACACAGCAGGTAAGAGGCCTTTATCCAACAAGGCTGTCAACTAAAAACTACGAGCCCAAATTACCATGTTTTTAATACTCTTAGTTCTTTTGGTAAAGTCACGTAGGTAAAAAATGAAATTAAAATTAATAAAAATAAAAATCACGACGTTTCGGAGGCAACACAAGTCTCCGTCATCAGGTGGGACCGTCACAGCCAGATTTGCTGCAAATCTTGCTGCAAATCTTGCTGCAAATCTTGCTGCAAATCTGGCTGTGACGGTCCCACCTGATGACGGAGACTTGTGTTGCCTCCGAAACGTCGTGATTTTTATTTTTTATTAATTTTAATTTAATTTTTTACCTACGTGACTTTACCGAAAGAACTAAGAGTATGAATCTTTGCAGTCACGAAAGCTTCAAATCTACCATGTTTTTTTGTTATTCATACAAGTTGAATAACTTCCCATTGCCAAAACCTAAATGTTTTTCCTTCGTGACCCACTGCCATCAGATTTTTGCAATTAGAGCCATGCATTTTCATGCTTTTTTTTATTAGACCAGTCTCCGAATGAAAGAAAAATCACAGTAGATGAAATATCCTTCGTTAGCATTCATTGTATGCGTTCATATACTTTTCCAAACAATTATATAAAAAAAACATTATTCCAACAAAAAATAATTGCAAATAGAGTATCTGACACACACCTACAAAGATCCTACACGTACTTTTGGGGCAAGTCCTATTAGCGAGCATCTATGAAGGCCAGAACTGCGCACTAAGTGTATATAGTGTGGTCTGCACCATCACACGTGCTGCTGTTTACACACCACACCACCAGATACTAATATAAGGGCTGAATTGCCCCAAAAGAAGGGCCAGGACTGATTCAGATATCACAGATATCAGACATCACACATACAGATATATGGGCAATGTAAACACACATCAGCAAAGATACAGGCACACACAAATATACAACCGACAGACATATCACCGACACACGAGATACAGACACAAAGACACACTATACTGTACATACAAAAACAAGTATTTGCAAGCACAGAGGACTTGTGCAACAGCAAGATCCAGGTTCACAGTGGCAGTGTTTCCCAGTGAATAATGGATGTGCGTCTTCCCAGTGAACCTAGCAGGTCATGGAAAGTGCTTCAACAAACACACACACGGGCAAGATCGAACCAAGAGCACCTTTGGCTGTCAACTAGTGTAGAGTATTAAACTAAAACATCCTTAGCCACCTGATGAAGATGATATATTAAAAGTCTGTAACCAGCAACCACCGCGTGAACTAAAAGAGTTTTTGATGGGAACTGTTACGGGGTTTTTTTGGGGCCGACTTGCAATCAGATGTGCCCTCTTATTAACTTATGGGAGGTGCATGTTGATGGTGAGTGTTGATTAACGTGAATGTCGGATTACAAAGGGACACGGCGGGGGGTGTGGTGGTGGTGGAACTTAATCAAAGTAAAAATAGCAGATAGAGAAAGTGTGCCCGTCAACACTTCGAAATTATAAAACACGACGAACGCGGCGTTTCTTTGGCTCCAACTCACGGCGCGTGACCTGTGACAGGGTGACTGTGACAGGGTGACTGTGACAGGGTGACTGTGACAGGGTGACTGTGACAGGGTGACTGTGACAGACTGTGACAGAGTGACTGTGACAGGGTGACTGTGACAGAGTGACTGTGACAGGGTGAGTGTGACAGGGTGACTGACAGGGTGACTGACAGGGTGACTGTGACAGAGTGACTGTGACAGGGTGACTGTGACAGGGTGACTGTGACAGGGTGAGTGTGACAGGGTGACTGACAGGGTGACTGACAGGGTGACTGTGACAGAGTGACTGTGACAGGGTGACTGTGACAGGGTGACTGTGACAGGGTGACTGTGACAGAGTGACTGTGACAGGGTGACTGTGACAGAGTGACTGTGACAGGGTGACTGTGACAGGGTGACTGTGACAGGGTGACTGAAGGCAATCGCCTTCCGCCGGAAGATCAACAACACCACCACCAACACAACACCAACACAACAACACCACCAACAACAACACCACCACCAACACCACCCACACAAGAACAACACCACCACCAACAACACCACCAACAACACCACCACCACCAACAACACCACCACCACCAACACAACAACACCACCACCAACAACACCACCACCCACAACAACACAACACCACCAACAACAACTCCCACAACAACACCACCACCAACAACAACACCACCACCAACAACTCCCACAACAACACCAACACCACCAACAACACCACCACCACCAACAACAACTCCCACAACACCACCAACAACAACACCACCACCAACAACTCCCACAACAACACAACACCACCACCACCACCCACAACACCAACAACACCACCACCACCACAACGCGCAAACACGGCCACACAACTGCGCTAAGCGGCGGGTGAAAAAAGACGATTTTTTTTTTATTTTTTGTTAAACAATTAAAAAAAAAATGTACGGCCACTGACTTGTGCGGATGCTCCTCTACTCTACTTCTTTTCTTCTCCCTACACACGAAGGCGAGGGGGGGAGGGGATGGGACACAGAGAGAGACAAAGACGGCGAGCTTGGAGCCTCCTAGCTGCTGCTGCTGAGAGACGCGGTCGACGAGTCCCCGGGGCCGCGCTACTCACGGTTCGGCCGCCATGTTCCTCCGCCCTCACGCGGCATTCGGGGGCCGCAGCACCGCGCGGACGGAGACGCCACCGTTAAAATAATCCGGGTGATTGACGTGCACTCGCCCCGCCCATTCGCCCCGCCCATTGGTCCACTCGCCCACTCGCCCCGCCCACTCGCCCACTCGCCCCGCCCACTCACCCCTCCCCCTCGCCCCGCCGCTTGGCCACGCCCCCCTCACCCCACCACCAACCAACTCGCCGACCGGAACTACTTCTGCGTGGGGGCTGACGTCACCGCAAACGAGAGCGGTATCGATGAATATCGAGGGACTATTTTGATTGGGAATGTTTTAAGTGGTTGGTAGCGGGGGGGTGGGGGGTTGTTTTTTTGTAACTCGTTCAATCGTCGAGTTGGCGAAGCGCCGTTGTGGCCGTGCACCGTTTAAAATGTGCAACGCCGCAATTAAATGGTGCCTAATAAACGGGCTCATACCAATATCTGGCATACCAATCAATATCTGGCATACCAATCAATATCTGGCATACCAATCAATATCTGGCATACCAATCAATATCTGGCATACCAATATCTGGCATTTGCTGAATACTACACTGTGCTGCGCTTGGCTCCCACGTGGTTACATAAGAGGCATTTATTGTCATTAAATGGCTTTTGCATTGAAATAGATTTATTTTAAACATGCGTGGATAGTATCGAACACTGTTCGTCCAAAACAAATCAGCGTGCCAATACTAATCATTTCGGTAAAGTCACGTAGAAATAAAATAAATTAAATCATAATATAATACGACGTTTCGATTGCAACACAAGCAACCATCATCAGGTCAATCTAGTTTGATACTAATCATGCTCAATCGTTTCCCCAGGAAATCCTCACTGATTCTCTCAAGTTATTCTTGAAGAGCTGTGCATTGGAACTATTGTCGTCCCATCGATGAGCGAGTAACAACGCAGAGACACACACGGGGCTTACAATCCGCACTGCCATCGACTGGCCACCTCCAGCAATCTAATGCCTATAGGGCCTGTTATTTCCAGGCAGCCCTATGTCAAAGGTCAGTATTTATGTAGTGGGTTCACTTGAGAGACAGTCGGCACAGGGGCCGTCCATAAATGACGTCACGCGATTTTGGACGATTTTTGACCCCCCTCAAATATGACGTCATAAAGCTCTGCCCCTCCCCCCCAAAATAAAACATGCTTCAAATCGCTTTAAACTATTGTCATTGTAGTGCGTATTTAATGTGCCGCTGCACTCTGATGTTGTAGGAGAAAACATTTATTAAAAAGTATATTTAATTAAGTAGAACGTGTTGTCTATATTTATTTAAAGTTGCGCATTTTGATGTGACGTCACATTTCTCACCCCCCCCCCCCCCATAGGTGCGTGACGTCATTTATGGACGGCCCCACACTGCTTGACCCACGATGCTGAGCACGAACACCGAAGACAACACGCAACACGGCGGGTTCCATTCCAGCAAACATCCCCGATGCAGCCCCGGGACCCCCCCTTTTATGCCCCTCGGCGTGGCTCCGCTCCGCCTTTAGACACGCCCCCATCCAGAACCTTCTAGAAGGATCTGGCTCGCCTTCCCAGTGCCCCCTGCCTGGCTCCGCCCTCGGCCACGCCCCCTGATGGATCTCACTAGTCGGTTCTGGACCCTACAACACGTGTCCCCTTCTGTCACCTTTGGCCTACATCCCGTCACGTGCCCCTGCCGGCCAATCGGGCTACGACGTCCTCAATGGCCCCCTACTCTGCCAGCCCCAGAGACATCTTCCATGACATCATATACTCTAGTATAGTAGGTTTTTACCCTTTCAACTGGTACAAAAACTGACACCTTTATACAAGGCATCATGTTTGCAATAACCACAACACAAGCAGTCAAAATGCAAATGCAAACAAAAAGAAACAACTCTGATGATGATAATGATATGCACTGCCCTTGAAGTTGATTGGTCCACACCCGAGACAGCTTTTCTTAGAGCCTAGTCTCCATTGGTGTTGGACCAGATGACGCCAAAAGGCGTACAACTCAAAGACAGCGCACTATCAGAGTATTGAGAGCTCAGGGTAAGCTCTCAGTTTTTGTACCAGTTGAAAGGGTAAAAACCTACTACTATATTTTGCCACTGGCAAAGGAGATGTTTCATAGTATCATATACTCTGCTGGCAGAGAGGGCTACTGTACCCACTATCCCCCCTCTCTGTTGGTAGATGGCGCTAGGCGCCTTAGTGACCCATTATATGTCACTACACTTATAAGCTGGCTCAAACCTGCTTAGCTTCTAAGAGCGGGCAGAATAGGATGCGTGCTAAACTACAGAGATTAAGACAGAAAATGCAGTTCATTTTAACTTTTAACCAAGAAAGCAAATTCACATAATTTCATAAGTCCTGGGACAATATGTCCAATTCATATGTTCAACTGCAGTATATTTCTTTGAGTACTGGTGTACAGAATATCCAGTATATATACTGCATGAGAGGACATGTAATTGTTTTTAAAGCTTATAATGAGCTTATATACTGCTTGGATGAGCGACCACCAATGCTTACAACAGGTTGAGATAGCTGCTGTTACTAAGGGGCTACATTGCATGCTTTAGTTGACATTTAGCATTATGGTTTGCCAAGTTATGCATTGATACATAGGTTGCTTATATTAAGTATTTAAATGCGTGCATAAATCCATATTATGTATTCAACATGTATGCAAAATGAATGACAAAAAGGTTATGACATTTATTTTTTATTTTCACCTTTGACTTTGCAACACAATTTTTGCAAATAAATACCCATTTCTATACCAAGAAATCCCCCCAAAAATTATCTAATAAATGTAGGTCCATTTTTTCTAGATTTTATTCATACGTATAACGTCATTAATATAGAAAGCAGACATTCTGACAAACACATTTACCCTTCAATTATCTTGAAAACAATGACATCCATATAAAACAACTGCAATTTCAGTACACCATAACTACCTACATTTTAATATTGTACACCATTTGCTCTGTCTTCCAGTACAAAATCGATTTAAACGCTTATGCTATACTTTAAAGTAATGTTTTATGAAATTATCAGAATCCACACACATCACACCAACGTTATAAAGTCATATATGCTGATAATTATCTATTTAGTGACCGTTTCATTGAACGGAGAGTTTAGTTTTACAGCACAAGGCACACGTCGCGAACTGGGAAATGTACTACGGTAGTGCAAAGTGACATCGATGCATCCCAGAAGCGTGTAAATTTGCAATGATAAACTTTAATTACAACTTTGCAAGACCGCCGAAATAAAAAAGAGTAAAGTACAGTACCAATTAAAGAAAATAACACGTAAAAGAAATCTGTGTGGCAAAGAGAAGGTTGGTATCATTTCCCGCAAATAAATACGAGTCAAATGTTGTCTCTGACACTGCGTCCCAAAATGATTATCAACAACCACGAACATTTCTTCCCACCCCAAACCCCCACCCGCCCCCCCCAATCAATAACCACAACGGCAGCAGCAGGGGCAGGAAACCTCCAAAGTCGAATCGTTCAGAGACTCACAGTATCTTAAAAGTTTGGGAAACACCGCTGTCCATCCAACAATCGCTGCAATGACTCCCCGGGTGCAGGCGGACCGCGACGGTATCACACGAGGCATTGTGGGTGTGCGAGCGGGCCTTCACTTCCGCCGGTGTCGTGCGGGACATCGCCCCGGGTCGCTTGAACGGGTGCCGTCATGTCAGCTTGCGTGGGATGCATCCCACGAGCTCCACCATCTCTGGCCAGCCGTCGTACTTGTTGGTCTCCTTTTTGTTTTCCAGCCGCTGAACAGGTGAGAGAGGTGGGAGAGGTGGGGCGGAAGGAGGCGCAGTTAGCCAGATTTTCAGACTTTTGGCGTCATCTGGTCCAACACCAATGGAGACTAGGCTCTAAGAAAAGCTGTCTCTGGTGTGGACCAATCAACTTCAAGGGCAGTGCATATCATTATCATTATCAGAGTTGTTTCTTTTTTTTGCATTTTGACTGCTTGTGTTGTGGTTATTGCAAACATGATGCCTTGTATAAAGGTGTCAGTTTTTGTACCAGTTGAAAGGGTAAACAACTATTACTATTTTCAGACTGATCAATTACTCGGACGCTCTGTTCAGAGGAAACTGAGAACCAATTGAGATGCAATACTCTGATTACATTCCTTCACTGGCAGTGGTCAACAGACTCCTGGGTTCAATATTATTTCTTTGCCTTTCTCCAAATTGTATCCCAATTAAATCTTGACTTAAAGCTTTCGTAACTGCAGGAATTCATATTCTTTTGATCTTTGGGTAAAATCACGTAGGTCGTCATCAGGAAAAAACTTTTCCTGATGACAACCGCTTGTGTTGCGATGGAAACATCGTAGTTTTTTTGTTATTTTCTTTGAACCTATTTACGTGACTTTACTGAAAGCCCCAAAGAATATGTATCCCAAATGTGCTAAGGGCGTTAAGCAGAGGTGGGACAAAGTCATTGTTATGCAAGTCCAAGTCGAGTCTCAAGTCATCAAATTCATGACTCGAGTCTGACTCGAGTCCAAGTCACATGACTCGAGTCCACACCTCAGAGGTGGGACAAAGTCATTGTTATGCAAGTCCAAGTCGAGTCTCAAGTCATCAAATTCATGACTCGAGTCTGACTCGAGTCCAAGTCACATGACTCGAGTCCACACCTCTGGCGTTAAGCCACGCGAATTCATTCACATGAATTAGAGAAAGGCCCGGGGAAGCAGGTGTCACACAGACACCTATGAAATCCCGTAAAGTGACCTCTGGTTCACCTTCCTGCCAACTCTGAATGCTTAAGTTTAAAAAGTATCCAAATATGACTTTTGTACCTCATTTCAATATAATATATTTGTTTGAGATTTTAACTGCACTCCAGCAATAGCAAGTGCACACTTTTGTGTGGCTGAGAACTGCAACTTCATGGTACCAAAATATCACAATGAGTTTTATTGTTTTTTATTGTTTTATATTAATATTATTTTATTATTTCCCTTCTACGTGACTTTACTGAAAGAACCAAGAATATGAGTTTTTATGCGTTTCAACTAAGGCCAAGAGTCTTCATGCGCGATCTCTGTCCGTCATGCAGGGGGACAATACAATTGTAAAGAATATCTAACATTGGAGGTTAATCTTCTTGGTTCTTTTGGTAAAGTCACGTAGAAGGGAAATAATAAAATAAATAGCTCTGCCTTCACCTGAAGACGGCTGCTTGTGTTGTGGCCGAAACGTCGTCAGAATTTAATTTTATTATGTTTATTTATTTATTATTTTATTATTTCCCTTCTACGTGACTTTACCGAAAGAACCAAGAAGATGAATCCCTGCAGTCACGAAAGCTTTAAATCGAAAAATTGGAGGTTTAGTAAAAAGTAAATGAAACTATTTATTTATTTTACCAAGTAAGGCCCACTGAGCAATGAAGCTCTTTTTCAGAAGCGACCAGGCCACAAATGACAGCTCAACGAAGTGGCTTATCGCGTGAACATTTATAGCAGCCAAATACTCAAAAGTTGCGTTGCTATTCGAGGCTTTCCCAATGGAAACTGGCCACATTGATCAAAGGGTTACCCTAAACTTTGGAGATGAAAACAATAGCGCTACAAGGATTGTTCTTGCGTGGTGGAGACGTACCTCCCCTCCCCATACGTCCGCGAACAAACACACGTTGCAATTTAAAAACGTTACAGAATCCATATGCGTGATTTTTTTTCTCATGGTACCGCTTCGAAGGGGCTCTTTCCTTCGATGCCCAAGGCGCCAACAAAGACCCAGCTCTCTCGGAAGGCCAGCGAGTTGACGATTGAGCTGCCCAGCTTGACAAAGAGTGCCTTGGCCTCATCATTTAGCCTGTGTGGGGATACATATATTAGTATGGCGATGACGGTGATGGTGGGTGGGTTTGGAAATAGATGGGAACAATACATTTAATAGCACAGGCGAGGGGCAAAAGGGAATTACAATGTATGTATGTTTAACTTTTTTGCGCACCGTACGTAGTCAACCGTGCTAATCGGAGGTGGGGGGGGGGGGAAGGACAACACAAACTAAACACAAAAAGCAGTTCTAAAGAAATTAGTTTTAAATCTAGATTTAAAATTGCATAGTCAAGCGGAATTCTAATATCGGAAGACAGAGCATTCCAGACGGCCGCAGATGTGCATCTGAAAGCGCAACAACAATGGCCAGCCAAAAGCTGCTGTGAGGATAAGCAGAGTTGGCGTGAAGACAGTGTACAAATGCAGCAGTTGTGGTGCAGCAGTGAAGCATGCAATTACACCATTAATAAATAGACAGTATGTATGAATCGTTTACCTGAAGAAGGATAATTTTTAGTTCACTCATAAATATTACTCATTTAATACTACGCTCAATATGAAGTAAATTATGTATGCATGTTGAACTTCTTTCGCTCCGTACATAGCCAACCGTGCTAATCTGAGGTGCGGGAAATTGATTATTCTGAAATTAAAGTGATGATTCTGGAGATAGAGTGTTTACTGCACCGCGCTAAGAACTTCCCAACCCAAGTTCGATTCCCAGCCACAGGAATCAAAGTCAACTCTCAATTATGAGGGGTAAATGTAAGGAGGGGAGTGGAGACGTGGACAATAGAAAACAATGATGGAAAATGAGAAGCATACACCGATTAAGATGTAAAACAACGTCATTCATGGTTGCCTACATGTAATGGGGACGAAGACAGAACATGTGTTTTTTTGCCTTTTAAAGTGATCAGTTTAATTGTGGATGTGTTCAGTCACGTGTGTACTTAGTCACTGACCCGAGATGGGTGAGCAGCAACTAATAATTAAACCAGCGTACCCATAAAATAAACTTTTATTTATTCTCAGGCAGGGTTACATCGCAACCCTGATAATCTGCCCACGGACGATCAAGAGTTAACTGTAAATATCACTTGATATGCTAGGCATGTAATGACGCATTCAATTGTCGATTAAAATACACTGTTACGATCGATATATACGTGTACAAAAAAATGTGCATGCGAGAATTGATTATGACTTTTACAAAGAGACCATATATAATGGGATAACGTTTTTTTGCAAGTGGCCCTTCTTCCGAGCACGTAAATGATATGCGCTATGAATTAGGATTATTATCAGAATATGCATTTATACTGCAGTGGGAATCCGATGAGCCATGAAGCTCTTTATCACAGATGTCCAGTCGGGGCTGGTAAGAACACTCCAACAGCAATCAATACAAAAACACGATGAGAGTGCAAGGAAAGTAAACACACAAACTAATAAAAAAAATGTCAGTTTTGTTGCCAGATAAAAACGGGTAAAACACCAATTATCATATTTTGTTACTGGCAAATGAGGTTCCAATGGTGTAAATGCTTACCCCGAGCTCTCATACTCTGATGGTGCATTGTCTTTGAGTTGTGCGCCTTTTGGCGTCATCTGGTCCAACACCATGTGAGACTAGGCTCTAAAGAAAGCTGTCTCGGGTGTGGACCAATCAACTTCAAGGACAGTGTATACATTATCAGAGTTGTGTTTTTTGTTTGCATTCCGACTGCAGGTATTGTGGTCAATGCAAACATGACAACTTGTAAAAAAAGGCGTCAGTTTTGTTGCCAGATAAAAAGGGTAAAAAACCAATCATCATATTTTGTTACTGGCAAATGGCCTTCCAATGAAATAAAACACTGAACCATCCCCATCCTACCAGGCAAGCACCAACTGAAGCATTCACTTTTCAGAAGCGACCTGGCCACAAATGACGGCTCAACGAAGTGGCGGCTTATCATTTGGGCATTTAAAGCAGCAAATTCATCTAAATAGTCCAGACGCACGTTTCTAAATGTGCGTCTGGCGAATTGCCCGATGATGCTGGATGCAATTACCAGCGAAACGTCGTACTCAAAAAATTGTAAATATTGTGGTTTCACGCTTCAACACACCGGTGGGCTAAAGTAGTGAACTATTTTGTCTTTTGTTAACGTGACACTTTTTTGCTGATTGGTCGTGTCGGGTGGTGGAGGGTTACGACACATTTGTAAATAACGCGATCTAACCCAAAAACGTTGATTATGAATTTATGTTGTATATATACTGTCCAGTATACCATTGCTGATCACCCTGCGATATGAAAGACGTAGAAGGGCAAGAGGAAGAAGAAGGCTAAGAAGAATTAACAGAGCATATGAATTAAAATTCGAGGCCTCGTTGAAGGCTGCGACATCCTTCCCGATGGTTCACGGTCACATTGCGCACTCACTTTGTGTAGGGATCGTCAAAGCTTGCCAGCAAGACAATCGTGCCTTCCTTGATCCCATTCAAGAACTGTATCAGTAGTTTTATATCTGCAAGAGAGTTTGTAATCCGTGTAAATTGATGCAACAGTATATACACGTGTGTGTGTAGTGACACCAATCACACCTTACTTAAACAAACAAACATTTATTTTGGTCACAGTTCCAATCGACACGCGGTATAAAGCAAAATTGTAATAGATTGCTAAAAATGATGGCCTGGCAAGCCTTTTGGCTGATGGATCGAATTGACCCACCCCTACTGGACACATCTGTGATTCTGAATTGTTATTTCAAATTTTTTTTTTATATGAAACGGACACTTCACAAACATACAGGCATCTTCTTGGTTCTTTCGGTAAAGTCACGTAGATGGGAAATAATAAAAATCAAACATACTAAAATACAATAAAATTGTATTGTATTTTATTATGTTTTATGAATTGTATTTTATTATGTTTTATTTGTATTATTTTATTATTTCCCTTCTACGTGACTTTACCGAAAGAACCAAGAAGATGAATCCCTGCAGTCACGAAAGCTTTAAATCGAAATTTAAACATACAGGCACTTTAAAACCTACAGCTTTAAAGAACTTAACAATGCTGCTGCCGAGCACACAGTTTTATCTTTTAAATGTCGCATTTGGAACAAATTAAGTATTCATACAATGCAGCATTAAGTAATGTTTTCTTCAGGAGACAAATACGTCCATTGTATTATGCTGAATATTAACCAGTGCTAAAATATAAAGAAATAGATTAACAGGTTACCTCCTTGCCACATGTCAAAGTGTCCAGTGTTTATGACCTGTCCCGTTTGTCCTGAGCAACAAAAACAAAAGACAAAGATCCCCCATATAGCCTTAACAGACTGTAGGGGCAAGTGCTGTTAACGAGCACCTATGAAGGCCGGCACGGCACACGAGGGGGTGGGTGGCCAGCACCACGCCCGGCCGCCTTTGTCTCCCTAGTGACGAGGTTTACACACCGCACTAGCTACTCACTTGAGGCTGAGTCGACCTAGGGGAGGCCCAGGACCCATTAAATTAATCGTCACCGGTGTTAGGCCGTGAGCGGGGAATCGAACTCGTACCGCCGGGTTCGTAGCGCGTTTAACCTTCATGACACCACCGCTCCCCGGTCCTGAGCAATACGCACGCATGTCCACACACACACACTCGCCACGCAACACGACCAGTGACTCATCTTCTTGGTTCTTTCGGTAAAGTCACGTAGAAGGGAAGTAATAAAATAATAAAAATACAACATAATAAAATAATTCTCACGATGTTTCGGCTACAACGCAAGCAGCCGTCTTCACCGAAACGTCGTGAGAATTATTTTATTATGTTTTATTTTTATTATTTTATTACTTCCCTTCTACGTGACTTTACCGAAAGAACCAAGAAGATGAATCACTGCAGTCACGAAAGCTTTAAATCGAAACGACCAGGGACGTACAGCGGCTCTATGGTTCACGGGGCAAACCCGTAGAAGTGACCTTTGCTGAACGGGAGATGGGGGGGGCATGGATGCGATGCCAAGCAAATGTGTAACACGCAACGCGGCGGGATAATTATTTTTTGATCCGATTTCTTCAACCGTTGAATTCCGCTCGAGTTTCCACGCCGCGTGTGTACATCAGAACAACAGGCTGCGTTGGCACACATCACCTTAATTGTGTAAGTGGTTTGCATTGTGTCCAGCCCCCCCCCCCCCGCACTGCTATTGACAGGTTTATATATCGAATGTCGCTTGCAAATTAAAAGGATACCGCAGAAGATGGATTAGCATGTTCCCATCACCCGCCCATGCTACGTGGATTGTTAAAGACCTTTCTTTATGCCGGCTCCATTGGCACCTTTGTCTCTAATCAGCTGCAATTCATTTCACTTAAACAGCCTTTCTGAAGATTAATATTAGTAAGGCAAGCATGGGGGGGGGGGGGCATCACGACAATGTGTTTAACAACCGGTGCGCTGCGAGCCCTGAATGTTTGAAAGGGTTGCGGTGTGTGCCGGTGGACCACGAAAGGACGACCTCGTGATGTCAATCAACTCGGTGGGTTGCAACGTGGCCAGCAGATGGCGGTGTAGCAGAACGTGATAGTGAACTTGTGTGTGATGCTAGTGTCTGTCGCACATGCCCCCCCACCGAACGAAGTCAAACAACTCAAAGCGGCACCCTCCTGATAAAGCATCACGATGCTCAGAGGGAATCTTTCCTGGATGAAAAGTGGAATTAATATTGAACAAATCGAATTCGGCAAACTTGCCATTAAAATGTGACCTCATCCTTAAACATGAATTGGGTATTGCTTTTTTGCGAGCAGTCCTGAATCAGTGTTAGAAACAGCAGCATTAGACATTGATCTTTTATTTAAGCTGGGATAACCCTATGAGCTATGACGCTATTTTACACTGGGGTCCACTTATCTGTAGTTTGGACCAGTATCTCCATGGGGTGATCACTACTGATAAACCACTGAGCAAAGCAACCTCATTGGGTGGTTCTAATTCTACTGAACCCATGGGGATGATGATGGAGCCGAACCCAACACTAGCTAAAATAAAACAGGACCCTGCGGGGTGGGCTGGTAGGAATAATACTTAGTACCGGTACAGGGATATCGACCGGGTATAGAGGAGTTAAAGACAAAATTACTGTATTCTAGTGTAACGTAATTAAAAGTGTTTGTTTTGACAAGAAACGCTGTGAGATTTAAAGACCCCTCACCACCAGCCCTCACCACCACCCCCCACCACCAGCCCCCACCACCAGCCCTCACCACCAGCCCCCACCACCAGCCCCCACCACCAGCCCTCACCACCAGCCCCCACCACCAGCCCCCACCACCAGCCCCCACCACCACCCCCCACCACCAGCCCTCACCACCACCCCCCACCACCAGCCCTCACCACCATCCCCCACCACCAGCCCCCACCACCAGCCCTCACCACCACCCCCCACCACACCACCGGCCCCCACCACCACCCCTCACCACCACCCCTCACCACCAGCCCCCACCACCACCCCCCACCACCACCCCCCCACCACCACCCCCCACCACCACCCCCCACCACCACCCCCCACCACCAGCCCCCACCACCACCCCCCACCACCAGCCCTCACCACCACCCCCCACCACCACCCCCCACCACCACCCCCCACCACCAGCCCCCACCACCACCCCCCACCACCCCCCACCACCACCCCCCACCACCACCCCCCACCACCACCCCCCACCACCAGCCCCCACCACCACCCCCCACCACCAGCCCTCACCACCACCCCCCCACCACCACCCCCCACCACCACCCCCCACCACCAGCCCCCCACCACCACCCCCCACCACCACCCCCCACCACCACCCCCCACCACCACCACCCCCCACCACCACCCCCCACCACCAGCCCCCACCACCACCCCCCACCACCAGCCCCCACCACCACCCCCCACCACCAGCCCCCACCACCACCCCTCACCACCACCCCCCACCACCAGCCCCCACCACCACCCCCCACCACCAGCCCTCACCACCACCCCCCACCACCACCCCCCACCACCAGCCCCCACCACCACCCCCCACCACCACCCCCCACCACCACCACCAGCCCTCACCACCACCCCCCACCACCACCCCCCACCACCAGCCCTCACCACCACCCCCCACCACCACCCCCCACCACCAACCCTCACCACCACCCCCCACCACCACCCCCCACCACCAGCCCCCACAACCACCCCCCACCACCACCCCCCACCACCAGCCCTCACCACCACCCCCCACCACCACCCCCCACCACCACCCCCCAAAACCACCCCCCACCACCAGCCCCCACCACCAGCCTTACAACGCAAAAGCCTAAGGCTTTATAAGAAGCGCTGAATGACTAGGCCTCAGTAACTTTAAAGTGACTAATACAGTTTATAAACTACTGATTATAGCGCGCGCCTGTCGTTAAAATGTAACTCTTACACGCGGCTACTCGCGTTAATGTTAAAAGTGCAATTAATTTTTTATAAACATATTAAAATAAACGCTTAATATACCTTGCCACGCAAAAGCCTAAGGCTGTATACGAGGAGCTGAATGACTAGGCCTCAGTAACTTTAAATTGACTAATACAGTTTATAAACTACTGATTATAGCGCGCGCCTGTCGTTAAAATGTAACTCTTACACGCGGCTACTCGCGTTAATGTTAAAAGTGCAATTAATTTTTTATAAACATATTAAAATAAACGCTTAATATACCTTGCCACGCAAAAGCCTAAGGCTGTATACGAGGCGCTAACGGACTAGGCCTCAGTAACATTATAGTTGCGCGCGTCTCGTTAAAATGTAACTCTTACACGCGGCTACTCACGTTAATGTTAACGAAACGCGCGCACTTTATTTAATTTCAAGGTTTTAATCAAAAGCTATCTCAGGGAATAAGGGAATGTTACACGTGTCATGCCAAGTGTTTGCAGTAGGGGGCGATGTTGCTACCAGGATAGCGTCACTGAGTCTAAAGGTTTTTGTAGGGTCATGCCAAGTGTTTGCAGTAGGGGGCGATGTTGATACATGGAGGGACGGACGGACAGTCGGACGGACGGACAGTCGGACGGACGGACGGACGGACACATTAATCTATTGGTGGTCTGGTCCACTTCGTTCCTACCAGTATAAAGGCAGTCCTCTACTTACGATGGAGATGCGTTACGACGACCCCATCGTAAGTCAAAAATATCGTAAGTCGAAGATGGCCTAGCCTACCCAGGAGTCTTAAAGAATGGTGATAATTTAGCAAAACAGAGCAATTTACAGTACCGTACTGTACAAACTATATACTGTATTAATTAATTAAAATACTGTATTGCACAGTAAAATGTAAAGTAAAAAACAGGGCAAATTCTTAGCCTACCTATATGAACTGCAATTGAATAGAAAGTTTTTTCAGGAAACAATCCTATCTGCATCACACAAGGCGGGAGATGCGCACATCCCGGCAGCGTCCCAACGCACAGCATCGTACCTCGTTCGCTGCTGCGTTTGCCTGCCGCGCGAAATTAAAAATATTAAAACAATTTTGTCGTATCGCTATCGCCATCGTAAGATCGAAATATCGGAAGTCGGACCATCGTAACTCGTGGACTATCTGTACATATTTTAATTTCTCCCGTAATTTTATCCTGACTGCGCCGTCGGCATCATGTCATGAGAGAAAGTTTCCAGTCGGATCTCTTGTGGAGAAGTGCAAGCCCATGGGGGTAAGAGAATGGCCCACAGAAGCAGATATTACAGAGTAACTTCTAAGGTACCTTCCAGTGACCTATTGTGCACACGGTAGAGAGCAGCACTTCTCAGCTGGAATTGGGCAAAACATAAGCGCAGAACTAAATTTGAAGCGATGGATTTTTTCGTTGCAGTCATTAGTGACTGTGCTGAGAACATTAGCTCACCCACACACGAAAAACCAATTTACTCATAGGCGGCTGCCTGGATGGGAACAGATTCACGCCAGCTCAGCGCTCAATCTCTGAGTCACTCCATCCACCTCCGCTGGACTAAATTTTAACTCACGTTCTCACAACTTTCAGTCTGGCAGTTCGTAAACCGAGCTACATCCTGTGCCAAGAAAACCACACATCTTGGCACCGATGCAGTCTTTGACCAATGCAAATTCTGACGCAATGGAACAGCATTTTGTGGTCAATGCCTAAGTTTGTCAACATGCATACATACAGGACTTACCGTTAATTAGAGCAATATTTATTCCCACTCCTACGTTGTTCAGCACACTGCTCATAACACTGCGAACATTAAAAAAACATGTATTAGTAGGTACGCAACCATTAAAATCACTTTCCCAGAGATTTAAGAAAAAGTTAAATCTAGTTCATAGCTTTATTCAAAGATGAATTCGTTTTGGTCTCATCAACCATTTGTTTTTTATTATTTCGCACTTTTTTCAATCTAAATTCCTCTATTAACCCAAATGTAACAGTAGCAACAAAAAAATCGTAAATAATTGCACAATTTTAAAGATTGTGTCATGAGCTTAATAATACGTTTTAAATGAAGCACCACATTGCCGCTTACAGAGTAGTACACCCATGTACATATACTGTAACTGTCAAGAGCCATTTTACAAATCCATGGCTGGATGAGGGCCTCCCCACACCACGTGGGGCATGGGGGCAATTTGACCATACTTCACCACGCAGGTCAGTGCGGGTTGGTGTAGGCAGAAGCAGATGCGGGAGCACGGGAGAGTACTACAATAGTTCTTTGGTTCTTTCGGTAAAGTCACGTAGAAAGAAAATAAATTAAATAATAGAAGACGACGTTTCGATTGCAACACAAGCAGTCGTCATCAGGTAGAACTAAAATTGAGAGAGAGACAAAACACAGACACGGAGACACACAGACAGACACACAAGCAGAGAGAGACACACAGAGACACACAGAGACACACAACATAGACACACAGAGACGAGTACAATAGCTATTGTTTTAGTACAACAATATCTTTTGCTGCACTGCCCACGACGTAGCCCCGTAGCCTGTAGCAACATGTGCATTGTGTCCATTAACTTCCATACACTAGCGTATTGATAATAATCATCCAGATGATAATAGGCATAGTGTCGGTGATTGACAATTTGTATATGGAAACGGGCGTCTTGAACACAAAAAGTCTAAATATCTTGAACAGCTGCGTAAAATAACTCTTCGAGCGCAGTGTTTGCACTTAAATTGTATTCACGCCGCATGCTCGTCGAACTGATGTCATCGCTAAATTATTGTCCTCTCTGTATGGCGCCGAATGGGCCCCTTGGCGTAGGTGGAAGACTCTTGCCCCTATAACGACGGACAACCAACCGACCCTGACTTTGTTGACGAGATTCAAAAATGAGATCATGTTTATCTGCTGAAACAAAAGCTGCTGCGTGTCAACGTTGATGGACTAAGATAACAAACATAATGAGCACAAATGATAGCGAGCATAATTCATGAGTCGGACACATGGTTGGATCGAGGAGTCAGATGCATGGGGTCGGAGCGTAAAGTCCCTCGTGTGCCAGAGCCTGAACACGTGGGAGCCTGAACACGTGAGAGCCTGAACACGTGAGAGCCTGAACACGTGGGAGCCTGAACACGTGGGAGCCTGAACACGTGGGAGCCTGAACACGTGGGAGCCTGAACACGTGGAAGCCTGAACACGTGGGAGCCTGAACACGTGAGAGCCTGAACACGTGAGAACCTGAACACGTGAGAGCCTGGACACGTGGGAGCCTGGACACGTGACAGCCTGGACACGTGACAGCCTGGACACGTGAGAGAACAAAGAAGCGCTTCCCTTCCGTTGTTCTCAGCGAACGACGGCGTTGGCGAGTGCGTCTCGAGCCCGAGCTTCTGCTCACGTTCTGTTCCAGAAGCAGATGTTGGGACCCACGACGTCAGCTGCGCCGCTCGTGATGCGGAAGGCGAAGTTGTTGGGAGGGCACGGCTTCTCCATGTCGCAGTCGTTCTTCACCACCATGGGGACTGCACGCACGCACGCACGCGCAAACGCAAAAGACGATCGCCCCCCCCCCCCCGTTCCACCGGCGCATCCGAGCCAAGCCAGCACAGCGGCCCTCATTTTCAAGTTTCAAGTTTCATTTATTTGGTATAGCCCTGTGAGCCATTCGGCTCTTGAATCGGGTGCAACCGCAACAAACAAAAAAACAAAAACATGAACAAGAAAACTTCTTAAAGTGACTATGCGCAAACAGAAAAACCAAGAAAAGACTGCAAAATATTGCAGAAAAAGCACCGTACACCAACACAAGTGTATAGTTACTCGTTAAGTGATCAGTTGGCGGACTTTATTCATAATGAATATACATATAATTGAACATTACACTTCTATGTCTCAACAGCGTTACGGAGATCGTGTGACGTGAGGGTTCTGCCTTTGTAGTAAGGGTTGGAAGTTGACGATGAGAAGGGGGGAGGAGGCGCCTCGGCCCCCCATGTGGAGTGACGTTACCTGCTAATTATTATTAATGGCGGGGGTGTCCATTTGGATGACGTCACCTGTTCATGATTATTAATTAGGGGGGCTGGTCGACGTGGAGTGACGTCACGCGCGGGACACACAGACATTCTTCGCTCATTATAGTAGTAAATATATTTCCCATGGTGCATTGCTTTGTTGATATTTTAAGCTAAAATGCCTTGTGCTTCACATATTCTAAGTGTTGGCCATTACCGTAAGTGTTATTTGATGGATGGTGCTCTGAAAGCACCTGTATTGTTGTGAAGTGCACCATAAAACTCAAGACTCATTGAGACACCACCACTCCAACGAACGTGGACTCGCGCGCGCGTGCACAGCGCAAACAGCAACATGTGGTCACAAAGGATGCGACATCTAAATCAGCTCGGTTTGCACTCTGACTCTGCAAAAGAGTTTTCTCTGCAGAAGAGAACAGTCAACCTTCGCAAACTGCCACGTGGACTGCTGGGATTTAAAGGTCTCACGATTGGCTGTTGAAACGTCCGCAGATGGAATTAATAAGCTTGGAGATTAATCTTCTAAGCAACATCTTTCCTTGCCCATTGATTGCTTAGATATTAAGTCTCAATCCCAAGTGCCATAATGAATGTTCGCAGCAGATTTGAATTATCCCTTGGAATGAAAGGCCAAGCACTACTTGTGTTCTAGTATCATGTCTGAAACACACAACTTTAAGGGCACGTTTTGAAATGTACGTATGTATGTTGAACTTCTATTGCATCGTACATAGCCAACCGTGATAACCGGAGGTGCCGGGGGAAGGACAACAAACTAAATACAAAAAGGAGTTAGAAAGAAGTTAGTTTTTAATCTAGATTTCAAAATGGTGTCCTTAATACAATCTGGGTGGCTCAGAGGTCAGTTTGCCGGCATCCCTTAAGAACCTCGGTATAAATCCGGGTTCTCAATTTTAGTGAGTTGCTGGTCTCAGCCCATTCACAATGACTGCACGCAAAAAAAATCCATCATCTTAACTTTGATCTTCATTCAATTGTGCAAAAATGTCATCTTTGAGAATTAATTTGCCTTGATTGCAAAGCAATTAACATATTTAGATATGTGGATAAGAGGTCACTTGAAGAGTGATCTCAGAACTAGGTCTGTTTCATCTCCTTCCGTGGAATTTTTTTTGGATCGCGGATGCCCTGCACGAGTTCCAAATGGCCACTCGATTCCATCGCGTGGCACCGACAGTGAATTTTTTTTTCATAAATTAAAAGCATATTTTTAAACCTGACATTTGCTCACCGTGGCATCTATATGTAACGGGTTCCGGAGACACTTGTAGATGTACTTCTTTATTACAATACAACACTCCAACAGTACTCCAACTCTCCAACAGTCCTGATACTCTGTTACAGCCTAGGTACACAGCCTAGATACTGTACTCTGGCTACACTCCGGAACTCGCCCTCACAAGGTCGTAGAGTCGGGAGTTCCAGAGTCCCAGCGCTGGCTCTCACAGCATCCCAGGGTCTTCAGATGGCTGGTCGTGGGTCTTGGGTCTTGAGTTCCAACTGGGCCCCGATCGTCCAGGGAGCTCTCCTTTTATGCCTGATCCAACGAGGGGTGGGGCCGTGTGCACCACCAGACATCCCACAGAGCACACACAGCCCCCCCCGTTGGCGGCGCCCAGGGGATTAAGCGCCTGGGAACTCAACGCCTGGCGCCCAGAGGCTTAAGCGTCTGGACCCCCTGGGAACCCAGCGCCTGGCGCCCAGAGGCTTAAGCGTCTGGACTCGCCTGGGATCCCAGAGCCCCCAGCAGCCCCTCCCTTCTTATGTCACTACATTACCCCCCTCTACGTAGCCTCCAGCCGTCCCGGCTGTCAATAATTAGAAAGTTTAAATTAACGAAAGGGAGAGAGAGACAAAAAATATGCGAGCCTCAATAGGAAAAGAAAAGAGAACAAGAAAGCAACCATAAAAACCATAACCAACCTGTACAACTCTACACTATATACAAGCATCAATCAACAAAAAGGTGAAGCAATAACACGTGAACAAACGACCCGCGGCACACCTAGCCCTCCTCGGGATCTGCATAGAAAACGGGGAATTAACAACAAATATACAGATTCCGACGCGTTGGATGCACAACCAACACCTGTAATCGAACCGAAATCACACAACCACCGCATGGATGGCAGGGATCCACACCACTCTGCCAGCCTCCCATCCGTCAGGTGGAGAGAAGGCGAAGACCAACATGTCGAGCATCCCTCTACACACACTTATCCGGACGTCTGTCTACGTCCCGGGTCGAGAAGTCGTACTTCAGGGCCGACCCATGTACTGGGCAAAGAAGTCGCACTTCAGGGCTGCTCCAGTATCTACATTTTCAAATATATATATAAAATTTACATGACACAACCAAAATAAATCTGCCTGCTCCTGTCCATAAATGGTGGCCGCACGCGCGAACCGCATCTCCAAGGCATCCCGTGCTTGCGTCCCAGCAGCCCTCAATGAGGACCACCACCGACATTACATGTCAACCGTTTGCACCCCCCGCCTTTCCAACGTGGCGTCTCCATCCTAAAACCGCGCACGTCGGCCATATCGGGGGGGACTTCAACCCAGTCTCTCTCCAAGACTCGCATCGCAGCATATAGCTGTACCGACCGATCTGAGACCCAATCTTTCTCCAAGACTCGCATCGCAGCATATAGCTGTACCGACCGATCTGAGACCCAACCTCTCTCCAAGACTCGCATCGCAGCATATAGCTGTACCGACCGATCTGAGACCCAACCTCTCTCCAAGACTCGCATCGCAGCATATAGCTGTACCGACCGATCTGAGACCCAACCTCTCTCCAAGACTCGCATCGCAGCATATAGCTGTACCGACCGATCTGAGACCCAACCTCTCTCCAAGACTCGCATCGCAGCATATAGCTGTACCGACCGATCTGAGACCCAACCTCTCTCCAAGACTCGCATCGCAGCATATAGCTGTACCGACCGATCTGAGACGACCCATTGTTCACTCCCTGCACAACATGCACCCTGACAACCGAGGGATACAGTCCCAACATAACGGGACAACTACACCTGAAGACCACGAATCTCCAGCCCACTGTTTGAACGCGCCTCGGAGTGTTTCAATCTCCGGGCCGTCAGGTCAAGCCGTCAGCTATTCCATGATGGGACCACACTCTCCGAGCCCTGTGAGCGCACAGCCCACTAGGCCAGACATGCCATGGAGTGTTTCAATCTCCGGGCTGTCAGGTCAAGCCGTCAGCCATAGCATGACGGGACCACACTCTCCGAGCCATGTGAGCACACAGCCCACTAGGCTAGACATGCCACGGAGTGTGTCTATCTCCGGGCTGTCAGGTCAAGCCGTCAGCCATAGCATGACGGGACCACAACTCTCGTGTTAGACACGCAACACCCGCTGGGCCATCCTGGTCAGGATCTGCACCCCAAGATATTTGAGAACCAGCATGACAATTCCAAATCCTTGGCAGCATGTCACCATCTCAAGATAAATGCCCCATACAGTATATACATCGTTAACAATGACAGCACAAGCTATACATTAACAATCACGAACAAAGCTCAATATAAACCATACATTGTTAACAATCACAAGCAAAGTTTCGCACACACATTGACAACACTCACGGGCGAAGCTCCACACAGTTTACCCAACAACAGTCACGACTCCCCGACGACAACGAAGAAAATGTCAACAAAAAAATCATTAATCCGGAGCGCGTAAATGTACGAAATGTCAGGGGCCGTCTCCCGACCTCCAACCTTTGGCCAGAGCAACAAAGGCGGCGAGCAGCGAGTCGGTCCATGTGCCGGCCCCGGCGCTGGTTACAGTAAGAATGGCGCCCTCACTGTCCGGTCGCAGCGCTGATGACGCTGTATGCCAGGTTGAAGCCAGCTGTCGTCCGGCGGTGAGGGACGCAGCGCTGATGACGCGGCGTCGTCGGGTTGGGCCACGCTGGGCCCGGAAGTGACGTCGCTCCCAGCGGTCATTGCTCCCCCGGCAGAAGTGACGACACACCCGGAAGCATCTCCCACATCCGTGGGGGGAATGGCGGCGGCGGGCTCGGGCGAGCGCCCCTCCTCCTCTCTCCCTCCCGCCATCGGCCGCGAGCACCGCATCTCGCCCGGGAGGAAGGCGGTGGCGCAGAGCAGCTCTGCGAGGCGAAGCAGCGCCTCCTCCATCTCTGCTCCCGACGCTGGAGAGGGGGCGGTCGGTGGAGCAGACAGCTGCTTAGCCGGCGGTGCGGCGTTGTTGTCGGCCGGCGGTGCAGCGTCGCTGTCGGCCGGCGTTGGCCGCCCCATCGCTGCCTGCTCCTCTTCATCGCCGTCAGGACTGAAGGTACGTGGCTCATTTCTTGTCTCCATTGCCACTTCTGACGCCAAATGTAACGGGTTCCGGAGACACTTGTAGATGTACTTCTTTATTACAATACAACACTCCAACAGTACTCCAACTCTCCAACAGTCCTGATACTCTGT